AAACATATTTTCTTTATCATATCCATTTCAATTATCCGGGAATTCATTTATTCTTCATTCAAAAGATTTATCAAATATTAAATTTAGAATAACTGACCTATTTGATTGTGATTTAGAATTTATGAATGAAATATTATGGCAATTTCAAATAGAAAAAATAGCTGATGAGATAACGGATTAAATATTTATTTTTAAATCGTAATAAAATGATTAAACAACAAAACAGACCATTACATACGCCACATATGCATATAATTCAAAGACGGCAGAACAAACGCAAAGGTTGAAATATGGAGATTTGGAGATAGTATTGAAAAATGACCATTTGAATTCGTTTGCAAAGGTGGTGCAGTGATATCAAATATAAAAGAAATTTTATTTATGAATTCAAAAATTAAAGGTATAACGGATGATATAACATCAATTCCACCAGAAGAACAGAGATATTACGCATTAAATGCATTTCCTAAAGTTTTGAAGATTGGAAGATTTAATTTAAATGAGGAATTCATAATTCAAAAGGTTTCCTAAATGACATAATGAAGAAGGCAGATAAGGATATGTGGATAGTGAGTTAATGAAGAAAGCAGATAAGGAATATGTGGATAGTGAGTTAATGAAGAAAGCAGATAAGGAATATGTTAATGAAAAAGATAATGAAATTAAGAAAGGGTTGAATGGTACCATGAACGGACATCGAAGATTTTAAAAACTAAAGCTGATACAGGATGGGTTTCAGAATGTTTAGACCTTAAAGCAGATAAAACTTATGTTAACGATGAGTTAGCAAAGAAAGCAGATATATCATTTGTTAACGATGAGTTAGCAAAGAAAGAGTATATCATTTGTTAACGATGAGTTAGCAAAGAAAGCAGATATATCATTTGTTAACGAAATATACCAAAGTTTAGTTGAACAAAAATATTGAAACTATTGTTGGCGACTTTTCTGTCAATGAAGAAAACAAATATTTTAGATGGGAGTTTGTACAGTCCTTAAGAAATGGTATACGGTATTAAACTCATTCCGAAAAATAACAATGAAATGTATGTAGGCTATATAAAGAATAATGGCACAAGTTAAAGTTCCATTAGACAACAATGCTACTTAAACTTATATGGAGACGAACAAAGAAATATTTAAGAGTTTATGAAATGACGGATATGACATTGTCTAACGTAGCTCCAGCACCGTATTATTATGACTATGGTGTTGACGCACGTGTAGACCCAAAAAGCAAACATTATATTTAGAATATTATGATATAAAAGATATAATGCAATAGAAAAAACGAGAATAGTATATTATTATACAGATGAAAAAATAAATTTATAGTCAAGATTTACATACCCTGAAACATAAGATTATATTATAAAAATATTCTGACACAAACAGAAGAAACCCGAAATAGTTACACTATATTTTAAGTTCAAAAGAGACAATCCTATAATATCTCATATGTTTGATTTAATGAACCCAGTAGGTTCTATTTATACATCTATGGATGTGAGAGGTCCTCAAGCAATGTTTGGTGTTGGTGCATGGAACAAATAGTCGACAGGTTTTTGTATTGTGCAAACTCTTCAAAGGAAACAGGGGGAAGTAAAACGATTACAGGTGAAAATTTACCTGCACACAGTCACTACATAGATTTAAGCACATCTCAAGCAGGTTGGCATAAGCATAGATATTGGGATTGGTCAGGAATGACAAAAGGTAAAGGATATGATGTTAAAGACAACGTTAAGTTTGCTATAGATTGTTACTGGAGTAACACTGAGGGAGGAGGAAACCATACACATCGCGTTTCAGGATATACACAAACAACGGGACAAAGTAAAGATTACATGCCGCCATTTATGACTGTATTCGCATGGTATAGAGTTCAATGAATGTGCTTGACCCAAAGGTCTGGGCTTACCGAATGAACTCAATATATTTTATGTCTGTAATTAATTAGGTAATGAAGTAGTGGATGAACTACAGAAATAAATGTTTACGTTAATGTTTACGTTAATGTTTACGTTAATGGTTTCGTTAATGTTTACGTTAATGGTTACGTTAATGGTTTCGGGTTATTCAATAATTATTTATTGAGTTTTGGATGAAAGAATACAGTCGAGCCAAAAGTGGCTCAACCTCAAAACAAGCATTTTATGAGCTTATTAATGGCGTTATGAATGAATTCAGTCCAAAAATAATTAATTTCATTAGTTTTAAAATTATTTTTATTTTTTATTTTGTATGTAAGAACAGTAATGTCAGTCGAAGCAAAAACATTCACGAACAAATCTAATGGCGAAACATTCACAAAAGGCACTTATAACGATATTGAAGTCTTACGTAGAGACAAGGATGGTTACATTAATGCAACAAAGATGTGTCAGCAGTTTAGGAAAGACTTTAGAAAGCTGTTGGAAAATAAGTCCTGGGAAGAGTATTATAAGGCATTTTGTGAAGAATATAGCAACAGTCCGAATTCCGGCGGTTGCTTTTTATACAAAATTCATGCAGGAATTCCTGATGAAATCAAACAGGTTAGAGGAACGTATGTAGACCCAAGACTTATAAACTATATAACAATGTGGGCTTCTCCAAAATATTGCATAGCAGTTGGAAAATTATGGACTCCATAGACAAGAAAGTTCATGAGAAGTTAGATGAAGAAGAACTCGAAGATACAGTAGAAAATGCTAAACCTTTGTTTGAAGAAGAATTGGAAAAATGTGCGAAAAACAATTAGAACATGAACGTGAGATATATTATGGTTATAGAGATTCTCCATACGAACTAGACCAATGGGAACAAGAAGATTTAAAGAGAGAATTTAGAGAATATGAACTCGCTAAGATAGCATTTGAAGCTGCAGAAAAGAAGTTAAAAGTTTGGGGTCGTTTTGTACAAAAATATTGTGAGTAAATGAACCATTTATTTTAGGTCAAAGCTTCCACGAGAGAAAAGATTCCTCATTCGCTAAGGATTCCAAAAATGAAAAAATCATTGATTTCGGCTGAGAAAAAACAGCAAAACCCTTCTTCCACGGGAACAAAGAAATAAAGAAGAAATAAAGAAGAAATAAGTAAATTTTTTATTTATTCCGTGGAAGATAGAGCACTTTTATGATACTTTTTATTCACGACAAACAAGACAAACAAAGAAAATGAGAAAATACGGCCTGTCGGTTCGAACCAGACTTGACCCCTCCATAACACCACCTTAGACCACTGTGCTACGTAGCCTGTCGACATAAGATTTTATAAATTGCATATTTGACGTAAATTTATTTCCCAGTCATTCAAAAAATAATTATTTTTGAAGAACCGAAGGTGCTACCATGCTACCATGTGCTACCAGGTCATTTAACTTCTCTGAAAAAGTGTGACAACACGACATTTTGACAACACAGCAGGATTAATGAGGAAGGTAGTTATGAATTAATTATTGAATAACCGAAGGTGCTACCATGCTACCATGTGCTACCAGGTCATTTAACTTCTATGAAAATTACTGACAACACGACATTTTGACAACAACACAGGAGGAAGGTAGTTATTAATTATTTTTGAAGAACCGAAGGTGCTACCATGCTACCATGTGCTACCAGGTCATTTAACTTCTCTGAAAATTACTGACAACACGACATTTTGACAACACAGCAGGATTAATGAGGAAGGTAGTTATGAATTAATTTTTGAAGAACCGAAGGTGCTACCATGCTACCATGTGCTACCAGGTCATTTAACTTCTATGAAAAAGTGTGACAACACGACATTTTGACAACACAGCAGGAGGAAGTTAGTTATTAATTATTTTTATTTTTTTATTCCTATATAAATGACAGCAACAAACAACAACAGCAACTATATCGTTTCTGATGAAAAAGTTATTGATTCATTAGCTGAGGAATTAGTTGTGGCAGAAACTAAAACCCTCAACGAAAGATTGGTGAAAACAAGATTGATTTACATAAACTACTCAAACATGGATGGAGGAAGAGGAAGAAACTGGTACAGCTTTATTAGTAATAAAATTTCAAATTTAACGATTATAGATGTTGATATCAATAAATGTACAATGATGAATTAAAGAAACAGTTAGAAAAGACATTTTATCAAACTTTCGGATAAGATGTTATCGTTAAAACCGCTTCAGGAGGTCTTCACATTTATTGCAACACATTTCTTCTATTCAGTTTCGAACAGAATGATTAAATGTTATTCTGCAATGATTATGATATTGATATCATGACTTATGGATGATTAAAGCGTTCTTTAGTGGTTATGGTGATTAAGAGTTCGCAAGAATGCAACAGAACCAATCAAAACATACTCATTCATTCGTGGAAGTTATGATTCAACATTAACTAGAACAGTGAATGATATATTAATGATTTGAATATTAAGGTAAGAGTTGAACAGAAGAATGAAGAAATAAAGACTATCATGAATGAAACAAAGATGTAACATTGACGATAAACTAGCTCAGAGCATAGTTGATGGCATCTGTGATTTTGAAGTACATAATGACGGTGGAAACATGAATTTAGAAAAAGAAATAACATTATTCACACTGTTTCAAGCTATTAATTCGTTACTAATCATTTAATTAATGAAGCATACGATAACGTTTATAACTTCTGCAGTTTAACAGAAAATGCAAAAAGTAATTTTGAAAAAGCACGTAGTAGATATGCACATTTAATGACTTCTCCCATTTGTTTAGTGAAGATTCTAAAACTTTATCAAAAGGAATATTTGATGATATGTTTTACCTTTATTAAGTAAGCCAAAAATAACATTTGATATCAAACTTGATGACTCGTTTTTGATAAAGATATTAGACGCAAGGCTGAAAATCATCAGTATAAAAACAGTTCTGAAGTAATTGAGGAATTTATCACGTGTAATTCGTTTTGTAGATTGTGGAAATAAATATTTCATTCAAAAGGACTATAATATCCACGACAAAATGAATCAAATATCATTCGTTCTTCAGTCAACATGAAAGAGTCACTCAAAATGATTAAATTATTTAAGAAGAAGGTAAAACAATACAGCATGGATGTACTACTAAATCAATTATCCTCATTAACCGTTAAGGGTGTTTGCTTTAAATCTGATTCTCCAGATGTTTTCTCAACGTTTCAAGGTTATAAATACAACGTTCTCGAAAAACCAGATTACTCAAAAATTGAGATGTTTATGAATTTCATTAAAGAAGCCATTTGTGATAATAACGATGAAGTGTATAAATACCTTCTCGGCTGGATTGCATCAATGATTCAACATCCTGGAATCAAGAATGAAACAGCAATTATTTTGAAAGGACTTCAGGGAACAGGTAAAAACAGATTTACAGACATTATTTCTGAACTTCTCGCTGGTTATTCATGTAAAAACATTACCGAAATAAGTGAGCTAACGGGTAATTTCAATTCAGTAGTTGAGAATAAAATGTTTCTTGTACTTAATGAACTCAAGAATGTGGGTGAAGACAGACTCGCAAACTTCAACGCTTTGAAATCAATTATTACGGATAATGAGATTAGAATTAATGAAAAGAATCAACCCAGAAGAACTGCTCAGAATGTTGCAAACTTCATTTTCGTAACTAACAACGTCTACCCTGTCAAAATTGAAGTTGGAGACAGAAGATACGTAGTTTTAAGAGTTAATGGTAAATTCAAGGGTCAATTTGATTACTTCAAGAATTTAATGGATTCATGCACAAAGGAATTTTATGATAATTTACTGACGTATTTTATGCAATATGACCTTTCATCATTTAATGTACGAATCATACCGATGACTGAAGCCAAACAAGATTTAATTGAATTATCATCAAATCCTTTAGATGTATGGATAAATACACATTATGATGAATTGTGTGCAGGTATGACGTGTGAAAATGCTCTATTCTGCAAACCATCAGACATGAAAGACAAAAACTTTCAAATGAGTATTAAGGATAAATGTGATAGGAAACATAGAAGAATAGACGGTAAACAGATATGGTATTATGTTTTGAAAGAAGAAATGAAAGGATTATATAAACAGGTTGAACCAAACGATAATGAGGAATCATTTACTGATGATGAAATACCTGTAAATGAGCCGCTAAGCGGCGAGACCTGAAGGTCTAGCTTTATAAAGTATGATTGGAATTTATTTTTGCATTAATCCTGTGTTGTTGTCAAAATGTCGTGTTGTCACACTTTTTCAGAGAAGTTAAATGACCTGGTAGCACATGGTAGCATGGTAGCACCTTCGGTTCTTCAAAATAATTAATAACTACCTTCCTCCTGTGTTGTTGTCAAAATGTCGTGTTGTCACACTTTTTCAGAGAAGTTAAATGACCTGGTAGCACATGGTAGCATGGTAGCACCTTCGGTTCTTCAAAAATAATTAATAACTACCTTCCTCCTGTGTTGTTGTCAAAATGTCGTGTTGTCACACTTTTTCAGAGAAGTTAAATGACCTGGTAGCACATGGTAGCATGGTAGCACCTTCGGTTCTTCAAAAATAATTAATAACTACCTTCCTCCTGTGTTGTTGTCAAAATGTCGTGTTGTCAACATGGTAGCATGGTAGCACCTTCGGTTCTTCAAAAATAATTAATTATTGAATAACCTGTAAACATTAACGATAAAATAAGTGATAACAAATTTTTATTTTTATCATAAATGAATACCCCACAAGCTCAAAATTTACCACGAATCATAACAAGGGAGGAAATGATAAAAATGATGCAAGAACATGTTAAAAATAACAAACCACTAAAATTGAGAAAATGTGGTTATGCAGTAATGATGGAAAGAGAGATGTTGTCGAAGAGGAATAAAAATTAAATTTGGATTGAGTTTAAAAATTCATCTTTATTAAATTCATCTCTTCCAATCAATTTATTTATTCTATTAAATTCTTTTATTTTTGCTTCACTCAGTTTAAGGATTGAACGGTAAGTTTCTAATTTTTCGATTATTTCTTTCCTCTCTTTATCGTTTTCAACCCCACCGCATTGTGGCTTCTTTTTGTAATAGCATATTTTTGATTTAATTCTGTTTAGTTTCTTTTTATATTCATTGTCTGGACTCTTGGATGCTTCGTTGTCACTCATTTCTTACGAAATAAAAAAAATTAAATATTATTTAAATATAATGGAGTAATAAAATAAATCGGAATTTCTATTAATTTATTGTTAACCTCAACTAATGCATTGCCGTTAATATATCTAACAAATTCAGCTATTGTGTCAAATCTTCGTCTTCTTTTTGTCATTAATTTATCAGTTTTTCCATAATCGAGATGAATTAAAACTTTATTTCCTTGTTTAAAATTCATGAGCCCTGAATTAATTTGTTCACGTTTAACATCATTCAACTTTTCCATTTGCTTTCTAATATATTCCCATTCTTTTGAAATATCATTTTTCATTTCCACTGGTTTCATGTTTATTGTTCTATGCCATGTATTATTATAATAATATACTAACTGTTGTATGATGGAGTCATGATTTCCATCCCAGTATATCTGACCGTTAACCCCTAACGCATCTCTAAGAGTTCTCATTACCACATCAACTATTTTATTATGAAACGTATATGGAGAGGATGAGAAGTAAAAATTAATTTGTGGGAAATAATGAGTCATAGCTGCCTGAAATCCTTTATCACCATCACCCCTTATATTATCTACTCTTTCATGATCTAGTAAGTATTGAATAGCTCTTCTTGTTTCCTGTTCTGTTTTCCCTTTCACTGGAATGCAATATAAATATCTGGTGTTAATGTTAATGGCAAATAAATAAGTAACGTTTCCTTTTGAATATTCCAGATGATCAATTTCGTATGAATATGGATATGGTGCAAATGAAGGGCGACTAAATTTTTCCTTTAATGGTTGAATTTTTGGGTCAATTGGTTTATTTAATATTTTGAAATCCTTTTTAAAATCTTTTTGCTTCTTAAATGTTTGAAATGGATATAATAAGTGAATGAAGGATTAACTGAAGGAGGAGGTGGTACTGTCGTTGGAGGTTTTGGTGTTGCAGGTGGTTTAATTTTATCTGCTTTGATTTTGGATGATGAAGTTTTGGAATTCATTCCTTCCTTCATTAATTCTGGATGTATTCTATTCATTTGTTTTAAATATGCTGTATATAAAGGTTTAATATACTTTCCCGCTTCGAGTTTATGTTGAAGGATGAATTCCAAAAGTTGATCTTCATTTAAAAGTCGGGCTGAATATGGTTTAACTAATGAATCATAAATTAAAGCTTGTGCATCATTTATGGTCTGAATGACCTGGGCGTTTTGCACCTTTTGTTTTTGCTCCTTTTGCTTTTGCGGCTCAGGATTATATAATTTATATAATTCATCAATATCTTCTTCTGTTAATACTTTATTTTTGAAATCTTTCAACTGTTTAAGTTGTGATTTAGTTTTTTCCTTTGTATATTCATTATTTTTAATTTTGTCTTTAATTTTAGAAATTATTTTATCATGATATTTCAAAATTTCATTTTTATAATATGGATAATAATATTCCATATCATCACCCGTTATATTGTTATCATGTTTTTGGAGATATGATTTTAATTCATAATAATTAAGAAAATTTTGATTAAGTACTAAATCATCAATTAAAATTTTTAAATCTGTGTTATCCATTTATATAAAAATAAAATAAATGTTTTAAGGGTGCCCACCTCTTTGAATCATAGTACAAAACCATTATTAACGGTTCCTTTTGTCTCTTCTGTGGTATTTCATTAAATAAATGGCATACAACATCCATTTTCACAACATACAGCCTTAGTGTGTGCTCCTGTTAATGCAGTCTTACCAATTGTTAAGCGAGTCATTGACCCGTTTTTAAGTTGTAAATTAATATTCTGACCATCAAATATCACTTTATCATTTATTATATCCAAATAATTTTTAGGTGTTAATTGTTTATTTTGTCTTAAACTAACACCTTTCATTTTTTGTGCAATCTTTTTAAAATCACTTCCATCAATTGAACCGTTGAATGATGTATAACACTTAGGACATAAAGCAACCATGTTATCACCTTGTTTCTCAATTGCTAAACCCAATAATCTTTTCTCATGTGCTTTTTCTTCAGCTTTATTCTTTAATTTAGGTTTAAATTTCTCATTAAAACAAAAGAAATCAAAAGGTGCGAATTTGTAAATGTTTTTATCATAAAATTTTTTATCGGTAACAATTGCTTGAAATGCTTGAGTGTTAGGAAGATTTGGGTCGCCAGCAATAGCCCAATAAGATGAATCAGTATCACCTTCAATGAAATGAAAACGATTAACATCCATGCATTTATACATAAAATCATAAATGAAAACCAAATACCAGTATTTAGCATTATCTAAAGTGAAGAATGCCTCTTGTAAACATGTATCACATCTATAAAATCTATCTTTAAGCATCACTTGATACGTATCTTCACCTATTTCTCTTATGTTTTTAAACTTATTTGACATACATGCAACGCGTGCCTTCTGTGCATTCATTATTTTAGTCTTTGCGTAATTTTGTGTATTCATTGCATCGTAACCATATGATCCATTAAGTGAAATCTTGCAAAATAAACTTTTTCCTTTATTTCCTTCTAATTCAGCCTTTTGTCTTTCATTCATAAATTCGTTCGCAAATTCATTAAAACAAGTGTTTTTAGTAAATGTTAAAATTGATTGAATGTCATCAATGATAAAATGAAATCTGTCTATTAGATACCAAAGATAATAAGAAGAAAATGGTTGATATTGGTTGTGTGTTGATGCTAACTGAGTTAATTTTCTCTGTTTCTGGTCAACTGGTAGATTGTTTGATTTCATGTAATTATACATAAAACTGCCAATTGTTTTTTCATCTGTGATAATATCTAAGTTTCTTATTATCGGTAAAAAGTTTATGTAATCATTAATGTATTTTTCATCAATGTGACCCTTTACTTCAGCCACGAATAAAGTATTTTTCTTCTTAATTATTCCCAGTGCTTTTGCTTTCTTTGTTGCTGTATCACAAATGATAACACCATTCAATCTTCCCGGCATATACATTTTATGGTCAGTATATTGAATGAAATCATGAGGATTAGATGAAAATGATGAAGGATATAATGAATTAAAATCAACACCAACGAAATGAGTCATAATGTTGGAAGTGTCCTCATTTGATACAGTTTTAGTTTCTGGATTATATGAAAGTTTATTAATGTGTGTGATTCCTTTAAGATTAACTCTATGTTGAACATTTGATAAACCACCAGTAATTCCATTACGGAGGATGTGATAAGCTTCAACTGAATCTAGAGTCATTGGTAAATTATTTTTTAATGTATAATTTCTTAAATTGATTCTTAAACGTTGAACATCTTCATCTTTATTTGATTTTACGACATTGCAATAACAACACATTAACTGACAATTTTCTTTGGTATGTGGTTTTTTCATTATCGATTCTATCTAATGTTGGTTTATTAGCATATGTAAACGCTTTACCACACATTTTGCATTTAGATGAAAGGATTAAATCGTGATAGTATTGATAGTCATCCATTGAAACATTGTTTTTAGTATCCCTTTCTGCTTTTTCATCTTGTTTCTTATATGAATCAATTTTATATTTCCAATACTTTTTTGTTAATTCAAAACTTGATTCCACATTTTCTTCTTCTGGATATGTTTCATTAGGATTAAAGTTTTTATATGCTAAAGCGTAACGAATCATTGATGCATTCGATGATAAAGAAAGATTATGAAGCATGTCAATTTTATAAACAAATGTTTCTTCAATAATTTTATCAATTGGGTCAATCATAATTTCAACGTCTTTATTGCAATAATGAATAAAATATTCTAATCTATTCTCAAAATTTTTAGCATCATTGAGATATATTTGATAATCTGAATCGGATATTGTTTCTTGAGTTAATGCTGAATAAAATGAATCTTGAGTGAATGGTTCCACTTTATATAATTCATCTTCGTAATTCTCCCATGTGATGAATTGATAAGGGAAAAAGGATTTAACACGTGATTTATTGTTTCCGAAATCTTGAGTGAATTGGTCTAATGTTCCACCCGCTATATAATTTCTGATGTCAATAAATCTTAATTCATATGGACAGTTTGTTTTCTTTACAATGATTTGCTTAAATTGAGAAGAAGAACCCAGCATTGATTTTATTTTCCATTTTGCAGTGTTTAAATCACGAAGAATTAAATTTAAATCAAACTTTCCCGAATTAAAACCTATGATATTCACTTTATTGAATTCCTCATCTAGAAGTTCTTTAAATGCTTCCTTCTGTTTTTCATTTAATGTATGGGACAAAGTCCCCGCCGTTTGGTCCGTTTGCGGCTTCATTAATTCTTCATATTGTTCAATATTTGATTTAGCAACTAATGAACAGGTTGAAAATAAAAATTCAATCCAATCAGAGATGAACGAATCACTTGATGTTAAGCAAAAATTCCTCGTAAATGTTTTATCACGGTCTACGACCTCGCCGCTTCGGTCTGAAAGACCTTCAGGACTCAAAGAGTCCGTTTGCGGCTTTATTTTGACAGTTGATGATACCATAAATGGTTTTAAGTAAGCGTTCAAAGTTGCACATTCAGAAAGTTGAAGTTCTTCTTTAGTCTCTAATGTTTCGAAGTCAAAAGTAATATAATATCTTGTTGGTTTATAATATTCCTGCAAATTGTGAGCTAATAGCCATTGATATATCTTCTGTTTCGTGATATGTGGTGCATATGGTTGTTGTGTGTTTTGCAATTGAACGTCTTGAATTAATCTTCCATTATTTTCTTTACATTTCTCACAATGTTTTAAAAATCTTCTTTGGTTTTTCCTTTCTGGGTCATCACGGATAGAATATACTTCTTCTTTGCAAAAGGGGCAAACTTTATATCCTGTGAGTGCTTCAACGTCTGTAATTCTGTCAGCGTGAAGTTTTCCACATGGACTCTGTGTTAATAAAATATTTACTGTTTCAAATTCTGGATCTATCATTATTGATTCCACTAATGGAAAGTCTACCTTATTTATGTCTACGTCTTCTGGTTGAGGGTCACAATAATAAAAATCAATATTAACGTTTAACATTCTTGCTAACCTCTCACTTTCTGATGAAATGTCAAATCCTTCATATGCATCTATGGCTTCATTTAAATAACTTCTACGAGTTTTAGGATTAACACCATCAGGAATGTTATAGAAGCGTTTAAATAACCTTCTACCTTCGGCTCTTATTTGATTATCATTCATTTTAGCTGTTCCGTTTTTGTTCATTTATGTAAGAATAAAAAATTAAAAAATAAATAAAAATAAAGTTTATTTTTTTAAAGTCCAGGGCTAAAGTCCATAAAATGAATTAAGAACACATAAATTTTTATCATCTGCGACGTGACGAATACATTTTAATTTACTCAAGAATGCGTACCCTGATACATTAAATCTAATTCCTGTCTTATTTAATTTCACAACTTTGAAAAGGAATGTATGAATAGCTATAAAATGATGAGATGATGTTTTATGGGTTGCTTCCATTTTTTCTGAAATAAATGAATAAATATAATGTTTATAAGTTTTCATATCTTTTATATTCTTAATAACGAATGGTATAGACCTTTCAACTTCGTCTTCCTTCGGTGCTGTTCTTTCATATGAAACATTATTAGTATCTTCAATAATGAAACCACAATCGCATAAAATTTTATATGTACCAATTGTTTCTTTTGATATTTTATCTAACAAATCAAAAACTTTATCAACACCTGTACATTTATTTAAATAATAATTTGTGTAAATATCATGGTCTTCTTTCTTAATCGTATTTGTTGCATATGTTACATTTTTCAGTGCTTTTTTGAATTTTTCAGAATCAAGAGGAGGTGAAAGTAATATACATGGATAATCTCCATCGTCAATAAATTGTAACTTATGTTTATGAATAAATTTTGTGCCTTCTTCTGAAAGTGTTTCATCTATTTCACCATCTAATAAATTTTTAGTAGATTCCAAAAAGTAATTTTTATATCTTTCTTCATGAGATTTTTGAACTTCTGATTCTGAAGCTGGGATATTCATTAAACCCTCTACTTCATTCTCATTATATTTTTCAACTTCTCTTAATTCCTTAATTTTTTCATCTATTTCATCTCTTATTTTTTCCAGTCTTTCAATTTCATCATATTCATCATCTTTAATCCGTTCTTCATAATATTCAGGGAAAACATCAGGTTCTTTAGGTTTTTCTTCTTCAGATGTGGGATATAAGAAATTTATAACATCATCTTTATTCATTTTTCCATCATAATCTAAATCATTTAATAACTCCGCGAATTTTTGACAATTTCTTAAATAATATTTATTAACTTCATAACTCGCCTCCTCTAATATATCCTTTATTTCCTCGTTTGTGAATCCCAATTTTTTAACGTCGTTAGTCTTGACACTCATTTTCATACGAATTAAAAAAATAAATTATTCAAAAAATGTAAGACATGAATTTTTAAAGTTTATTTTTCATTCTTGAATGATAATTATATCTGATTTCTTTTACTCTCTCATACATACTAGATTTGAAGAATTCAGAACTTTTACCATAATCTCCTAAATGTTTTCTTATCCCCAACGTGTGCCAGTTATTATATGAAACTGAATAAACTTTATCTTTATCTTTACACCTTTCATCACTTCCAATATATTTATATCTCAGTTTTGATTTAGCATTTTCATATTCATTAACGTTTAATAATTCACAGTCTTCCTTTTTAAATTGATGTTTAAGATATTCAGGATTTAATACTCTACGTTTATATGCTCCTAACTTAGTTCTAAAGGTTTTTCTACAAAATTTAGGAATTCCATCCTCTTTAATGTCATCAATGATTTCCATTTCATTATTTTCAATTTCTTCTTCTCGTTTATGAGGTCTTTGATTATGACTCCATTGATTCCATGAAATTAAATATTCTTTATCATTATATTTATACCTCATTAGCTTATTTTGGCTTTCATATTCATTTAATAATTCACAATCTTCATTTTTAAATTGAAGTTTAACCCATTCAGGATTTAAACAATGTTTAATTAATCGCGGAATATCTGACATCATCTATATATAGCTTCTTTTATAAAAGATAAAAAAATAAATTATTTTAAAATTAATGTTAATTTTTTAATGATTTATAAATAAATATATTTTAATGCATCGTCTATATATAGATGCAACAAAAAAAGTCACACAACCCGCACTCATATACTACTATTTGTGCTCTAAAATCTTAGCTTTAATTCCGATAAATTATTAATCTCAAATAGATATATTACAAAATCTACATATAAAGTATTATCTTATTTCTTACATTTAAATCAAGTTTCTTCCAATTTTTAGATTTTTAGCAAATTAAAATTCTGTTACACTTCTATTGAATGAGTTAAGTTTATATTATACCTATATTGCTTATAATTCATTCAATTTTGAAAATATCTTTTCAGGAATTCCTTTAGGCACTTAGCATCTTAACTACTAACTTTAATTGTTGTAAATCGCAATCATTCTTAAATATATATCAATGTTAGCTGTTACTTATTAAATTGTGGTAACAAATTCTTTAACTCTTCCTAAAATCAAGTTGGCTATTAACTCATGGAGTAATAAACTGCGTTTATTAAATGATTGTTATTTTATGACATTTTCTTTCTTTTCATATTTATCATTGTTTTATAAGATTATCTTTCTTTTCATATTTATCATTGTTTTATTACATTATTTTTCTTTTCATATTTATTATTGTTTTACCCTCACTCTAGGGGGTGAGTGCGGGACAAATTTGCCAAGTGTCACTTTTCAATAACCTTAAATTACGCTTTTCTATTTTTTAAAAAATAACCTTAAATTATATTTGAAGAAATTATGTCTATGATATATGTTTTATGCTAGAATCTTGGAGTTTTCATGCACTACACAAGAGCTCCAAGGTTCCAAGAGTGAATGCTCAATAGCAATTATAGAGATGTACCTTTTCAAAATGACTTTTACTGATTAAATTTAATCAATAGAAGACATTTTGAAAAGGTACCTCTACAATTAGATATACAATAGATTCAAAGCTTCATTTCAGATAGATTTGAAACTTTGAAACTCTTGGTAGATTTTGAGTGAATGCTGACAATCATCTTTGAGAAGGTTTTCTTAAAGAAAACCTTCTCAAAGAGGTTTCTCAGGAGCCATGAGGCTCCCTTTCGTAATGATTGGGAGCCTTGGGGCTCCTGCAGCAGAGTATCGCTCCGCTCCATTAATTTTTTTAAAAAAAAGTGCCGTGTGGCAAATTTGTCCTGTTCCCGACCCCCTACCCAGGTATCTAAAATACCATTTATCGCCTGAAAAGCACACTTAATTTATGCCAATTGACAAAATAAAGATATGTTTAGAATGCTGATATGATGGAGAATCATGCTGCATCATTATTGGCCAGCAATATATAATATTTAAGAAATCTACGAGATTATCTGATTTCATGAAACTCAATGTATACTAAGTTTCAGACTTTGAAATTTTAACATGTTGATATGGGTACATAGGGTTTATGATTCCAGTCATTTATTTAAAAAATTACAAAAATGAATTAATATGATGTGAGTAACAATGGTAATAAACGCTTAATTACTAATATATTATTTCTTGGTAGGAATGAAATGTTTTGGTGACATTTATAGAAGTTAAGCTGAGAATCAAAAATGCAAAAATTATTTTAAATATTACAAGCATTATTTGATGTCATTGAGTTTAGAGTCGTGTAGATATATGAGTACAATATGTTATTGATGTATATATGCAATAATTGTGAAAATGAAATGTGAATCTCAAGATGAGTTGCATGTTACTGCGCTATAATTTGAATTCAATACGTACATAACATTACTAAATGTATTTTAAGATAATACAAAAAATTAAGCTTGCAAAAAGATATCGAAATGTAATTTTCATTAGATTCAAAGTTCTGAATAGATTTTGATTTTAACTATTGATGAGTTTGTCAAACCTCTATAATAATAGAATGTAGAACTAATTAAATATAATTAATAAAAAAATACAAATTTAAGTGATATTATAAGAGATATATGTGATGTTACCAATATGATATGATATTGGAGAACTGATAGAATTGTGATGTGAGACTAAATATGATTTTATTATGAATAGGAGAATAATATTAGAAGAATTTCTTGAATTTAATGTATCTGAATATGTAATTGGGCATATATTCTATATATATATTGGTAGGTTAACTAGAAATAAGAAGGAAAGATTGTTAATGAATAATATGAGATTAAGCGAAAATATATTGTTCTAATAGATGAGTGTTGAGATCCAATATATATGAAGAGGGATATGTGAGAGGAAATATGTATATTTAATAAAATAAGCGATGAGAGAAAAAATAACAAAGATTTATATGAAATTTTGAGTATTGAAAAAGCTCGATTAGTGATTTTATGTCTGTTAAAGGAATAGATATTCTAGGAGAAAGATAAATTGAATTAAAGAAGAATAAAAAAAGTTGATTAAGATTGATAAAAATATTGAATTGTATGACAATGGAAAGAAGGAATAAATTGGTGTTGGTATGACGGTATCATTTCGGGAGACATTGCCTCTGCATGTCTCCCAGAATGAGACAATCTTCTGCAATCAGAATGTGATGCAAAACTTGACCGACAAGAGTGTATTGTGCACTCCTGTCGGTCGCAGTGTCTCATTCTGGGAGACATTGCCTCTGCATGTCTCCCAGAATGGAACAATGTTCCGCATTGATAACTTGAACGCGGAAGTTTGACCGACAAGAGTGTATTGTGCACTCCTGTCGGTCGCAGTGTCTCATTCTGGGAGACATTGCCTCTGCATGTCTCCCAGAATGGAACAATGTTCCGCATTGATAACTTGAACGCGGAAGTTTGACCGACAAGAGTGTATTGTGCACTCCTGTCGGTCGCAGTGTCTCATTCTGGGAGACATTGCCTCTGCATGTCTCCCAGAATGGAACAATGTTCCGCATTGATAACTTGAACGCGGAAGTTTGACCGACAAGAGTGTATTGTGCACTCCTGTCGGTCGCAGTGTCTCATTCTGGGAGACATTGCCTCTGCATGTCTCCCAGAATGGAACAATGTTCCGCATTGATAACTTGAACGCGGAAGTTTGACCGACAAGAGTGTATTGTGCACTCCTGTCGGTCGCAGTGTCTCATTCTGGGAGACATTGCCTCTGCATGTCTCCCAGAATGGAACAATGTTCCGCATTGATAACTTGAACGCGGAAGTTTGACCGACAAGAGTGTATTGTGCACTCCTGTCGGTCGCAGTGTCTCATTCTGGGAGACATTGCCTCTGCATGTCTCCCAGAATGGAACAATGTTCCGCATTGATAACTTGAACGCGGAAGTTTGACCGACAAGAGTGTATTGTGCACTCCTGTCGGTCGCAGTGTCTCATTCTGGGAGACATTGCCTCTGCATGTCTCCCAGAATGGAACAATGTTCCGCATTGATAACTTGAACGCGGAAGTTTGACCGACAAGAGTGTATTGTGCACTCCTGTCGGTCGCAGTGTCTCATTCTGGGAGACATTGCCTCTGCATGTCTCCCAGAATGGAACAATGTTCCGCATTGATAACTTGAACGCGGAAGTTTGACCGACAAGAGTGTATTGTGCACTCCTGTCGGTCGCAGTGTCTCATTCTGGGAGACATTGCCTCTGCATGTCTCCCAGAATGGAACAATGTTCCGCATTGATAACTTGAACGCGGAAGTTTGACCGACAAGAGTGTATTGTGCACTCCTGTCGGTCGCAGTGTCTCATTCTGGGAGACATTGCCTCTGCATGTCTCCCAGAATGGAACAATGTTCCGCATTGATAACTTGAACGCGGAAGTTTGACCGACAAGAGTGTATTGTGCACTCCTGTCGGTCGCAGTGTCTCATTCTGGGAGACATTGCCTCTGCATGTCTCCCAGAATGGAACAATGTTCCGCATTGATAACTTGAACGCGGAAGTTTGACCGACAAGAGTGTATTGTGCACTCCTGTCGGTCGCAGTGTCTCATTCTGGGAGACATTGCCTCTGCATGTCTCCCAGAATGGAACAATGTTCCGCATTGATAACTTGAACGCGGAAGTTTGACCGACAAGAGTGTATTGTGCACTCCTGTCGGTCGCAGTGTCTCATTCTGGGAGACATTGCCTCTGCATGTCTCCCAGAATGGAACAATGTTCCGCATTGATAACTTGAACGCGGAAGTTTGACCGACAAGAGTGTATTGTGCACTCCTGTCGGTCGCAGTGTCTCATTCTGGGAGACATTGCCTCTGCATGTCTCCCAGAATGGAACAATGTTCCGCATTGATAACTTGAACGCGGAAGTTTGACCGACAAGAGTGTATTGTGCACTCCTGTCGGTCGCAGTGTCTCATTCTGGGAGACATTGCCTCTGCATGTCTCCCAGAATGGAACAATGTTCCGCATTGATAACTTGAACGCGGAAGTTTGACCGACAAGAGTGTATTGTGCACTCCTGTCGGTCGCAGTGTCTCATTCTGGGAGACATTGCCTCTGCATGTCTCCCAGAATGGAACAATGTTCCGCATTGATAACTTGAACGCGGAAGTTTGACCGACAAGAGTGTATTGTGCACTCCTGTCGGTCGCAGTGTCTCATTCTGGGAGACATTGCCTCTGCATGTCTCCCAGAATGGAACAATGTTCCGCATTGATAACTTGAACGCGGAAGTTTGACCGACAAGAGTGTATTGTGCACTCCTGTCGGTCGCAGTGTCTCATTCTGGGAGACATTGCCTCTGCATGTCTCCCAGAATGGAACAATGTTCCGCATTGATAACTTGAACGCGGAAGTTTGACCGACAAGAGTGTATTGTGCACTCCTGTCGGTCGCAGTGTCTCATTCTGGGAGACATTGCCTCTGCATGTCTCCCAGAATGGAACAATGTTCCGCATTGATAACTTGAACGCGGAAGTTTGACCGACAAGAGTGTATTGTGCACTCCTGTCGGTCGCAGTGTCTCATTCTGGGAGACATTGCCTCTGCATGTCTCCCAGAATGGAACAATGTTCCGCATTGATAACTTGAACGCGGAAGTTTGACCGACAAGAGTGTATTGTGCACTCCTGTCGGTCGCAGTGTCTCATTCTGGGAGACATTGCCTCTGCATGTCTCCCAGAATGGAACAATGTTCCGCATTGATAACTTGAACGCGGAAGTTTGACCGACAAGAGTGTATTGTGCACTCCTGTCGGTCGCAGTGTCTCATTCTGGGAGACATTGCCTCTGCATGTCTCCCAGAATGGAACAATGTTCCGCATTGATAACTTGAACGCGGAAGTTTGACCGACAAGAGTGTATTGTGCACTCCTGTCGGTCGCAGTGTCTCATTCTGGGAGACATTGCCTCTGCATGTCTCCCAGAATGGAACAATGTTCCGCATTCATAACTTGAACGCGGAAGTTTGACCGACAAGAGTGTATTGTGCACTCCTGTCGGTCGCAGTGTCTCATTCTGGGAGACATTGCCTCTGCATGTCTCCCAGAATGGAACAATGTTCCGCATTCATAACTTGAACGGAAGTTTGACCGACAAGAGTGCATTATCCATAGTCATACCTCAAAAAGACAAAACTTACATAAAATAGGTAAACTTTGGTTTTCACTTAATAATGTTTATTTTTAATTTTTTGTTCTTTATATAACTTTTTCTTCTACTAAACTATTTTACAGACTCTACTGAGCTATCCTCACATATATACCTGTGACAATAACACATATATACTCCTTCATATTCTGATCTCATGACATATTACAGCACAAACTATAATTATACAACATACCTCATAAAGTCTGATTTTACCCCTATCTAAGCGTTCAAAACTTATTTTCCTTAAAATTTCTCTTCAAGTTCATACTGAAACAACATCTTTTTTTGAAAATACAATTTTTTCAAAAAATGTATGAATTCAAAAGTGCATACTATATCTAGTCATTACCCAACATTAATTTTGTATTTTAGTTTTTAAGATATTCATTTTATTATACGTCTTATTCAGAAGATTAAATATATTTGTGAGGGAAAACGGATGAAATAATAAATATGTCAAGATCGAGGAATTGACAATTTTAAGGAAAATATTAAGTTGTGTATTTTGTGTTTATCTCATTGTGTGATGCATATTTTCACGATCTGACAGCAGAAATCGAATCAGCAGAGCCAGAAGAATCAGATTATGCGGGGAAAATAGTTTTGAACGCTTAGATAGGGGTAAAATCAGACTTTATGAGGTATGTTGTATAATTATAGTTTGTGCTGTAATATGTCATGAGATCAGAATATGAAGGGAGTATATATGTGTTATTGTCACAGGTATATATGTGAGGATAGCTCAGTAGAGTCTGTAAAATAGTTTAGTAGAAGAAAAAGTTATATAAAGAACAAAAAATTAAAAATAAACATTATTAAGTGAAAACCAAAGTTTACCTATTTTATGTAAGGGTTTGTCTTTGTGGGTTGAGGTATATGACAAAAAATATTGGATAATGCACTCTTGTCGGTCAAACTTCCGCGTTCAAGTTATGAATGCGGAACATTGTTCCATTCTGGGAGACATGCAGAGGCAATGTCTCCCAGAATGAGACACTGCGACCGACAGGAGTGCACAATACACTCTTGTCGGTCAAACTTCCGCGTTCAAGTTATGAATGCGGAACATTGTTCCATTCTGGGAGACATGCAGAGGCAATGTCTCCCAGAATGAGACACTGCGACCGACAGGAGTGCACAATACACTCTTGTCGGTCAAACTTCCGCGTTCAAGTTATGAATGCGGAACATTGTTCCATTCTGGGAGACATGCAGAGGCAATGTCTCCCAGAATGAGACACTGCGACCGACAGGAGTGCACAATACACTCTTGTCGGTCAAACTTCCGCGTTCAAGTTATGAATGCGGAACATTGTTCCATTCTGGGAGACATGCAGAGGCAATGTCTCCCAGAATGAGACACTGCGACCGACAGGAGTGCACAATACACTCTTGTCGGTCAAACTTCCGCGTTCAAGTTATGAATGCGGAACATTGTTCCATTCTGGGAGACATGCAGAGGCAATGTCTCCCAGAATGAGACACTGCGACCGACAGGAGTGCACAATACACTCTTGTCGGTCAAACTTCCGCGTTCAAGTTATGAATGCGGAACATTGTTCCATTCTGGGAGACATGCAGAGGCAATGTCTCCCAGAATGAGACACTGCGACCGACAGGAGTGCACAATACACTCTTGTCGGTCAAACTTCCGCGTTCAAGTTATGAATGCGGAACATTGTTCCATTCTGGGAGACATGCAGAGGCAATGTCTCCCAGAATGAGACACTGCGACCGACAGGAGTGCACAATACACTCTTGTCGGTCAAACTTCCGCGTTCAAGTTATGAATGCGGAACATTGTTCCATTCTGGGAGACATGCAGAGGCAATGTCTCCCAGAATGAGACACTGCGACCGACAGGAGTGCACAATACACTCTTGTCGGTCAAACTTCCGCGTTCAAGTTATCAATGCGGAACATTGTTCCATTCTGGGAGACATGCAGAGGCAATGTCTCCCAGAATGAGACACTGCGACCGACAGGAGTGCACAATACACTCTTGTCGGTCAAACTTCCGCGTTCAAGTTATCAATGCGGAACATTGTTCCATTCTGGGAGACATGCAGAGGCAATGTCTCCCAGAATGAGACACTGCGACCGACAGGAGTGCACAATACACTCTTGTCGGTCAAACTTCCGCGTTCAAGTTATCAATGCGGAACATTGTTCCATTCTGGGAGACATGCAGAGGCAATGTCTCCCAGAATGAGACACTGCGACCGACAGGAGTGCACAATACACTCTTGTCGGTCAAACTTCCGCGTTCAAGTTATCAATGCGGAACATTGTTCCATTCTGGGAGACATGCAGAGGCAATGTCTCCCAGAATGAGACACTGCGACCGACAGGAGTGCACAATACACTCTTGTCGGTCAAACTTCCGCGTTCAAGTTATCAATGCGGAACATTGTTCCATTCTGGGAGACATGCAGAGGCAATGTCTCCCAGAATGAGACACTGCGACCGACAGGAGTGCACAATACACTCTTGTCGGTCAAACTTCCGCGTTCAAGTTATCAATGCGGAACATTGTTCCATTCTGGGAGACATGCAGAGGCAATGTCTCCCAGAATGAGACACTGCGACCGACAGGAGTGCACAATACACTCTTGTCGGTCAAACTTCCGCGTTCAAGTTATCAATGCGGAACATTGTTCCATTCTGGGAGACATGCAGAGGCAATGTCTCCCAGAATGAGACACTGCGACCGACAGGAGTGCACAATACACTCTTGTCGGTCAAACTTCCGCGTTCAAGTTATGAATGCGGAACATTGTTCCATTCTGGGAGACATGCAGAGGCAATGTCTCCCAGAATGAGACACTGCGACCGACAGGAGTGCACAATACACTCTTGTCGGTCAAACTTCCGCGTTCAAGTTATAATGCGGAACATTGTTCCATTCTGGGAGACATGCAGAGGCAATGTCTCCCAGAATGAGACACTGCGACCGACAGGAGTGCACAATACACTCTTGTCGGTCAAACTTCCGCGTTCAAGTTAAATGCGGAACATTGTTCCATTCTGGGAGACATGCAGAGGCAATGTCTCCCAGAATGAGACACTGCGACCGACAGGAGTGCACAATACACTCTTGTCGGTCAAACTTCCGCGTTCAAGTTATGAATGCGGAACATTGTTCCATTCTGGGAGACATGCAGAGGCAATGTCTCCCAGAATGAGACACTGCGACCGACAGGAGTGCACAATACACTCTTGTCGGTCAAACTTCCGCGTTCAAGTTATGAATGCGGAACATTGTTCCATTCTGGGAGACATGCAGAGGCAATGTCTCCCAGAATGAGACACTGCGACCGACAGGAGTGCACAATACACTCTTGTCGGTCAAACTTCCGCGTTCAAGTTATGAATGCGGAACATTGTTCCATTCTGGGAGACATGCAGAGGCAATGTCTCCCAGAATGAGACACTGCGACCGACAGGAGTGCACAATACACTCTTGTCGGTCAAACTTCCGCGTTCAAGTTATGAATGCGGAACAGTGTCTCATTCGAGGAACCCTCGAAAAGAACCTCACATCGACTCTCTTTCCGGCATCTTTACCGCATAGAAAACTGCTCGTTCGCAACTTTGTGTGCAATCTAAGAGATGATTGCGGTAAAGATGCCGGGAAGATTGACGCTGCAGCAGAGAATCACTACGGCTCTCTTTTACCGGCATCTTTACCGCATAGAAAGCTGCTCGTTCGCAACTTTGTGTGCAATCTAAGAGATGATTGCGGTAAAGATGCCGGGAAGATTGATGCTGCAGCCCCAGGCCGCACTCAGATTTCATCCCGCTACACAATTGTTCATCCAACAACTGTCATAGAGGTTGAAATTTTCGACCAGAAGTGAAACATATCATTTTTAAGACTGCGGCGCGCAAGCAAGTTTGAACCTTTCAAGGGTGATCAGTCCTTTACTCATTTCAAGACCTCTTGTTGCCTGATAAAACGATACTTCCTTCCTTGTGGGCCATTGAAAACCGCCCAAACCGTCACAACATGCTTCCTAAATTTTATTTGCGGAGTAATTATCATGCATATTTTATCGGATAATAATATCAAAGCTAAATTTCATATTATTTTTTAAAGATATGCATTTTCTGTCTAAATTTATTTTTTCTGTTTCCAATTCACGGAATAATATTCTTACAAGCATATACATAGCTAATATATATCATTTTAATAATAATAAAACCAAAATGATGTATTCTTCATATAGTTATTTAAAATTCGTTAACTAGAATTGTATTCAGAACGAGGCAAAGTTAGGAGATACATAAAAACCAATAACTTGATAAGTGATACCTTTTTTCCTGATATATCTATATGTGTTAATGTCAAACACGATTTGGAAAAATTAATTCTTTAAATCGGCTTAAGAATAAGACCAACATCAAAAGCATGGCTAATAAATTAATAAATCAATGTTTAATTACCGATTCATGCATTTTTTTCAAAATTTCAAATTTCAAATTTTTGTTTCTCCAAAATATTAATTGTTTCCACTAGATTAACAAATAAACAATAAATTGGATTAATGTAATGCCCAATCATTCATTTTAAATTTTAGATTTAAAACAATATTTTTCTCCATATTATTATAACATGAATCGCTATGATATAAGAAATATATTTTCAATATTGAAATTGAAAAATTCTAAAATTTTTGAAATTCAATTTGAGTGTGATGATCGATAACATATATTTTTGAATTAAAATCTTGTGTCGCTATCATATAAATATACTATTTCTAAATTAAAAATAGGAAAAAAGTACTATTTAATGATGAAATTGCAAATAATATCAATATATATATATTCATGCTGATATATTTCGGGAACAGATTGGCAATCACATAAATAGGATTGTGTTAGTTTGTCATGGATATAAAACAAATTTTCGAGCTAATTGAGCGAATTTAAATCACAAACACTTATATTTTCTATTACAAGGTATATTTGTAATATACAACCAGTAAATAGCTTTCTCTAACTTTTACCAGCTTAGATGATAGCAAATTAGATACGAATTTCATGACCCCTCACCAAATTCCACTAAAACATATACAAATAAAAGTACTAAGTGGGTTATCATCCTAGATGGTAGTTTTGGAAAAACACCTGTTTTTTGGAGTTGCAAAAGTTAAAAATTGAGGGTAATAACAATATGATAAATTTTGGATGAATTCTCGAAATTTTATGCAAGAATGGTTGAGAATGGTTGGAGAAATTTTTGAATATCATTTACATGCAATTTTTTATAGAAATAAAATTCAAAAATAATTTAAAAATACTTTTTAGCACCAAAATGGATTGGATATGAAAGAACAGTATATGGTGATTGTTATTCCATGCTTTAGAACAGGTTTTAATTTGATGTGTTTTTCTTCTATCGGCACATCATATTTTTAAGTTTTGATGGCCGAAAGCCCACCAGATCCTCAAAAACAGATTGTACAAACAGTATCAGCAGTGCTTAATGTCAAAGAGGAAATAATAAACCAAGCTTTAGTATTTAAAAATATATCATTTACTAAGAACGTTGAAAAAGTATGCAAGATTTTGAAAACCCAAAAAGAATCATGGAAGAGAACAAAAGAGTTGTGCAATTACTTCCAAATTTTAGATCCGTATGATCCAAAATCTACGACAAATACAAATACAAGTCAAGAAGTAGGAACGAAAGACCAGACTACAGATGAATCTCGTATTCAAGAATACAGTAATGATAATAACAATACTATTAAAGATAAACAGGATGAGAGTGTAAGAGAATTTACAGGAGAAGATTTTGCGCTAGCATTCTTGGAGCTTTGTTGTACAAGCGAAGGTAAATCGTCAATACTTTCTATAATCGAAGGTATAATGGCTTGCAGAGAGAAGAATTATTTTGTCAAGGAAATTTGTTTTGAAATTGGAGAAGAAGGGAATGGATTTTACTTTGATAAAAGTGGTAGAAACCAGCCAACTATCATTTTGAACAAATGGATACTCAAAAGAAGAGAATTTGGCGTTGTTGTTGCTGGTGGATACTCGCATTTCATACCTGTTCCTGCCTACATATTAGGCCACGAAATTCGCCATGGAAGACACTTCTTGCAGTCAGAATGCTTGGGATATATGGAATGCAGTTTGGCATTCTGTCGATTCTTCAATATGGTGGGACCATGGACCATGCTAACTTTGCTAGCAAGCTCCTATAAAAAGAATGCCGTTGAATTCTGTAAGAACGCCGAAGCAGATTTGAATCGAATAAACCTAAAGACATGCCAAAAGAAGAGGTTCAAGACAGATATATCGAAAAAAATGAATTTTTACTCTCATTGAGAACCGCAAGCTACCACATACCATGGATTAACAAAATACACATTATCACAGATAATCAATACCCATACTGGATGAATTTTACAAATACAAAAATAAATTTCGTCTCCCATAAAACTTTGTTTGGTAACGATGCAGCATTATTCAATAGCAATTCTATACAGTTTGGCATTAATAGAATCCCAGGTTTGGCAAATAAATTTATTATTGCAGATGATGATGTATTTTGGACAAAGAATATATCGAAATTATACTATTTTAATAACGATAGGCCAATCATTCAAATTGATAAACATCCAAAAACTATTACTAGAAAATTTCATTTTGGCTTGAACTGTGAACCAAATAATAATGGCCAAATATATTTCCATAGTATATTCAATGCATTTAAACTCATTCAAATCAAATACCCTAGATTTCCAACTAGTAGTATATGAAGCGGGTTGTGTGACTTTTTTTGTAAACGTAAGAATTCATACAATATTGAACGATTTTGTATCATTTTTTTTAACATATGAAGTAAAAAATGTATGATTCTTACGGTTTTTATTCTTACGTTTTTGAATAAATCAAGATTTAAAAAATTTTCAAAATTGTAAGACATTTACACTCAGCCCATACATAATGAAATAAAAAAAAATAAACTTTAAAAATTCATGTCTTACATTTATGAATAATTTATAAAAAGTTTTTATTCCTACAATTCCTATATTACCATTAATAAAAAATTAACTTCTTACGTAAAATTAAAACTAAGTTAAATTTATTTTTTTTATTTTTTAATTCGTAAGAAAATGAGTATAACAACTAATTCATTGAAATCTTTAAAGTTCACTAATTCAGAATTAGAAAATATTTTAGAAAATTTTGGAGACGGTTCTTATCCAACATATATGCAGAATGTGAAAGAGTTTTCCAGATTGTTGAATGAATTTAAATATAACGGACCAATTACTAAAAAGGCTATAATGATATTTATATCCCAAAAAAGTTGAAAACAGGAGAATATTCCTCTTTATGGTCCGGAGGACCTGGGCTCAGCGAGCCTTGAAACACCTCCTGAATATTTTGAAGAAAAAATTAAACAAGATGAATATTATAACGATGAGATTGAGAAATTGGAACAATTAAGAAATGAAATAGATGAAAGAATTAGTGAATTGAGAAATGCTGAGAATGAAGTAGAGGGTTTAATGAATATCCCAGCTTCAGAATCAGAAGTTCAAAATCACATGAGGAAAGATATAAAAATTACTTTTTGGAATCTACTAAAAATTTATTAGATGGTGATATTGACGAAACACTTTCAGAGAAGGCACAAAATTTATTCATAAACATAAGCTTCAGTTTATTGACGATGGAGATTATCCATGTATATTACTTTCACCTCCTCTTGATTCTGAAAAATTCAAAAAAGCACTGAAAAATGTAACATATGCAACAAATACGATTAAGAAAGAAGACCATGATATTTACACAAATTATTATTTAAATAAATGTACAGGTGTTGATCAAGTTTTTGATTTGTTCGATAAAATATCAAAAGAAACAATTGGTACATATAAAATTTTATGCGATTGTGGTTTCATTATTGAAGATACCAATAATGTTTCATATGAAAGAACAGCACCGAAGGAAGACGAAGTTGAAAGGTCTATACCATTCGTTATTAAGAACATAAAAGATATGAAAACTTATAAACATTATATTTATTCATTTATTTCAGAAAAAATGGAAGCAACCCATAAAACATCATCTCATCATTTTATAGCTATTCATACATTCCTTTTCAAAGTTGTGAAATTAAATAAGACAGGAATTAGATTTAATGTATCAGGGTATGCATTCTTGAGTAAATTAAAATGCATTCGTCACGTCGCAGATGATAAAAATTTATGTGTTCTTAATTCATTTTATGGACTTTAGCCCTGGACTCTCTGAGTCTCGGACTTTAAAAAAAATAAACTTTATTTTTATTTATTTTTTTAATTTTTATTCTTACATAAATGAACAAAAATGGAACAGCTAAAATGAATGATAATCAAATAAGAGCCGAAGGTAGAAGGTTATTTAAACGCTTCTATAACATTCCTGATGGTGTTAATCCTAAAACTCGTAGAAGTTATTTAAATGAAGCCATAGATGCATATGAAGGATTTGACATTTCATCAGAAAGTGAGAGGTTAGCAAGAATGTTAAACGTTAATATTGATTTTTATTATTGTGACCCTCAACCAGAAGACGTAGACATTAACAAGGTAGACTTTCCATTAGTGGATTCAATAATGATAGATCCAGAATTTGAAACAGTAAATATTTTATTAACACAGAGTCCATGTGGAAAACTTCACGCTGACAGAATAACAGACGTTGAAGCACTCACAGGATATAAAGTTTGCCCCTTTTGCAAAGAAGAAGTATATTCTATCCGTGATGATCCAGAAAGGAAAAACCAAAGAAGATTTTTAAAACATTGTGAGAAATGTAAAGAAAATAATGGAAGATTAATTCAAGACGTTCAATTGCAAAACACACAACAACCATATGCACCACATATTACGAAACAGAAGATATATCAGTGGATATTAGCTCACAATTTGCAGGAATATTATCAACCGACAAGATATTATATTACTTTTGACTTCGAAACATTAGAGACTAAAGAAGAATTACAACTTTCTGAGTGTGCAACTTTGAATGCTTACTTAAAACCATTCATGGTATCATCAACGGTTAAATTAAACGATAAAACATATACGAGGAATTTTTGCTTAACTTCGAGTGATTCTTTTATTTCTGATTGGATTAAGTTTTTATTTTCAACCTGTTCATTAGTTGCTAAATCAAATATTGAACAATATGAAGAATTAATGAAGTCGCAAACATTAAATGAAAAACAGAAGGAAGCATTTAAAGAACTTCTAGATGAGGAATTCAATAAAGTGAATATCATAGGTTTTAATTCGGAAAGTTTGATTTAAATTTAATTCTTCGTGATTTAAACACTGCAAAATGGAAAATAAAATCAATGCTGGGTTCATCTTCACAATTTAAGCAAATCATTGTAAAGAAAAAACGTTCCATATGAATTGAGATTTATTGACATCAGAAATTATATAGCGGGTGGGACATTAGATCAATTCACTCAAGATTTCGGAAACAATAATCACGTGTTAAATCCTTTTTCCCTTATCAATTCATCACGTGGGAAATTACGAAGAAGAATTATATAAAGTGGAACCATTCACGAAAGATTCATTTTATTCAGCATTAACTCAAGAAACTATATCAGATAGTGATTATCAAATATATCTCAATGATGCTAAAATTTTAAGAATAGATTAGAATATTTTATTCATTATTGCAATAAAGATGTTGAAATTATGATTGACCCAATTGATAAAATTATCGAAGAAACATTTGTTTATAAAATTGACATGCTTCATAATCTTTCTTTATCATCGAATGCATCATCAATGATTCGTTACGCGTTAGCATATAAGAACTTCAATCCTAACGAAACATATCCAGAAGAAGAAAATGTGGAATCAAGTTTTGAATTAACAAAAAGTATTGGAAATATAAAATTGAATCATATAAGAAACAAGATGAAAAAGCGGAAAGGGATACTAAAAACAATGTTTCAATGGATGACTATCAATACTATCACGATTTAATCCTTTCATCTAAATGCAAAATGTGTGGTAAAGCGTTTACATATGCAAATAAACCAATATTGGATAGAATAGATAATGAAAAACCACATACCAAAGAAAATTGTCAGTTAATGTGTTGTTATTGCAATGTCGTAAAATCAAATAAAGATGAAGATGTTCAACGTTTAAGAACCAATTTAAGAAATTATGCATTAAAAAATAATTTACCAATGACTTTAGATTCAGTTGAAGCTTATCACATTCTCCGTAATGGAATTACTGGTGGTTTATCAAATGTTCAACATAGAGTAAATCTTAAAGGAATCACGCACATTAATAAACTTTCATATAATCCAGAAACTAAACTGTATCAAATGAGGACACCACCAACATTATGACTCATTTCGTTGGAGTTGACTTTAATTCATTATATCCTTCATCATTTTCATCTAATCCTCATGATTTCATTCAATATACTGACCATAAATGTATATGCCGGGAAGATTGAATGGTGTTATCATTTGTGATACAGCAACAAAGAAAGCAAAAGCACTGGGAAATAATTAAGAAGAAAATACTTTATTCGTGGCTGAAGTAAAGGGTCACATTGATGAAAAATACATTAATGATTACATAAACTTTTTACCGATAATAAGAAACTTAGATATTATCACAGATGAAAAACAATTGGCAGTTTTATGTATAATTACATGAAATCAAACAATCTACCAGTTGACCAGAAACAGAGGAAATTAACTCAGTTAGCATCAACATACAACCAATATCAACCATTTTCTTCTTATTATCTTTGGTATCTAATAGACAGATTTCATTTTATCATTGATGACATTCAATCAATTTTCATTTACTAAAAACACTTGTTTAATGAATTTGCGAACATATTTATGAACGAAAGACAAAAGGCTGAATTAGAAGGAAATAAAGGAAAAAGTTTATTTTGCAAGATTTCACTTAATGGATCATATGGTTACGATGCACTGAATACACAAAATTACGCAAAGACTAAAATAATGAATGCACAGAAGGCACGCGTTGCATGTATGTCAAATAAGTTTAAAAACATAAGAGAAATAGGTGAAGATACATATCAAGTGATGCTTAAAGATAGATTTTATAGATGTGATACATGTTTACAAGAGGCATTCTTCACTTTAGATAATGCTAAATACTGGTATTTGGTTTTCATTTATGATTTTATGTATAAATGCATGATGTTAATCGTTTTCATTTCATTGAAGGTGATACTGATTCATCTTATTGGCAATCGCTGGCGACCCAAATCTTCCTAACACTCAAGCATTTCAAGCAATTGTTACCGATAAACAATTTTATGATAAAACATTTTCAAATTCGCACCTTTTGATTTCTTCTGTTTTGATGAGAAATTTAAACCTAAATTAAAGAATAAAGCTGAAGAAAAAGCACATGAGAGAAGTTATTGGTTTAGCAATTGAGAAACAAGGTGATAACATGGTTGCTTTATGTCCTAAATGTTATACATCATTCAATGGTTTCAATTGATGGAAGTGATTTTAAAAAAGATTGCACAAAAAATGAAAGGTGTTAGTTTACGACAAAAATAAACAATTAACACCTAATTATTTGGATATAATAAATGATAAATTGATATTTGATGGTCAGAATATTAATTTACAACTTAAAAACGGGTCAATGACTCGCTTAACAATCGTAAGACTGCATTAACAGGAGCACACCACTAAGGCTGTATGTTTGTGAAAATGGATGTTGTATGCCATTTATTTAATAAAATACCACAGAAGAGACAAAAGGAACCGTTAATGATGGTTTTGATACTATGATTCAAAGAGGTGGGCACCCTTAAAACATTGATTTTATTTTTATATAAATGAATAACACAGATTTAAAAATTTTAATTGATGATTTAGTATTTAATCAAAATTTTCTTAATTATTATGATTTAAAAGCATATCTCCAAAAATATAATAATAATATAACGGGTGATGATATGGAATATTATTATCCATATTATAAAAATGAAATTTTGAAATATCATAATAAAATAATTTCTGAAATTAAAGACAAAATTAAAAATAATGAATATATAAAGGGAAAAACTAAATCACAGCTTAAACAGTTGAAAGATTTCAAAAATAAAGTATTAACAGAAGAAGATATTGATGAATTATATAAATTATATAATCCCGAGCCGCAAAAGCCAAAGGAACAAAAACAAAAGGAACAAAACACCCAGGTCCTTCAGACCATAAATGATGCACAAGCTTTAATTTATGATTCATTAGTTAAACCATATTCAGCCCGACTTTTAAATGAAGATCAACTTTTGGAATTCATCCTTCAACATAAACTCGAAGCGGGAAAGTATATCAAACCTTTATATACAGCATATTTAAAACAAATGAATAAAATACATCCAGAATTAATGAAGGGAGGATTGAATTCCAAAATCAAAGCAGATAAAATTAAACCACTTACAACACCAAAACCTCCAACAGTAGTACCTCCTCCTCCTTCAGTTAATCCTTCATCATTCACTTTATTATATCCATTTCAAACATTTAAGAAGCAAAAAGATTTTAAAAAGGATTTCAAGATATTAAATAAACCAATTGACCCGAAAATTCAACCATTAAAGGAAAAATTTAGTCGACCTTCATTTGCTCCATATCCATATTCATACGAAATCGATCATCTGGAATATTCAAAAGGAAACGTTACTTATTTATTTGCCATTAACATTAACACTAGATATTTATATTGCATTCCGGTGAAAGGGAAAACAGAACAGGAAACAAGAAGAGCTATTCAATACTTACTAGATCATGAAAGAGTAGATAATATCAGGGGTGATGGTGATAAAGGATTTCAGGCAGCTATGGCTCATTATTTCCCACAAATTAATTTTTACTTTTCATCCTCTCCATATACGTTTCATAATAAAATAGTTGATGCGGTAATGAGAACTCTTAGAGATGCGTTAGGGGTTAACGGTCAGATATACTGGGATGGAAATCATGACTCCATCATACAGCAGTTAGTATATTATTACAATAATACATGGCATAGAACTATAAACATGAAACCGGTGGAAATGAAAAATGATATTTCAAAAGAATGGGAATATATTAGAAAGCAAATGGAAAAGTTAAATGATGTTAAACGTGAACAAATTAATTCGGGGCTCATGAATTTTAAACAAGGAAATAAAGTTTTAATTCATCTCGATTATGGAAAAACTGATAAATCAATGACAAAAATAGACGAAGATTTGACACAATAGCTGAATTTGTTAGATATATTAACGGCAATGCATTAGTTGAAGTTGACAAGAAATTAATAGAAATTCCGATTTATTTTATTACTCCATTATATTTAAATAATATTTAATTTTTTTTATTTCGTAAGAAATGAGTGACAACAAAGCAGTCAAGAGTCCAGACAATGAATATAAAAAGAAACTAAACAGAATTAAATCAAAAATATGCTATTACAAAAAGATGTCGCAATGCGGTGGGGTTGAAAACAATAAAACTAATGGAACTGAAAACGATAAAGAGAGGAAAGAAATAATCGAAAAATTAGAAACTTACCGTTCAATCATTAAACTGAGTGAAGCAAAAATAAAAGAATTTAATAGAATAAATAAATTGGTTGGAAGAGATGAATTTAATAAAGATGAATTTTTAAACTCTATCCAAATTTAATTTTTATTCCTCTTCGACAACATCTCTCTTTCCATCATTACTGCATAACCACATTTTCTCAATTTTAGTGGTTTGTTATTTTTAACATGTTCTTGCATCATTTTTATCATTTCCTCCCTTGTTATGATTCGTGGTAAATTTTGAGCTTGTGGGGTATTCATTTATGATAAAAATAAAAATTTAAATTATGCCGTTCTAAAGTTTGTGACAACATGACATTTTGACAACAGTCCCGGAAATGATTTGTCATGACTTCATCGTAATGAGTGTAAATGACCCAAAAATAATGTTTTCATTAACGTAAACATTTATTTCTGCAGTTCATCCATTACTTCATTACCTAATTAATTACAGACATAAAATATATTTAGTTCATTCAATAAATGCGGTACCATGCGAATACAGTCATAAATGGTGGCATATAATCTTCACCCAAGCCTGTTGGATTTGTTGTGAAAGTATGTGAATGATTTCCTCCTGGTTCAGTTGGTCGAAAAGTCTTTTTTGCCGAATGGTTATAATCTGGAGATAAAACGTCATTGCCAGCATAATATTCTGAGTTGTATAATGGATGGTCTTTTAATGAGTGACTATGGTCACCAGAAAAGTTTGTAGTTCCTGTATGAGTGTGCGGTGGAAGGTTTGCTTCTTTAATTTTCTTCGAACCACCTATTTGCTTTGAAGAGTTCGCACAATACAAAAACCTGTCAACTATTTGTTCCCATGCACCAACACCAAACATTACTTGAGGACCTCTTGCATCCATAGATGTATAAATAGAACCTACTGGGTTCATTAAATCAAACATATGAGATATTATAGGATTGTCTCTTTTGAACTTAAAATATAGTGTAACTATTTCAGGTTTCTTCTGGTTTGTGTCAGAATATTTTTTATAATATAATCTTATGTTTTCAGGGTAGGTAAAATCTTGACTATAATATTTATTTCTGTCATCTGTATAATAATATACTATTCTCGTTTTTTCTATTGCATTATATCTTTTATATCTATAATAATCTAAATATAATGTTAACTTTTGTTCATCTACATGTGGTGTTCTGACATCATCTCCATAGTCATAATAATATGGTGCTGGAGCTGGGTCAGGCAATGTCATATCTGCCATTTCATAAACTCTTAAATATTTCTTTTGTTCGTCTCCATATAAGTTTAAGTAGCAGTTGTTGTCTAATGGAACTTTAACTTGTGTGTCATCATTCTTTTTATAACTTACATACATTTCATTGTTATTTTTCGGAATGAGTTTCCACCGTATACCATTTTTTAAGGAGTGTACAAACTGCCATCTAAAATATTTATTTTCTTCATTGACAGAAAAGTCGCCAACAATAGTTTCAATATTTTTTGTTCCTATCAAACTTTGGTATATTTCGTTAACATATGTTTTATCTGCCTTCTTCCCTAACTCATCGTTAACATATGTTTTATCTGCCTTCTTCCCTAACTCATCGTTAACATATGTTTTATCTGCCTTCTTCCCTAACTCATCGTTAACATATGTTTTATCTGCCTTCTTCCCTAACTCATCGTTAACATATGTTTTATCTGCTTTAAGGTCTAAACATCCTGAAACCCATCCTGTATCAGCTTTAGTTTTTAAAATCTTTGATGTCCATTCATGATACCATTCAACCATTTCTTTAATTTCATTATCTTTTTCATCCACATATTCCTTATCTGTCCTCTTCTTTAACTCACTATCCACATATTCCTTATCCGCCTTCTTCATTATGTCATTTAGGAAACCCTCTATGAATTCCTCATTTAAATTAAATCTTCCAATCTTCAAAACTTTAGGAAATGCATTTAATGCGTAATATCTCTGTTCTTCTGGTGGAATTGATGTTATATCATCCGTTATACCTTTAATTTTTGAATTCATAAATAAAATTTCTTTTATATTTGATATCACCGCACCACCTTTGCAAACGAATTCGAAATGGTCATTTTTCAATACTATCTCCAAATCTCCATATTTCAACCTTTGCGTTTGTTCTGCCGTCTTTGAATTATATGCATATATGGCGTATGTAATGGTCTGAGGGACCTGGGTGCTTTGTGCCTTAAGTTGTTGTGGTTGCTGTTGTTTAATCATTTATTATGATTTAAAAATAAATATTTAATCCGTTATCTCATCACCTATTTTTTCTATTTGAAATTGCCATAATATTTCATTCATGAATTCTAAATCACAATCAAATAGGTCGGTTATTCTAAATTTAATATTTGATAAATCTTTTGAATGAAGAATAAATGAATTCCCGGATAATTGAAACGGAAATGATAAAGAAAATGTGTTTAAGTTGATGGATAAAATGTTTTGTATTGATGGGTAAGAGTTAGGGTCTAATGTTTGATGTGAAAATCTCATTGGGGTATTAACTTTATCACATTTGATTAAAATGAAATTGGAACCAGTGTCAGAATACAAAACATCCCCAACATCTTTTCAAAATTTAATATCCCCAACAATGAACGAAGATGAGGAGTACAAAATTTAATTTTCAGTGGAAATTTAATAAGGTTATTTATTTCATCAAGTTCAAAAAGTTTATCGGGTTTTGATTTAAAATTTTCTTCATACCATACGATAAATGATTCATTTAAATAACTTAAAATCATGTTAATATCCCATTTCGCTATCACATTATTTATATACATATCATACGTTTTTTCATGGTCATCTTTAATAAATGATATATAATCTGAAGGGTCTAAAAGAATGGGATTAAATTTACCACTCACAGAAACGAGAGTAACATTATAAATTCCGCTAACTGTTAAATTTAATTCACAGTTATTATTCGAAATAATATTGATAATTGACATTTTTATTACGAATAAAAATATGGTAAAGCGTTATTTTCCAGTGATAAATAAAACTAGAATAAGATTACCTCAAGAATTCATAAATTCAACGAATAAGAAATTCATTCATGTTATAAATTTTAGTGTTTTCAGAAAATATGAGTCAATGTCATATTCATCATCGGGTTATATTTCACTTCATTCAAATTTAGTTCAATCAAACCCATATAATGACCATTTCATAAGATTTTCAGATGGTATTAAAAATGTAATTGATAGATTAAAATATGAACAGATTGACAATATCGAATTTTTGGAATTTTGGTTTAAATATCCCGATGGAAAAAAGATTGAAGTTAAAGATAAAGCTGATACTATAACAAAAACAATTACAATGACCGATCCAGATAGTGGGGAACAAAAAGAAATAAAACAAACGATAGAAACTGGTGAAAGGTCAATTATTATCGATTATGATTCAAAGGATTATTATTCAATAATGTTAATGCTTGAATATTAAATGGCCTTAACAAAGAATTTTTCAAGTGATATTTTATATTCATCAACTATTTTATTATAAATATCATTATAAGTTAAATGTAGTTCAGTTGTTGTTCCGTTCTTTGATATCTTAATCGTGCTAATATCCTTTATAGGATTTATTTTTGCAACTGTTCCGCAGCATGAAACCTCATCATCTATGAAAAATTGAATCTTAACGTCTGAATCTTGAACATCACAAAGAATGGCGATAATGTGAATTAATGATTCATAAGGTAAAATAATTAAACCGGATTGATCAATTAAATTTATTATTGAATCATAATTATCAGTTATTATATCACGGTAAATTTTCATTAATTCAGAATTAATGTCTATTTTATATGGCGCATTGCGACTGGAATCATAGATTCCTGGGTTCTCAATGTTTGATGAAAGAGGTGGGGGGTATGTTGGATAAGTGGGAATTTCAACAGGTTCTTTACCGGGTTCAGATAAAATGATTGGGTCTCCATTCTCCTCATTCTTCGGTAAGTCACGAGTTAATAAATTTGGTTGAGTTGCTGACCTTGTTAATTCAGGACTAACATTAACTTTAACATTTTGAATAATTCGTGATTTATCATCATTTACGTTATAACCAACCGTAATCTCTGCTTTTGCGTTAGTGTTCTTTTGACTTGTGAAACGTCTTCTCATTTATAATTGAATAAAAAAAAGAAAAATATAATTAAAGTTTTATTTAGTTGTTACGGTAATATCCCAAGGTTCATCATTGTTTGCTTATACTTTCTTTGTAACTGCACCAATTATGTTATTGATATTGCTTTGAGTTTCTTCCAGTCTTATTTTATCATTTACAATATCTTTAATCATTTCATTACATGCATTCTTAAAACCATCTGATTTTTCTAATTTACGTCTATCACTTTCTTTAATTAAATCAAAGTTATAACCTTGTTGAGAATAAAGTGGTTTCTTTATCAATTCCTTGAACGCTTCTGAAAGTGAAGATGAAGAAATTCTTGCCACTTGAATTGGTTTAAATTCTGCTTTCATTGCTTCTTTCTGTTCATTGAACACTGGATCGAATAAAGCAACTTTAAAGAATTTCTTAGCTGGAATTTCAGGTCTAATATTTGCATATTGACCATCAAACTGATTAACATATCGTGGTAATCCATCCGGTCCCTCTTCAATAGCATTTAATTCTTCATTGAAATAAGAATATGGATTATAACGGTATGAATTAATTGGACCATTTTCACCTTCTCCAATGTATTGTTTAACAGCTTTTCCATTTTCATCAAATTGCATAGGATAACGTTCATTATATGCTTTACGTTTAGGATAATCCGTCATTGTTAATTTATACCCATTTATGACTTTAATATTACCTTGACCATCAGTAACGAAAACTTCATTTATACCATCAGGTTTTCCATTTGGACCCGTAATGTCTGCTTCGTGTGCTTCCCAATTTGGACCATGACGTTTGGCATATGCTTGAGCTTCTGGTAATGTTAAAACATTTCTCATTTGTTTAACATCTTTTTGAAGACCAGCAACAATGTGGACTAATTCTTTCATTCCGTCTGGAACTTTCATAGTTCTATTATATGCACCCCCCTTTTTGTTTGTCCCTTGTTTTAATGGAACCTGTAGAAGATTTGCAATTTCTGTCATGTTTAATTATAAATAAAAAATAAAAATTAATTATAAAAAGTTAATCAAATTTAACACTTCCTTTATTTAAATCAACTATTATTTTCCCATGTTCACCTAATTGCTGATATTGTGTGTAAAGTTCATTAATGCTCATTGGTAAATTCACTTGATAAAGCATAACGTTCAACTGTTGACGACTAAAACCACTGAAAATGAAAAGGGTGGACAGGTTTGATTTAATGTTTGTGCTTAATGCTTTGAAGTATTGAACAGCCATGAAGAATGAACACTGAATGTGTCGACATTGAGTTAATAACTGATTAAAATATGATTTCTCATTTGTTATTAGTTTTGATTTCACGGCATCATCTAGAAAAATTAGTGAATGCAAAAATTCTCTATCAAAATTTGAAATAGAAAGTGTTTCAAATAATTCATCCCGTTGTTTATCAATAATTTTATCCTCTAATCCTTGCTTCTTGATTGTATTATATAATTCTTTATACATTAAAAAGTTTTTTAAATAATCTTCTGCTTCTTCTTGTGATAAATAAATAATTGGAATTTTGATTAAATGCTTTAAAGATTCAAATGTATCATCTGAAGGTGAACCTGAACGGTTGATATAAATTAACACATGTGAATGGGGGAAGTGTTAGCAATAATGATAATTTGTTTTAATATCGTTAATGTTTTACCTTTATTTTGTTTACCAATTGCTGCAGTGATTGAATTTAAGTAACATTCAGAATATGGAATTTTCATTAATTTTTCCTTAGATAGAGCATTTCTATTATCACTCAATGCTTCATTAATCATATCATCTACGTATGTATTATATACATCTGTTAATTCTTCAGAATTTAAATCCATTTAATCAAAAATAAATTTATAATTTTAAACATTTCTATTCATCAATATTTCATCATATGAACTTCTATACTGTGGTGGTGTACCTGTTGGATGATATTTCAAACCTTCTCCGGTGTCCATGTCCAATACGTAGTCCTAGTAAACCAAACCTGAGGAGGATTTGTCACTTTTGAACAGTAAGTGTCATTTTCACCTGAATGATTGGATAAGCTTTCACTTGTACTGTAACTTGTGATTGAAAGTTTCTAATCCATCAAAGAATATACCCGCTCCATCACGTTGAACTGGAATAGTGCATAAGAATGAAGTTTGGTCTTTCCATGTTCTAGCTAATGGCGTGCCATTATCATCATTCAGTGGTCTAGTTAATGAGTCCTCGTATTCTTCTGTGCATTCATTCACTCCATCTAAATCAGAAGCTTGAAGCATACGTGTAAAGAATATGTCGCCCACTGTGGTCATCGCTTGATCGGGGAAGTTTCTGGAATCTATAGTGACCTGAAGACCTCGAAGCATTGGATTTTCTAAAACGTTCTTTGCATTGCATTCTTCGGAAATGTTAACACAACATCTGTAACATTATGAAGAGCGTATGAGAAATCTGAGCTAATACCTTCAGGAGTGATGCAACCTCCATTTAGTGAACGAACGTCAATATGTTGAGCTGGAATCATGAATGGATCTTCCTTACTGAATAAACGTGGTATTGCTTTAACTGATTCTTCAATTAAACCGTATCCTGGTGTAATACATTTATCCTCTAAAACTTCCATCTTTGTGCATGAAATAATAACGTCATCAACTGTTGCGTCAGCAGATGTAGCGGCTAAGCTTGTAATTAATTTGGCAGGAAGTCCGATTTGTTGGAATTTGCGATCATATTTATAAACATGATTCATAATCTTTTCATAATTTTCATCAGTTATCTTTTCATAAACGTAATTTTGTAAATCAGCAACTCTTAACGGGTCAACCTGACAAAATACTAAAGTATCCCTGAAAACATAATATTTAAGAATGATATCACCAAATGATTTAGGATAATCATCGAACGCCTGAAATGCTAACAAATCATTTACCGGAATAATCATATCAAAAGTGACATCAACTTCTTCATTTGCTTTCTTGAAAACTTCTGAAGGGTCAATATATTTACCACATACTGAGTTATCATATTTTTGAACATTATTATATAACGAATGAACAAACTTTTTAACTTTCCTTTCTGATTTTGGTTTATATGTTGCAAATGCGAAAGATTCACGGGCGCAATCCATTGAAGATAACCGGCATCACCTCTTTCAGTTTCTACTTCTAATTGTTTAAAGTTTTGATTTGATGATTTGTAACCAACGAATAAACGCATGCATTTAAAAGCGGCATCACATGTGAAAGCTTTATTTGAAACTAGAGTTGCTTTAACTTTGCGTTTAATATATGTGTCACCTAATTGGTTCACATCATGAGCCGGATTTGTAATTCTTAAATGAGTTTGTTTATCATCAAAATATGGAGTATCAGAGTCATAGCATGAACTTTCAAGTTCTCTATAATATCTTCTACCATCATTCTTTGCGAATATTTCATTTATCTTTTCGAATGAATGAAACACATTTCCATTAATGGTTTAGTGTTTGGCACTAAATAGTTAGTCGTCATTTATTAATAAATAAAAAATCAAAATTAAAAGATGAAAATGAATTTTTAATTTTAATGAAATAATCAACTATGGCTGCAGGTATATTTAAGAAACTGTGGGATAAAGTAAAAAGAGGAGCGAGTAAAGTTTGGGAAACATGAAGAAGGAGCAAATTGGATATTTAAGAATAAAGAAGCAATTAGTGACGTTGCTGAATCAATAACACCAAAAGCTGCCCCAATAAGAGAAATTTTAAATAAAGGAGAAAAAGTTTATCAAAGACTACAACCGATACTAAGATAAAAATAATATTTATTTATTTTTCCACTATCTACCTCCTATTTTATTAAGTATTCCTTCAGCAATTCCACCAATTGCGTTACCTGCTTGTGCTCCCATCGCCGGATTACCTGCTTTAGTACCTAATACTCCACCTATGATAGTTCCTGCCGTTTTCGCTACTGGTGCCAAAAAGTTTGCAACGGGTTTAATAACCTTTTTATAAACCCAACCCGCAGCTTTCTTAATTCCATCCCATAATTTTTTAAAGAATCCTGCCGCCATTTCTGATTTAATATTAATTAAAAAAATATATTTCATCACTTATATTCTAATTTTTATTTAATGATAAATGAAACGATTTTAAAAATAAATGAAACAGAGGAGAAGAAATAAATGAAAGTGGAAATGTTCAACAAAAAATAAACGTTGTTAAACCAATTACTGAAATAAAAATTTTTTCATCTGTTGAAGAATTTAATGACTATTATGCTAATAATAAAAAATTATTTGAAGAATTGACAACATGTAAATTGAATAAAATGTTTAAAGTTGATGGATTCAAAATTTCAAAAATAAAAGGGTGATTAGTTTGAAATCTATTCCCCAATCAAGAATCACCTCATTAATGAAAATAGATGATTTAACAAAAAGAATAGAAATTATTGAAGAGCGAATAAATCAAATTATTGATTTCATAAATCATGACTCGTTGAGCCCGGGTCCTTAAAGCCCATCACTGAGTTCAAGGTTATATTCATCAAATATTTCATTATTAAATGCAACTTCTGCTAGTTTATTTATTTTTTCAATACGATCATTTGAAAGTCTATCGTTTAATTTTTTCTGAAGTTTTTCATTTTCTAGTTCTGAAACTTTATTTGGATGATATGTAAATTCATGAAATTCTTTTTCCTCAGTTTTGATCATTAATTTACAAAGAACTTTTGTGGATGGAATTCGTTTAAACCATTTATCATTAATATTTGTTATAAATTCAATATTCGGAATTAATTCCCAAATTTTTGCATTTTCAATTAATTTATTATCAAATGCAAAAGCAATAGGTTTAATATTAAACTTACCTTTATAATATAAACTTTCTACATAATCATCGAAATAAACATCTACTTGTTTAACATTTTCAAGAATTGGTGAAAGAGCATCCATTAATTGATTGACGGTTACGAATCTTGATCCACTCATTTTCTTACGAATTAAAAAAATAAAAAAAAATAAATTTAACTTAGTTTTAATTTTACGTAAGAAGTTAATTTTTTATTAATGGTAATATAGGAATTGTAGGAATAAAAACTTTTTATAAATTATTCATAAATGTAAGACATGAATTTTTAAAGTTTATTTTTTTTTTTATTTCATTATGTATGGGCTGAGTGTAAATGTCTTACAATTTTGAAAATTTTTTAAATCTTGATTTATTCAAAAACGTAAGAATAAAAACCGTAAGAATCATACATTTTTTACTTCATATGTTAAAAAAAATGATACAAAATCGTTCAATATTGTATGAATTCTTACGTTTACAAAAAAAGTCACACAACCCGCTTCATATACTACTCCAACTCCAAAATTTAACTACGCTCATACTTCGTTCCCTTATACCCTAAAGTTATTTAACGAAGCAATTAAGGAGTTTCCAATAGTCCAGGAGCAAATAAAATACAAATTCAGAACCTGCGACATGATTCAATTTCAGAGTTTCCTCACTTATTATGCAGTGGCCAAGAAAGCAGCTGATACAATAGTGGGAGATTACATATTATTGCTAACCGAAGGATGTGATAGCCTTGCAAAGCAAATAATCGAGAGGACAATCGATAAATCATCTGTTTGTATGAACTATTGCGATGCAGAAAGTATTTCAAAGATTATTAATTTTTATCCTAAGAGTGAATATAAAAAAAATAACTATCAGTTCTATAGAATGAAATTTTAATTTGTAAGTAAATATAGCTGTATTATTTGATTAAGGACATGCTTTTTAATATGAGTATAAGTACAAAAAAGATATTTTCTCTCCAATATTAAGTTGAAATATATATATCTGAAAAATAAGAATGTCATATTCTTTTCTTCATTAATTTGGGCTATTCATCCTTTTTATATGCACCTATGTTTCCACGATAAAAAAATTCAATAAATTATAATGAGGAATCAAGTTTTTTGATAGAGAAAATGGAAATAGTGTATGTATAGGTTCTCAATATTAGCAATATTAGATAAGATTTAGGAATAAAACACAAAATTTTGTGTCACTTTTTAGGGAAAATCTTGGTTATACAAAAATTCGATTGATGCACAGCGAAGATTCAAGATCAAATCATACGCAGTGCGGAAACGTAGCAAATGATAGCCAAGAGGTAATTCATGGATTCAAACTCGTCAAATCTAAAGAATTTCCGCAATATAACTTTATTGCGCGAATGTATGTTCACGAGAAGCATGGGTGTCAATTCCTCAACATCGAAACGAAAGACAATAACAATACATTTGCAATTACAGTCAAAACATTATGTTTTGATGACAGCGGCTCAACGCATGTTTTAGAGCATATGGTTCTTCATGGTAGCGAGAAATACCCTATCAATGACGTATTCAATGAACTAGAAAAACGTTCAATCGCTTCATATATGAATGCATCTACGTATTTTGACTGGACACAATACCCGTTCACAACACAAAACGAAAAGGATTTCCATAATATACTCGATGTCTACATGGATGCTGTCTATCACCCACAACTTAGCGAAAATAATTTCTTGGTCGAGTGCCATCATTTAGAGCCATCCGATCTCAACGATCCCAACTCCCAATTAACACATTGTGGAGTAGTTTACAACGAAATGGCTGGTGTTTTATCATCAGAATCAGAATATTATTCAGAAAAGCTTCGTGCAGCATTATTATCCGACACTCCATACAGATTCATCTTTGGCGGTGAACCATCATCAATTGCCAAGATGACTTTAGACGATTTAAAGAGCCAACACAAAAAATATTATGCTCCATCGAATTCTTTGTTTTTCCACTACGGATCCTTCGACAAAGTCAAAATTTTCGAACATGTTAACAGTTTCTTATCAAAAATCGAACCAGTTCATGTAGAATTTCCAATTGAAAATTTAATCCAGCCAAAATGGTCAGAACCGAAGCGCATTGAGATAGAAGGTCCAATGGGAACAATGGGTGATGATTCCAAGAAGATCAAGTCGACAATTCAATGGCTAATTGGAGATTGTTCCGAAGATCAGTTATATTATGACTTATACGTCATAGATGCATTGCTTACAGGATCCTGTGCAGCCTCTCTTTATCAGAAGCTCATTAAGTCCCAAATTGCGGTTGCATTTCTCGAAACAGGTCCAGATTCATCGATGAAAAACCTGACATTCCACATTGGCGTTGAAGGACTGACAGAAGACAATTTAGAGTTGTTCCACGACACAGTTATGGAAACGCTCCAAGAAATTGTCAAAAACGGTTTTTCAAAAGAATTAATTGCTTCTGCCCTTCATTCCATTGAAATTACTGAGCGCAGGATCTCGGGAAATTTCGGCAAGAGGCTCCTCAACTCAATGACGAGCGAGTGGGTCATGGGTCTCGATCCATTTAAAGTCATGGATGTTACAAAGTATTTGGAAGATTTGAGGGAAAGAATCGAGTCGAACGAAAACTATTTGGAAAACATTGTTGACAAATATCTCTTGAACAACAAGTCAAGAATACATTTCGTAATGAGACCTGTTAAGAATTTCATCGAAGATAGAAATAAAAAAGTGCAAAATGAATTGAATGATTTACAAAATACGTTATCTGATGAAGAGAAACTGAAAATTGTTGAAACAGCGAAAAAACTGAAGAAACATGTTGAAGAACCGAAACCATTGCATCTATTACCATCTGTTAAACCAAAAGATATCGAAAGATCATTAATTCCATTGACGATGTCAAAAGAAAATGGAATTTGGGTGTTTGAAGTTCCTACAAACGGTATCGTTTACGGGCGTATCAGATGTGAAGTGAATTTGAATGATCTTTTGATACGAGACACGAGAATTTTTGCCAATTGTTTTGCAGCGATAGGATGTGGAGATTTAGATGATGAACAATTCAGTATACAAGAAGATCTTTATACAGGAGGTCTCGTGCCAAGTGTTGTTGTTGATACTGATACAACTTCAAAAGAAGATAATCCGAAATTATATGTAATTTTGTCTTTTTCGTGTTTGGAAAGAAACATTGAAAAAACTTTGTCACTTTTACGATCAGTTCTTTTTGAACCATATTTAGAAAACAAAGAACAGATCATTGCATTGACAAATATGTTGGCAAGTGAATATACTGATGATATCATGGATTCCGGATCTACTTTCGCTTCAATTTGTTCTCAATCGAAATTAAGAAGATCTTCTGCAATTGAAGAAATTATTGAAGGTGTCACGTTTCTTAAACGCATCACTTCACTTACGGAATATGAAGACAACCATGACGAGATTGTTCAAATCGTTAGTGACTTTTATCACAATGTGTTTAGGAAAGGAAAATTCGATGCTTCTTTGAATTGCGAAAAGAAAAACGCTGAAATTTTGAAACCAAAAATTTTTGAGTTACTTCAAGAATTGAACAAAGGAACTGACATGGAAAGTCTTCAGTCAGAAAGTAGATATGATTTGATTGACGAGTTCATTGACCAACAAAATGAATTCGCAAATAATTTCATCGAAATCGACACTTCAACTAATTTTACAAGTGTCTCAAAAATTGCTCCATTATTCAATGAAGATTTGTCAATTGCTACAACAGTGCTTGCAAAACTTCTTGAAGGAGAAATCTTCTACCAAGATGTCAGACTGAAATTGAATTCTTACGGAGCAATCGCAAGCTACAATTCTGTCAAAGGAACATTCACTTTGTCTTCGTACAGAGATTCGAATTGTCAAGGAGTTATTAAAGCAGCACATGACTGTTTGGTTAAAGTCAAAAATGGAGAATTTACTGATGAAATGGTTGATAGAGCAATTGTCCAATTATTCACTGCTTTAGATAAACCTGTGTCTCCTTCAATTCGTGGTTATTATCTGTTTATGGGTAACTATAACCAGGAAGACAAAGCAAAGAGAAGATTGAAGTATTTGGATGTAAAGAAAGATGATTTGATTGAAGCAGCCAAATATTTGCTGGAAATGGAAGAGAGAATAACAGTTCTTGGAAATATTTCTGTGTCTCAACCTCCTGATGACTTCTTAATAGAAAAATTAGCTGATAATGATGAATCTACTACTGAAAATTAATTTTATATATATATTAGAAAAATAAAGACTCTATTTCTTTTTTTAAAAAAAAAAGCTTTTTTTTTCAAGGATTAATATGTACAAATTGGGAGAAGTCTCATAAGGTCAAAGGTTCCTCTCACAAAGTGACTTTAAATTTTGTGCGAACGAGCAGATCTCTCGCTTGAGCCTTTACTCTGTGTTTGGACATAATTATTCAAAATAAGCGCCAAGTTTATGACAATATCGTCAAGCAATGTCTAATGCATATAACATGATATTATTTCCAGGGATATTTGGTCATTCAGAAGTTCTTAAGAGTTAACTTCAATCATAAAATAAAGTTTAAAAAATTGCACAAATTGATATTTTAATTCCGGATCTATTTGATGAACACATGAATTTTGTACGTTATTTGTGATTTATAAGAAGTAGACACTTGAATTGATCGTAAACATCTAAACTAAGATGGAGATTTGAATGAATTCTATAAAATATTTATGATATCTAAAATTGATGAGAAAATATTTCATTTGTAGATTATGTGATGGCTGTAGTATGCTAAAATTTATGGAAATTAGAAATGTAAAAAAAAAAGAATAACCAAGAATGGCAGCATATCAAATGAGTTATTGGGCGTAAATCATGAAGATAGCCTGTAAAAACGCATGTGGTCCTACTAATAGGAAATAGTTCTTATAATCATAAGTAATGGCTAAGTTTTGTGATTGTCAAAAATTTTTTTAGTTGATGATAGTTAAGATCAGAGCTACAACTGGTAGGATTTACAAGCTAGAACTTCCACAAAATGCAACAGTAGAACAATTAAAGCAGGCGTTTAAAAAAGTTATTGGATTTTCTCAATTCAAAGTTAAAATAAAATTCATTTATTTGGCATACATTATGGAAGATGCAAAAACCATTGAATCATACAATATCAAAGATACCGAGTATATTGTAGCATCATTAGAAAATAAAAATAAGCAAGATTTATTTGATTTAACGTCAACATTGTATCCACACAATTATATGTATACTAGTCTTCCAACAAATGAACCTCTACCAAATTTCTCGGACTCAGATTCCATGAGCAGCAGCGGTGAAGACGAAGAATCTGAATCTGACGGTTTTGAGTACTGCGAATCCATTGAAGGTTTGCAGGAACTCGGCTTCTTGAAGTCAGACTGCCAAGCTGCTATCAAAGCCGCAATGGGAAACTTTCAAATTGCACTTGCTTATCTTGAAGCTGGAATAATACCAAGCAAAGGCGATGTAGACAATTTTAACAAATTTATTGATAATGTGAAAGCAAACATTGAAGTTCTCGATGAAAATCCAGACCATTTGAATCAAGTCCTCAACGATTTAGAAAAAATACTTCCTGAGCAAGGAGCTCTTTTCAGAGCTAAGCCAGAATTACTAATTCAACGCCTCGGACTTAATCCGAAAGATTTTGATCTCGAAGAAATTCGAAATACAGAAGCTATCGACCGCATTACAGCAGAGAATGAAGCATCTAATCCATATTCTCCAAATGACGAAGAAGAACCAATTCCTGATCAAGATCCACTTTCGAAATTTACTCCTGAAGAACAAGATGCAATTAAGCGACTTTGCGAACTTGGGTTCGATATACATTTAGTTATCCATGTTTACGAAGCATGCGATAAAAATGAGGCTTTGACAGCTAATTGTTTGCTGGCAATGAACGATTAATATCTTATATTTTATTCTTTTTTGTATGTAAAATTTAATATAACGTATATATCTTACTAAATTATCTTTCAAATTTCATGAATACATATAATGCAAAATTAAATTTAAAAAAATGTTTTCATCAGGGTCCTTTGAAAAGCAAGGATCTATTCTCAATCTGAAGGTTTTGGCTTTTGCATGAAAATCTATATATTTTTAAATATGATTCTATAATTTAAATTATTATGATGATGTTACTTATTATTATATGTTGTTTTCACCATATAAATAATTACTCTTCCCAAACATGTTTGTCGTTAAGAATGTTCATGCACAGCTTATCTTCAAAATTCACAAACATATTTAGATCTGGGCCAAACGCTGTGCATTAGATTAGATTCATTAGATCAGATACTACCCAAATCACATTAGACATTTTTAGTTACAGTTAGACAATATACAAGAAATGAAATCATAGATAACTTTTCAATAATTACATTTTGAAATAAATAGATAAATAATATTTTACTCTTGCAATGGATACTACTACAAACAGAAAGAAACTATATATCCTCATTTGGATTTTCTCTGATTCTGATACAAGCATCAAGTGTTATAATGTTTTCTTGGTCTAATTCTCCCAAGAAATTATGGAATTCATTACCATAATTAACAACTGTTGCTGCAATGACATCAAGAACATCTCTCCTCAAATCTTCAATTTCTAATGAAGCAATCATTTGGTCCTTCAACAATTCCAATGCATGAATAACACTTTCCTTGTCAGCCTTGCCAATTAATCCTGTGAAAGCTACAAAACATCCATGAGTTGGAGAGAAAATATCTGCAATTTCATTAACAATTTGAGGATTTTGTTCGCAAATGTCTTTCAAGACACTTCCAGCATAAGAAGCAACTTCTTCGCTCTCTTCAGTTAAGAGGACAAGTAATGGAACATATTCTGGATTGAATTCTTTTGCTTCCTTGATAATTGTTATCAAAATTGTTTGAGTCTTTTCATCGTACATTCCTTCTTGAAGAACTTCGATGTCAACAGGTTTTCCTGTCTTTGCATTCATCATTTCCTTTTGTAGTAAGCTAATTATTGTGTCTTGTTCTGTTCCATTGAAAATTTCATCTAATTCTGGTAATTTTGTTTCGACATCAACTAAAACAGACTTTCTCATGTCATCTGGGATATTGAGAATTGTTCTGATGCATAATTTCTTGTTTGCTTCATATATTTTTTGCAATATATCGATAACTAAAGCAACATTATTTTTGTATTGATCTCTTTTGATGGTTGCAAGTACTGCTCTTACTTGATCGTCAATATCATCATTATCAAGAGCATTTTCAAGAATTATTGGCATAACAAATGGCTGTTCTGATGAATAAAGTAATCTGATTACGCCTTGTTTGCCATAAGCAGTTGACAAAACGTTTATTATCGACTTCGCAGCTGCTTCATCACTAGGAAGATTTGTAAGGATATCAATAACATATGGAATTAAATAAGATGCGCAGAAATTGCAAAGATCTGTAAGGAAATCAGCAGAAATTTGTGATGATTTCTGCATTTCAGCAATAAGGATATCAATTATTGGTGGAAGGAATCCAAACAAATCTGGAGATTCTTGTTTGATATAATTTCTTAATGATTCTATGTCTGATTTTGCAATGATATCATCAAGGGTTTGTTTCTGTTCTGGAGTAACTTCGTGATCTTCAAATGGCTCTGGATCTGGAATGAAATCTTCTGTTGCATCGGAATGTCTCTTCATTGGAGTCTTTCCATCATCTTCCTTTGCGCGTTTTACTGATTTTGTGCTGAGTACAGATAATGGCTTCAATGGCGTCATTCCATTATCAACTCTTAATGGAGTTGTTCCATTAAATGCACATCTTGGGATCTTTGAAGGAGTTACACCATTATCTCTTGCTGGTGTCTTTGTAGGGATACCGCTCTTCTTAGATGATGTCGAATCAGTTATCTTTGATTTATGAATTGGAATTTTTGATGCAGTTGATTTGGTAGAAAATACTGAAACGCTATCTTCATTTGCGTATTCAGAAGCGAGGCTACGTATTTTTGAGGATTTGTCTGTCCTTGCTTGATTAATAAAGTATTGGAAACGTCCGGAATAAGATTCTGGCCAAGAAGAGATTGTAGCAATCATAGCTTGAAGAGTTGTTAAGCGAGCTTCTTCACTAGGACTTGTAATGCCATTTTCAAGTGTAGCCTTTGTATTTTTACCATAAACGTATTTAACATAATTAACAACAGCAAAACGAGCTGAATATGCTATAACTGCAGCACCATTGTTTGTCTTATCAAGAAGTTGTGGGATTATAAAGAAACTTGAAGTGTCCAAATGATTTTTCAATGATTTCGCAATTGTAACTAATGCTAAGCATGCACCTTTCATAAGTGTTGATCTTGCATCTGTAAGACATTCAACGAATGATGTAACAATTGTTCTGAATTCGGCTGCGGATTGTTTAACGTTATTTGTTCCTTTGCAAAGAGCAGCAATTCTTGTTACTGCTTGTAGGCGATCATTCCAATCTGCTGTTCGTTTTAACTTTGATTCAAACTTTGTAAATTTAGTAAGTCCATCATCAGCAATTACATCATCTCCTGCAAACTCGAATTCGACCTCTAATGAAGAGATAATGTCTTCTGTTGACATTTCTGAAGGAGTTGAGCTTTTGATGCTTTGGCGACGCATTTTTGCAATTTTTAAACGTATACTAAAACCATTTATTACTTCACAATCAAGTTTCTAACTTGTTTGCAGACGAATAATTAGCCTGAGATAATTTAATGCAGATTCTTATTATCGTACAAGTCAAATCTATACTTTATCATCATATTTTTTAAGATTTAATTTTTGTTCAAGAAATACCTTATTGAACACTCTTAACTTGTAATTTTTGGATATCTTGTTATTAGAGTATAATTAAATTGGGAAATCACTTGAAATGAGATTTGAAATATTAAAATCATGGACAATATGATAAATATTTATTCTATAACAATAGTGCCAAAGTTTTTTGGACTAATTTTAAGATTTCGCAAAGAAAGAAAAGACATAGAGGATATTGTTGTTGAAAGATTTTCTTTGAACATTAGTCATAACAATGACTCCAGGCTGTTATGCACTGTGTATTTGTTCTTTCGATGCTATACAGTGGTAAATGTCATGAAGCTATTTGCTGTGAATTCTCTGGAATTTTTTCGAATAAATCAATAAAATTGTCCATTGCGGTTTCAAATTCTTCATTATCTATATCAGAATCAAAATAGTCATCAAACAGATCACTTTCATTGATTTCATCATAAACTAGCACAGCAACTTGGCAATTTGGATAGTTATCCAACAGTTTTGTCAATCCTAAAATGCAATTTTTTCCAAGTTTCTGATGATATTCTAATATTCCCCAAATAAGGATTTGGAGAAAATCTGTAGAGCCAAATATGTTTTTGACACTTTGTATTGATAATAATGGAGATGATTTACTGAAAAGTTTGAGGACGCAATGTTTTTGCTCACTTGATATCTCAGATATATTTTGTGGAATCAATTTATGGAATATTTCAATATTTTCAGCAAAGAAGTCTGCAATAGTGGGTGATTGACTCATCATTATCCCGATAATTGAGTATATTCGCTTGTGAATTATGCCAAAATTATCTGATTCAAAAATATTAAGAATATTAGAAATAATTTGGAGAAAGCCCATCTTAAGAAGCTTTAAATAAAATCTGTGTGTGGAATTTGAAACGATAAGTTTAAAGAAATCAGTTAAATCTTCATAATATTTTCGAATTTGTTCTTTTGGTAATGAGTTGAGAGGATTTGATAATATCCTTTCAAAGAAGTCATATCTCTTATGGCAATGTTCAATAAATATGTCCAGATGTGATTTAATAATTGGAAGCAAATATTGAAGTGTTGAAATGTAATTTGTGTTTGCATTTAGCCACCATTCAAATAATAAACGAATAAGATCTTCTGGTGCAGTATCTCTTAATTTATCTAAAAAACATGCCATAAATATAATGATATGGTCGCAGAGGCACCTGGTGGAATTATTTTCGATAGATGCATAGTAGTTCTGGACTACGAAATGGATAAAATCTTCTGAAATAAATTCAATCCCAAAATTTACTGAATTCGATAAAATTTCATAAATAATACATTTGCATTGTTGATTGATATCATTGAGAAGCAGTTTGGATACGAAAAAGGCAGTTTCCGATATTGAATTAGTGTTTTCATGAGTTTGTTGGTGCTTGAATGATAAGAGGATAAATCTCAGTGTTTTCTCTAATATGTCTTCTAATAATTTTGGAATTAAGATCAAAATATTTTGAATTTTATCAAATTCATATAATAAAGAGAGCAAAAGTGATGATCTTTCGTCATTCTGGGCTAAGTAACTGCTTAATTCATCAATATAAGAGGAATATTTGTATTGTTCAAAGTTCTCTTCTGTGAATTCAGTATCAATTATGAAAGCTATTCTATTATAATAGCTTGTATCATGTCCTTCAGTCATATATTTCATAGGATTCTCTAACAATAAATGCTCGTCAGTTTTATAAAGATCATTCATTGGATTGCAACCATGAAAATAAAGTAATTCAAATAGCATATATGCAATGAGCTTCTATATATCCAAAATAATACAAGTATATGAATTTGATGCCTTATGGAAAACAAAATTCCTCACAAAGAGTATTATTCCATAATTAGTTAACTATCGTAATATCAGAAATATGGAAAAATCAAAGCAGCAAAGTTTCAAAGAAAAAAAAGTGTGTTTTATTCTGATGAGATATTGGATCTACATTAAAGTCACTGAGTTTGTGAGATTCCATACAAAATGCTTTCTTTTACAATTTTACAAAGTTATGGCCTTTTGTGTTGGAAAAAAAATTCCAAAAAAAAGGTAACTAAACTCCTTTCGCCGATTCGATTTGCTCCATATTTAAAATATAGCTTGCATATGTAGAAGAAAAGCTAATTTTGAAGTACGCCCGAAATCCACCAACAGGATTTCGAGCTACTAAAAAGGTACTTTTAAATGTGATTTTTTTTATAAAAAATTAAATTTATTTTAAGATCAGACTAAAAACTAATTTTATGGAAAATCTATATCGACAAATTTATTACTTATTGGGTATATAGATTTTTTGATTATGGCGATTATGTCTGATATGCTTCCAATAAGCCAAAACACATTTCATACTGATTTCTATAAAAGGTATCTTTATTATAGAAGTGTAAGCTATATCTGTTTGTTTTTTTATTATAACAAATTCAAAATTCTCTTATAAGGACTAGATGAAATCTGTATTATTAAATCATTAGCTAAATGAAGGTTCAAATAGAAAGTAAATATCAATTTATATGATACTGAAACCAAATAGTTCTTTTAATAAAAGATAACACGCTGAAAATTATTGAGTATTTGCAAATCTCAAAAATCTATTGGTGAATTTGGCTCAACTTTTAAAATTATAACATCCATATCAAATCATAAAAGCAGACAAAAATTAAAGCCAAACCTATCGGCCAATTTTTTTTGATATTTTGATTTTTGAGGTATACTTTTAAAAGTGGATTTAAAGCACTTATGAAAAAACATTAACTTCTGTCGTTATGATTATTGATTTAGACAATAATGATTTTAATCTTTGATTATCAAAACACTAAAGTCATCTTTTTAACATTTGCTTGGTAGCATTAACTCAAGTCTAAAGTACTATTTTATGTGGCACTCTTAGAATTTTTGTATTCATTGTACACGCTGAAATAGTACCATTAAAGTTATGGCGGACTTTCAAAAAATAGTTTGGTCACCTTTTCCAAAAAAACAATTTAGATAAAATTTTGGCCAATCTAAGTTATTGTATAAGGAATTTGTTGGATACTTATTTAATTACTCAAGAAAAACACCCTAATTTTTGATGCCGCTGTCAGAATTTTGGATGGTGTCATATTTATATTTACAAAAAAAAATTCATTTTTTTAAAAAAAAATATGTCTGAAGAAGAAGAGGTAGTTTATGAGGAAGAAGAAGTTGTTGAAGTAGAAGAAGAGGAGCAGGAGGAGCAATCAGCCGAGGTTTCATATGAACAAGGCAAAGATAATTTAAACTATAATGATTCCCTTGCTCTTGATTTATTCTTAAAAGTTATGAACGATGATTCAGCTGAAGATCATCTCAAGGCAAAAGCTACTTCGCATTTACTCATATTGCTTGCAAAAGAAGGTGTAGATCTTGATAGCCTCTTAGCAGTTTTCGATAATTTCTACAGTTTCGTAAAAGCTAATTGCATCAAGGTTTCACGCTTCGATCGCACAATGAATCAAGTCGCTACAAATATTTTGCATCATCCTGAAGTACAATACGCATTCCTTTCCCATGCAGCTAAAGAGCTTGATCCAAACTCCTTAGATTATCGTAAATGGGCCCTCGAAAGCCAGATGCAGCTCATAGAATTAGAACTTGGAAAAGGCAAGCTCGAAGACGCCATCAAGTTAATTGATCACGTTCACCAATACATTCCTGATGATCCAGATACAAGTGATATAGTCATGACAGGATTTTCTATCAGACTTTTAGTTATTTTACTCGAAATTAACCTTAACAAAGGAAATGATGCCGAAGTACGCCGTATTTACGAGAAGTGTGTCAAGATCCAAGAGATTAGAACACTTTCATCATACCAAACAGCTTTAATTACATTTGTTGCCGGAAGACTCCAACTTGATGGCAATCTCATCGAACAGGCAAGCTCTTCATTCAAAGCATCATTCAATACATTCGTACAAATCGGTTCCGAGAACCGCCGCAAGGTATTACCATATTATATTCTTACAAATATGCTTTGCCACAGATTGGAGAACCTCCTTGCCGAGCCAGCCATTGGTATAGAAAGAATTCATCCTGATGTTGCTCCTATTGCCAGCTTATTCGATTCATATTTTGATTATGACGTTGTTTCCTACAAGAACAGGGTAAATGACGTCAAACAATACTTCAACAGCCCTAAGATCAGTGGATTCCTTGATGACATTAAGAATTTCGTCATGAAATACAACTTGGTCAAGATATTCAAGAATTATTCTCAAGTTGAGATCAAATTCCTCTTAATGTCTACATACACTGAATCAGAAAAGGCTGAATTGGAGAAGTTGAGTCCAGCAGATAAGGCAAAGCGCTTGGATCGTGATTTGAAAGTAGTTATTGATTTCTTATACGATCTAATTTTGTCAAAGAAGCTCAGCGCGTCAATAGACTTTGTCAACAATATCCTTGTCGCTTACGAAAAGAGAGAATCATTATATATCGAGTCTGTTCAAGCTATTTTCAATTATCTCCAAGGAATTTCGAATGGTTTGGTCAAGGCAACGAAATTGAAGTTGGAAGAACCAAATAAGCCAGTACAGATCGATCAAAACTCTCTTGCTCCACAATATCAAACTAACTAAATAATATTTTTTAAAAAAATATATTTATTTTTTATCAAAACTTTTATATCTTAAATATTTGAGAAAAAATTATAGATCTATGACTCATAAGTCATCATCAACTAAAATTATTTTTATAAGATTCAAATTAGAGCAAATGCATAGTTTAAATGGCATCAAAAAGGTTCCTTCCCTATTTGATTTGAAGATTTATAACAAGATAAAAACAATTTTCTCATGAAATTTATTGTAAAAATAAAAATTAATAGTAAAATTCATTGATCCAAAAGGCTTATGCTTTTACGAATCTTATTAAAACTATTTTTGCATTTATTTATGTTTAAATAGTTCATAATTGCAATTGAAACTAACTCTTCACATATTGTAAAAAGATCATGTATTCTTAGGTATAATGTATATCGTTTGTAAAAGATCGATTTTTGCATTATTTTTTGTTTGATTCAATCGAATTCAAAAAAAAATTCAATAAATTAACACTGTCAATAGTAGTTTTTTCTTGAATTTGAACTCTTTTTATTGATGTTCAATTATCAAAGCTAGATCCATGTAAATAATTTCGAGAAATTTTATTTTATAATCACTGCAACATCTATTTTCTTATATCAGAATTGTTTTCATCGACTTCTGATTAGTGTCTATATTTCCAAAATGCCAATAACTTTTTTGCTTGTTACGCATCAAATTTCAACCACTTTTTTTCTCAAATTCAAAACCAGAGAAAAAAAAATATTTTTCTCGTTAGGCAACTGAGTAAAAGAATATGTCTTATTGTCGAAAGGAATAAAATTGAATGGTTTTAGATCAGAATTTTCATGCACAAATATTTCAGCTATTTCAATGCTATCTTCTATAGAAGATTCATGATATACATGAGAAATTCGTATTTCCTTGCTATAGGATATATAGCTTTTCTTGTTTTAGCAAACTTTTCTGCATTTATTGGTAATAAAACAATCCAGCTTGAGTGGAACGATGGAAACTATGCGATATCCGATGCAAAACTGAAAGGAAAACATATCATTGCTAGAGTTTTGTCTTCATATTGTACAAATGAAACTTGCTATCCCGAAATTGGCCAAACGCTTCAACAAATCCATAAAAAAGAAACGTCAAATGATATAGAAATACGAAACTTTTATTCTTTTGAAGAAGTAGAAAGTTTCAACAGCCAATATAAAAAAGATTATTCAACTACTGATGATGTGATTGTTCTTGCATATGAAATAGATAATAAAACCAATTTAACACGCATGGAGAACGGAACAGTTAATGGTCCTGTTATAATTAGAGTTGAATCTACTCATTATGAGACTGAATCTCATGTTTTGTTAATCAGACGTGCATTAGTTAATTACCTTAATAATACAGATCTTGCAATCGATGAAAATACACTTACAACTGTTCAGGACACAAATAAAATGGATGATCAGTATTCTATTGATAACAATGGTGAATGGTTCTACCTACTTGGATTTGTAGCATTTATGTTTTTGCTTTTCTCAATTACACAAGAAGATATCAAATCTATTAAAAGAAAATACCTTATTACATGCGGAATGTCAGTAATTCCATATTGGTGTGCATCATTTACATTAGATATGCTTTTATTGCTTCCTGTTGCCTTAATTACTGATATAATTTGGACATTTACTTATTATAATCTTTATCCTGCAGCATTTGTTGGTTGTTTCTTTTCCATTGTTTATTCTTTCATCCCTATCATCTTATTTTACTATGTATGGTCTTGGTTCTTTTGGAACAAGTACATTTCGTATTTATTATCAATTTTCATACATATAACAACATATGTAGTAATCAGATTCTTTGCATTCAAGAATGATACAAGGACTGCTGCAATATCTATACTGAGTGTCTCTTCTTCAGTAAGTAATGTAGTATCTGGCCGATCAGGAATGAGATTTGTTGGTTGTTCAATAAATATCGTTCTTTACTTGATGCTTTTGGCCATTTTTGAAATTGTTTCTTACATAAGAAGAAGAAATGGAAAATATTTTGATATGCAAAGGTTCATTGAAGCAAAGAGAGGAAGAAGATTGATGCCAGAAGCCTTGGAGATGGAAGAATCAGTACTTAATTCTAAATCCGATGATTATTTCATCAAGATTCTTGGTGTATGTAAGCATTTCCCATCTAAAATTGATAATCCAGTTATCGCTGTCAATCATGTGTCTATAGGTATCAAGCAAAATTCATTGTTTGGCCTCCTGGGAGCAAATGGTGCTGGTAAAACAACATTAATGAATTTAATTCTCGGAGAAATGCCAGTAGATACCGGATCTATCTATGTTAATGGTAATGACATCCGAAATGAGATCAAGAAATCAACAATTGGCTATTGTCCCCAGTTTTCGGATCATTTATCTGATGAATTAACAATTTATCAGACATTGAACTTCTTCGGTATCTTCTTTGGCAAGGAAAAGGAAGAACGCGATGATAAAATTGAAGCTTTGATGAATTCTCTTAATTTGGATATTCATCGTGACGCAGTAGTCAAAGATCTCCCACCACCTCTCAAGCAGAAGCTTTGTGTTGCTATTCCTTTCCTTTCTAATGCAAATTTCATCATTCTTGATGAGCCAACTTCAGTATTGGATCCAATTAGCCGCAGAAAGGTCCACCATTTGATCAATATGAACAAAGGAGAGAAGACATTCATATTGTGCACTCACATGCTTGATGAAGCTGAAAATCTTTGCGATGAAATCACAATTATGATTGATGGTTGCATTTACTCAATCGGAACGCCATCTTTCTTCGCAAACAAATACGGAAAGGACTTTAAGATTGATATTTTGATCAATCCTTCAAACGACAAAAATTCTGAAGTTGACCAGTTGATTTCTGATAGATTGCCATTGGCAAAGGTCATGATTAACCATGGCTGCTCCAGAGTTTACAATATTCCATCGAATTCCATAACAATTTCGAAATTATTCAGAACTCTCCAAGACATAAAGGATATGAATATTGGATTGGAGTGTTTCACATGTTCTGTGTCCAACTTGGAGAAAACTTTCTTAGAATTAGGTGAACAAGCAAAAAAAGATATTTCGGACTAAATGACTGAATTATCTGATAGAGGGTTAAGCTGTTTGGTGATTGTAGATTAAATATATTAATATAGACTCAAATTTTTTAAATATATTTTTTACATAATTCAATTTGCAACAAAATTATATGGAGATATTTACGGCATAACTATTTATAATGATATTGTTTTATTCCCAACCAATAGATAGATATTAATTTCTATATGATTCAATTTGATTCCTTTCTTTAGATAATATATTTATAATAACCATCTTACACTTCACAAAGCGCATTTCATATCTATTGATTGACATTGAAGGATATCAATAGGTATTCCAAAAATAGTATAGCTTATGAGATGTGTCAAATGCACAAATTTTAGTAATTCTAGCTATATTGGTTATGTTACTATTCCATCTTAGAAAATAATATTATTTCAAAATATATTTTTGCGATTTTTGATGATTTGATCATTTCAGTAAGAAAATTCAAAATCTTTACTGTTATGTATTCATTGTAATGATGAAATAAGCGTTACTAAATAAAAACGGATTTTGTCACTTTTGTTTACGAGATGCATTATTGCTTATGAGCGATTCTCAACCACAAATGACGGAAGAGGAGCGCAAGCAAGCAATTGCTTATAAAAATCTTATTATAGAGCGCAATACTGGCGATGCTCAGAAGCGTGCTCGCAAGAAAGAACCTTCGTTAGCTGTAATTAAAAAGCGAACAATGGAATTAACAACACAAACACAGACCCTTGAGAGAACTAAAGTTGAATTAAAGAAGCCTACAGATGCAGATTTGTTTTCCAAAGAAGAATGTATTTGTATCGAATTATTAACGTCTGGCTATGTCGACTCTTTCTCTGATTTCTTCAAGATTACACATCCTAAAGCTCCAGGATCATATCACTACGATTACTGGCAATCAATTGACTCAGGCGAAGTCACATCTCCTCCACCACCCGTAGTTCCAACGAATAAGTACGATTTCATTCAAGAAAGACTTATTCAAGCTGAGAATGCAAGGCGTATTGCTAAGGATGCCGAACTTGCAACAGCATATACAGATTTATCTCAATATTTCCAATCAATCAACGACATGAAGATTGCTATTATCTATCTCGAAAAACTTCGTGACTACGCTCTTTTCACATCAGATCTCATTAGAGAAGCCCAAGCTCTCAAAGAAATTGGCCGACTTTTCAAAGAAGCAGGAAATCTCGAGTCATCATTGCATTTCTGCGAAGAATGCCTTTCCGTTTGTGTTTCAATTAACGATGGTGTTGCTGAAGCTCAAGCAGCTCTCATTGATGCTTATAGAAAATATTCTCAATCATTAATCGCGCGTGGAGAAGGCAAACAAGCTATCGAATTCCTCAACAAGTCATTACGTGTTGCTTCCGAGTCCGGTGTACTTCTTTCTCTTGCTATTTGCCACCAAGAACTCGGTTTATGTTATAAACAACTTGAAATGCTCGACAGTGCTATTGAACACTTCGAAAAAGCTTTCTCTATCTACAAAGGCCTCGGAAATATCGAAGGCCAGAGCTCTGCTGTTTCAGCTCTCGCTACATCATACAAATACATGGAGAAAATCGATGAAGCTATCAAATACTTCAAGATTCTCCATGAGTTGGCCAACCAGACTGGTAACGCCCACGATAAGGCTATGTCTTGCTTCACTATGGGTAAGATTCTTTGGGAATCTGGCCAAAAGGAGGAAGCTCTTGTTTGGTTCCAGAAGAACTTTGATATTTCACTCGAGTTGAATGATCTCGCTGTTATTGAGGACTCCAGAATCTCTCTCGGTGTCTCATTAGCAAATTATCGAATGCAAAGATTCGAAGAGCTTGTAAGAAATAACCAAGAATTGCCGGCCTTGCTCAACTGGATGATAACAAGGGATGATGAACCATTCCAATCAATCAAATCGAAGAAGCCTGAATAAATATATTTTCTTTTTTTATTATTTGAATTACATACTATGTTTTTCACACTCTAAAAGACTTTTAATAGATGTTTTCGTATAAAATTTTTCTTACTGAGTTTATTTTTTTAATTGTTGTGTAAATAGTTTTACATTATGTTATGGAATGATGAAACAGTTACACAAATAAATGGTAAGAATCCGATAGATACCATCAACCAAGTATCAAATGTTCGTTTCTTCATAATTATCTTCGAAGGAGTCCATTATTTTCAATACTTTTCTCAAGAAGATAAAATTCATGTACTTTATCAATTTGCTGCTAATTCTTCGGGACTTAAAACTGACGAATTTAAACTCTTTTATAATAAAAATCCATTAAACGAGAAAAACAAAAAAATCGTCGAGGAATTTACTGGAACTACAACTGGTAGATATTCAGTTATAATGCGACGTAATTAAATTTTGTATATGGCATAATTTAATTAAAAAATCTGCGATGCAGATGATACATGAACAAAATTCAATCTAGAATAGGTTTGGAGTTTTACATATGAAAGAGTATCCCTTGTTCACAAGAAAGATATCAATGATAATCAGCTTGTTCAAAATATTGTTTCATATTTTAATTTCTTAATTCATTCACGTTTTTATTATCTTCCTTATGGATGTATGAATGTGTTGTATCTTTGAGCATTAAAATCTTATCTTTCTAAATTGAAAGGTTTATTTATAAGCTTTTTGAATTTTTCACTTTGATATACCTGGAAAAAGAATCTCACAAATAAAATTCATGGCAGAATAAATACTTACTGACATTTATACATAAGAAAATGGTTTTTATAAATATTATTGCAAATAATTCAAAAATTATTTAAGAACAAAAAGAATATTGAGTTACAACATGGGTTGAAAGCCCATTTACAAAAAATAAGAATGTTAAAATGTGTATATATGGGTAAATCAAGTATAGATTTAACAATTTTTGTAGTATAATATCATATTATCCTGATGTTGATTGGTAGCAATGATTTTTAAGATGATTATGATAGAATATTAACTATTTTGTGAAAAAAACAAAATTTGATATTTTGCTTCATTACCCTGAATTCTTCTTTAAGGCCGGAAATTATATTTCAGTCAGATTTGTATGTCTGCCCTTGGTTTTAATATGATGATTCCTCAATACAAGTACCGAGGCCCCTCTCTTCAAAACCAAGTTTACAAAAAGACATATGAAATTTAATTTAGGCTAAAACTGCATTGATGATGTGTTTAAACACTCTATAATCGATGCGTCCAAACGAAACCTCATTGTGATTTCTCACAAAATTTTTAATTCAAATTATTGTTATTTTTCAAATAATTTGCTTTGTTTTTATCATACATTATGAGAACGAACAGCTAACAAAATTCACAGGTTGTAAACTTTTTTACAAGCGAAAAAGAATCAAAAAGGACTTCGATGACAAGCGAGAACCAGATTGACCATACAATGAAAGTTATCCTTGTCGGGTCTAGCGGCGTTGGAAAAACAAGTTTAATTAGTGCATATTTCAAAAATCCTTTCGAAAACAATGATCTACCAACAGTTGCCCCCGCCTCATGCAGTGCGGTAGTCCAGGTTGAGAAAAAGAAAATTGAACTCCAAATTTGGGATACTGCTGGACAGGAGCGTTTCCAGGCAATTTCACAGATGTTTTATAGAGACTCGCATGTTGCTTTCGTTTGCTTCGATCCAAAGAGGACTGATCAAGTCGAAAATTGGGTAAATAAAATCAGAACAGAGGCTCCAGATTGCTTAGTTTACTTGGTTGCTACAAAGAGTGATATTCTTACACAAGAGGAAATTAACGAAATTAACCAAATGGCACAAGATATGACACAAACTTATCATGCTGAAGCTTTTATTTTAACATCAGCTAAAACAGGAAATGGCGTTCAAGATTTATTCGAATCTGCTGCCCGTTGTTATCCTCAAATATTTAAAGCAAATACACCAAAGCAAGAACCTCAGCAGCTTACACCATCCAAGCGCGAAAAGTGCTGCTAAATATATTTATTCTATTCTTTTCTATTTTATTTTAAGCTTTAAAATGATCTATACATATTTTACTTTTAATTGTTTACCTCGATTTTCAGTCTCTGTAATGGAGAATAAGAAATTTTTTTTCGATCAAAATTCTTTGTTCAGTATGTTCAAACGAAAATAATGATGCAATTGCATTCTATTTTCTGTCTTATTTAAAATTATTGTACTAGCATTCAAAAATAATGTATTTTTCTAAAAATTTATTGAAATCTAAGGTTAATTTATAAAGTTGTTTAGTTCACATACAAGGAATCTGTCATTTTAAATTGATACGTGTAAGAAATCAAGCTAAATTCGAACAAAAATATATTTAATTGAATAAAACATGAGAAAGGAAAGAGACTTTATTAACTTTATTTGAAAAAATCTAAATAACAATCTATATTATATATATACTTAGCTAACAATTTCCAATAGTTTTGCTACTCTTTCTGATAAATCTGGATCTTCACTTTCAGAAAGGCAAGCAAGAGTATCGGCAGCGTCAACTTCAATGTTTTGATGTATTAGCTGTTCGAGGATATCAAGTGATATCATAACTATTTCCTTGTCATCCGAAAGAAGACAAGTTTTTGTAACTTCAACCACTAATTGAATATTGTTTAAGAATGGAGGATTGTCTGCGAAGTTTTTGATAGCAAGATCTATCAATTTGATTAACGATTTAGATATAGAGTATGGAACTCCAAGCAAAGCATCCGAATTCAATAAATCTGATTGGAAAAACACTTCTATTAAATCTTTATCAAACTGTGAAAGGTTATAAATGCATTCGAACATAGGCGAGCATGCGACATTGCTCTTTTTGCTGATATCTTCATGAATAGTTGTCAAAAGTATGTCAAATAAGCCGTTGTCCATAAAAAACTGTAAGTTTTCTTGTTTTGATGTCAAATATATTAATATTGATGAAGAATATCTTTGGGCTAGATAAGAATCGCATTTTGAGAATTCAATCAAAGAAGTAACGTCATTTTCTTGGAGACATGAGTAAAGATTAATATGTTTCTGTAGGAGATTGTATAAGAACTCTAAAATCTTTTCTGAAATTTGCAAAGGTGAATCTAGTAAAAGAATCAAAAGATCGAATAATGATTGATATCTAGTTGGTGTTTGGTTGATGGTGTGCGAAATTGTCATAATTACTGATAAAACGGATATGAGTACATCTGCATTTTCTTCATCAATATCAATATTGTAAATTATGACAAGAAGATTGCTTTGTAGATATTCCAAAACAAGTGCCTTTTCCCCGTAGTTGTGTTTTTGACAATCTATGCATAAAATATTTAATAATTCTAATATTTGATTTAAAAGTGGAACATCTGGCTCATTCTCTAAGAACATCGAAATGTATGGTAAAATAGTTGTTTCGCTTATGGTTTCAAAAGGAGATGGAATAAATCTAAAGGCAAAAGCGATGCATGTTACAATACTAAGTTTAGTGTTATCATCGTCAACAGAACTTTCTATTAATCTGTTTGCTTCATGAATTATTCGGCTTGAAATGATTTCTGGTATTGATGGAAATTTAATTTCGCTGAGATATGCATTTAAAGCTCCAAAAGAATCTGCTGTGTCTGACATATGAATACCATCTAATAGAATTGATATCTGAGATAGTGTTTCTTCTTCAAATGATATTCCTTCAGTCATGCAATCAAAATTTTGAGCTTAGAAGAATAAATTAATGTGTATTGGTCAAGGAGATTATGAACCTTGATGTTTGATTGAAGACAAAATTTTTGAACGATTATTGTAAATTTCTTTTTTATCTCAAACAAAAAATCATTGAACTTTCATTCATATGTAACTTACATGACTCAACATATAGATGTTGAGTTATCAACATATCCAATAAATCAAATGACAAAGATTTTTTCCTGATATTTCTCGAATTCAAGAAATTTACAAAAAAAATATTTATGATTCATCATCTCAAACCTATAAAAATGCGAAAGTTACTTGTTTTCGAGAAGCAAATTATGAATGAGGTATTTCAATATACAAATCCACTTTTCATTAAATAAATCACTAGTTATTTTAGTTTTCTCATAAAAATCATCAAAGGATACGGTTGGTTATGAATTTTTTATTCCTTTTAAACCAAAATCATTCGTTTATCCATACTTGACAATTAAAATTATTTATTGCAAATTGAATGAGTTAAACTGTTTTCGATTTATCTCATCATATGAAAGCTATGAGTCATATTGTGAATATGGCAGAAATTTTATTTTGCTTCACCATATAAAAATTAATTTTAAAACAAAATAGTAACAAATTGTTTTGATAATTGTCTATGAAAGGACGTGAATAAATGAATTTACTGCACAAGCTTTAACTTGAGTTAAGGTCTTAATGTACCCAATTTGGAATAATTACAAGTATGAAAGTGAACAACATACTTGTCATAAATGACCTATTCCATCAAAAAATTCTCATCCATCTCTGCAAACATGGCAGTCTCCCGATTTGATTAAAAAACAGAATCTTTTTTAAAGAAAATAGATATATAGTAGTGTTTTCACAAGCATCATCCTATGTCTATTAATAATGTTTGGATAAACACTTCGAGCTTGCACTTCATTTCTTATATTTCTGCCAGCCAGACTCTTTCAAAAAATCATTTTGATAAACAAAGCTATTTTGCTTCAATTAAGTAGAGAAATAATATCACCTGGCCTCAGGCAATTTAATTATAACAAAGCGAAATTTCTATTATTTATTGCAAAATTTGAAAGGGTATGATTACATAAAATAAAATGAGCTCAAAAGAAAAAAGCAAGCATCATCACGATCGCAGTGATAAAGAACATAAGGAAAAGGATCGTAAGGATAAGGATTCCAAGAAAGAAAAGAAATCAAAGAAGGGAGACGATGAATCAAAGGCTCAAGAACCAATGCCACAATGGGCACAGTTGCCAGTAAATAAAAATGATGATCCTTTCCGCGATGACTTTGAAGTCGAAATCAAGTTCAAAGAGTAGAAAACGGAATTCAATTACATGGCATAATTTACAATCATTAAAATCATTTTTGTCAATTAATAAAAGGATTTAGTAGAACTTTTAAAGCGATTACTTTAAGTGCACTTACGAAATTCTTATTATTTATCTCATAAATAAATTTGATATCTTAAAAATTTGAAATTAAGCAAGCGAATAAGCGCACATACTAATGGCTATAGATAATGCATCATAGAAAACACCTAATCTTTATAATATTAATTTCATTAGTTTTTTGCATATTTGAAGCATATCTTTCTTTGATTATCTTTACATTTTCATAGGCGCAAATGTTTACAGTTTCTTTTTAATATAAATCGATTCTCATATCTTTTTGATGTAAACCCTATTAAAATGAGGAGTTTCGGGAAGATATAGCATGTAAATATTGCTTCTAAATCTTTTTATGATTTAATTTTATCAATGTTGTCTGGTCCCAAGAGATATGAAAAAACAACTGATCTTCAGCAAGGTACTTTTGGTATTGTATACCTTTGCAAAGACCTTCTAACAAAGAAAACTGTTGTTTGCAAGGAGTCAGACATTGATGAAATTAGTGCTCAAGAAATTGAAACGTTAAAAAGCCTTAAACATCCAAATATAATTCAAATGCTTGATTCATTCAAAGATTTTATGTCCGAATTTATCATAATGGAGTATGGAGGAAAAGATTTGCTCCAAATTTTAGAAGATAATCCTAAAATGGATATAAAAGAAATCAAATACATTACTCGTGAAGTTCTTAAAGGAGTCGAATATATACATTCAATGGGATATATCCACCGTGACCTTAAATCTTCAAATATTTTGGTCTCAGAAACAAACGAGATTAAAATTATCGACTTTGGATATTGCAGAAAGATAAAAGGCAGGCCATTAACACCTTGCAGATTTACAAATCAGTTTGCTCCACTTGATTGTCTACTTGGATTTATTGATTATAATGAGAAGATGGATATTTGGGGTGTCGGTTGTATATTAGGGCATATGCTTGCTGGAAAACTCTTATTTGAAGGCGATTCTCAAATTTCAGTTTTGATGAATATTCTTCAAGTTTTGGGAACTCCTAAAGCTGAAGATTGGCCAGAAATGAAATCAATCGAGTATTTCGAGTCATTCCAGCTTCCTGAATACAAGTCAACCTTAGATACAATTCTACCAAAGGATGTGGATCCACAAGCTGTTGATCTCCTCTTGAAGATGCTAGAACCAAGCCAATCAAAGAGAATTTCTGCTCATGAAGCCCTCCAACATCCATTTTTGGCTGAATAATCCAATCAAAACTGCGTAATCAATGAATTTCTACATCAATATATTATCGTTACTATTTCTATAATAATACCCTTTTCTATTCATAATAAACATACTATCTATTTCAAATTGTTTACCATAAGACCTTTTCAACCTTCAGATATATGTATCCTAGATCTAATAAAGCCTATTTAAATATTTTATGCATTATATTTATGAATATACTTTGTGTAAATAAATATTAATTCTTAACATTTGAATTCAAACGCTTTTTAAAAAGCGTTTGAATTCATGTTAAGAATTGAAATTTATGACATTTGAGTTAAAAGACTCAAATGTAATAAATTTTAAATTTACACTACATAGTTATACGGAGATTTAACAAAATAATTTGATTATATATTAATTTTTAATATGTATCACCGATTTAATTTATTGATATTCAGTTATAATCTTTGGTAAATTTCAAAATTAAACTTGAAAATTCCAAAAAAAATTCGAAAATGATTTTTTCAAATGAAAAAATGTTAATTTTATCATTATAACTGTGATTTCAGGATTTTTTTGGAAGATTTACAGTGATATAGAATACATGAAAAGAAACAGAGAAAGCCAAATCTCCACTCGCGTTTAGTATTTCCTTGATCTCAATATTTAATTTTCATTAGAGTTGATAAAAAAGTTTAAGGTCGAAATCTCAAGCTTGAAAAACAAAAATATAAATATTCATTATCTCCGAATTATTGAATTATCTTTAAATCAAAGAAAAATAATTGCAATCAGAATTAAATACGAATAAAGATCTAAGCTATCAAAATTTACAAGTACTCTTGTATTTTTGTGAGCTCATATCTGTCTGGTAAAGTATATACTCAAAAAAATTATATATCCTGTTTTCTTTTGCATCCAATTGAGTTAATTTTGTAGTATTTCTATGATTTCAGGTTTAATAGTAGATGTACATAGAATGATTCAATGAATCAAAAATAGAATCCAATTGTTTCCCATTTTAATTATTATAACAGAAGCAAACCTTTAATACTGATAGATGTTAAATTGAATGATCATATTAATATTCCATAATCCCCAGAAAAAATAAGAAATTAATTTTCATTTCTCAGAAAAATCTTAAAATATTTAATATTAGGGCATGTTTGCCAATGTTAATACTATTTTAAAGTGCAATGAGTGATAATCTCTTTGAATCTTGATGGCAGAATTGAAATTCACAAATCCGTTTTTCTCTCAGAATTTTTGAGAAAGAGATTTTCACGTCAATATTCTCCGTTGTATTTTATTTATTTTTATCAATTTTTCATTTGAATTCTAAACGATAAAAGTTGAAAATCTCATTCCCGAACTTCAAAAATATTTAAGATATAATCATGCTATTACATGAAGATTTTGAAATCATAAAAATAAGTCAATTTAGACATATTTTGAAGTTGGCATAAATACTGTCATTGTTTGTTTTTGGCTTTTAATTTTGAATATAGCATACACATATCTCCACTGCCAATATTTTCATTCCCAAATAACTTGAATTTTTTTGAAAGAAAAAGATCAACAACTTGTTATTATTTTAAACATCTATGCATAATGCATCAATGATTAAACGATACCTATCATAAATTTCAATGAGTATTCAAAATTTCAAAAACCAGAATGATGCTCTTTAATACCATCAGCTTAATTAGAACAAATGCTCTTCTGGCTAAATCAGTACAATTAGAATCATCTACTGTTACATTTAATGATAATACACTTACTGTTTCAGGAGATGGATCTGTTACAAGAGACCAAGTTGCTCAATACGCAGATAACACTTTCACTCTTGTTATTGGTGGCACAGTCAACACCATTGCTGCTAATACATTTGAAGGATTTTCTGCTTTGACAAATGTCACAATTTCATCATCATTGACCATCTCAGATAATGCATTCCACAATTGTGCTGTTTTACGTGCAGTTGATTTCCAAAATTCTGCCATTACATTTGGAGTTAGTGCTTTTGAAGGATGCAGACAACTCTTCAGCATCACAGTAAAAGGCACAGTCAACGCAATTCCAGCTAATGCTTTCAAAGATTGCACATCTCTTGATACCGTTATCTTAGAAACAACACCAAGAGATTTCAAGATTGGAGATAACGCATTCTATGGATGCCAGAACCTCTACACATTCCATACACTCACAGATACTGTTAGCGTTGGAAAGAATTCAAGACATTTTCATCGGCGCATTAGTTGCCTTTGATGTTTCATCATTCCAAAATTCTGGTATCTCACAAGTTGTCATCAAAGTCAACGATACAGTTATCCAAGAATCAATGTTTGAAGGTGCAACAAATCTCCAAAGCGTAGGCTTTGCAGGAAAAGTAAAGGAAATCAAGGCTTCCGCCTTCAGAGGATGCACAGGTTTAGTTACATTCAGCATTGGCCCAGGTGGCAATGGCAACATTGTCATTGGTGAGAATGCCTTTGCTGATTGCTCAAATATGATTGCATTCCATGCTCCATCCGACACAATTTCCATTGCTAATAACACATTCAATGGCTGCACAAAGCTTTATGACTTGTTCATCGGTGCAATCACAGAAATCGGCGAACAATCATTTGCAAATACAGCCGTCACACAGGTTATATTGAAGGGTGATAACTTTGTTGTTCCACAGAGTGCTTTCGAGAACTGCTCTAACTTACTTAGCGTTGTTTTCACAAATACTCTTTCTGAAATCAAGCCAAGTGCATTCAAGAACTGCGCTTCTCTTCCATCATTCCACTTCCAAACAAACACTATCAACTCTTTCCCAATTGGCGCATTTGCATTCTATGGATGCACAAATCTCGAATCATTCAGAGTCCAATTGAATACAACAGTTGTTGGTGAAAGTGCTTTCGAAGGCTGCATGTCATTAACTGACATATCTCTCGGCCCAATTGTAAAAATTGAGAAAAGAGCTTTCGCTAAATCACAAATCACTCAGTTGACATTATCTGGTGACAAACTCGTTATTCCAACAAGCACATTCGAAGGCTGCTCCAAATTGATAACAGTCGGATTCATGGGAACAGTTGCTGAGATCCAAGAAAATGCATTCAAGTTCTGCTCTTCCCTTCAATCCCTCGTTATGAACACAGGTGCAACAATCGTTATTGGTGACACTGCTTTCTATGCATGCAGATCATTAAAGCAATTGCATATGCCACAGGGCGAGTTGACTGTCGGAGCCAACGCTTTCTTCTAATGCACAAATCTTCACGATTTCTTCATTGGCCCAGTCACATCCATGAAGGAATATTCATTCGCTTACTCCGGAATTACACAAGTCTACATCAAGATTGCTGATGTTGTCATTCCAGAAGGTGCCTTCGAATTCTGTGACGATCTTGCCAGTGTTCAATTCATCTCTAATGTCAAGGAAATCAAGGAGAACGCATTCAGAAACTGCTTCAGACTTGAATCCTTGGTTTTCACAACAACAAATACAACATTCAATATTGGCTCATACGCCTTCACAAACTGCAACAGCTTAACAGTATTCCACTGCACATGTCAAGAAGTTAATGTTGGCGTCTTCACATTCTACGGATGCTCATCCTTGAGTGATATCATCATCGGTGCTGTTACTCAAATTGATGCTTCATCATTCGCTAACACAGCAATTTCACAGATCTACATCAAGATTGACAACGTTGCTATTCCAACTGCCGCATTCAGTGGATGCATACAGTTAAACCACATTGTTTTCTCTGGATCAGTTGCATCAATCAGCCAGTTTGCTTTCAATGATTGCTCAAGTTTGACATCATTGGCAATTTCCCCATCTAATTCCTCCAAGTTCACATTTGAAGAATCAGCATTTGAAGGATGCACAAACTTGTATTCATTGCACTTACCAACTGCTGTTTCAACAATCGAGAAGAATGCTTTCAACGGATGCTATAACCTCGTTGATTTAATCATTGGTGTTCCAACAGAAGTTCAAGAATACGCATTCGCAAACTGTGGTGTCACACAGATGTTCATCAACATCCCAGATATTGATATTCCAGCAGGTTTGTTCAGTGGATGCCATAAGTTAACAAGAATTGCATTCCCAGGAAAGGTAAAGACAATTGGTGAATACTCATTCCACGCATGCACATCACTCCAGGAATTGAGCATTGATCCATTTGATACAACACAATTCACATTCTCTGCTTATTCATTCTGCAACTGCACAAACTTACAGAGCCTCAAGTTATTAACAGAGAAAGTCACAATTGGAAGCAATGCTTTCAACGGATGCACAAATCTCAATGGCTTATTCATTGGTGTTCCAACAAAGGTTGAACAATATGCATTCGCTAACTCTGGCATCGAACAGATGTTCATCAACGTCCAAGACATCGATGTTCCAGCTGGATTATTCCGTGGATGCACAAAGTTACAATTTGTTGATTTCGTTGGAAAGGTTAAGTCATTTGGTGAATACGCATTCCATGGATGCACATCACTCACAAGATTAGTCTTCTATCCAATTGACACAACAATGTTCACAATTCCTGCACACGCATTCAGCAACTGCACAAACTTGGTTGTTTTCCACTTATCATCAGATTCAATCGCTGTTGGAAATGATGCATTCAATGGCTGCGAATCCTTAGAAGACTTCTTCATCGGTGCAGTCACATCTGCTGGCAATTATTCATTTGCTAAAACAGGAATTTCCCTTGTTTACTTGAAGATCTCCAATGTTGCCATTCCAGATGGTTTGTTCGATGGCTGCCACAGATTGAACTCAATTATCTTCCAGGATACAGTTGCTAAGATTGGTTCTAATGCATTCAGAAATTGCACAAGCCTTGAATCATTCAAGGTTACACCAACAAGCACACAGTCCTTCTCACTCGGTGATGGTGCATTTGAAGGTGCTACAATGCTTCACGAATTCAATGTCCTCACTGATTCAATTTCTATTGGTGCTTACGCATTCGCAAGATGCTCAATCTTGGCTAATATCTTCATTGGTAAGGTTACATCAATCGGTGCTGGCGCATTCATGCATACAAAGCTTACACAAATCTTCATCAGTGGAAATGGCATTCCAATTCCAGATGAAGTTTTCCATGGATGCTCTGAATTACAGACAGTCGCTTTGACTGGAACATTCTCCAGTGTTGGAAAGAACGCTTTCTTCGCATGCAGCAAGATCACCAAGCTTGATATCATGCCGTCAACAAACTCCAACGCTGACTTCCAGATTGGAGAGGCTGCATTCACAGGATGTTCTGCTCTCACATACTTACACATCCCATGCAGCTCAATGACAGTTGGCAGTGATGCATTCAACGGATTGACAGGTCTCGAAGACTTATTCATTGGCTCTGTCACTCAGATTGGTGATTATGCATTCGCTAACAGCGCAATCGCACAAATCTTCATCAAGAATGATGATATCACAATTTCAGAGGGTGCCTTCGATGGATGCGTCAATCTTGAAAGCATCTTCTTCCTCAACAAGGTTAAGGAAGTCAAGGCTAACGCATTCCGTAACTGCATCAGAATTAAATCAATCATCTTCAATCCAAGTGGCTCCTCTTTGACAGTTGGTGATAACGCATTCCAGGGCTGCACAAACTTGGCTGTTTTCCACTGCCCATCAGATTTAATCTCACTTGGAAAGAATGTCTTCAACGGATGCAATTTGTTACGTGATATCGTCATTGGCGCAATCACTTATGCTGGTGATTACGCTTTCGCTGGAACACAGATTTCTCGTGTCTTCATCAACACTCAATCATTCGAGTTCACACCAGGCTTATTCGATAAGTGCGATAAGTTAGACTCAATCATCAATAATGCCAAGGTTACAAAGGTTGGCGCATTCGCTTTCAGAGGCTGCGTTGGCTTGACATCATTAGTTTTCTCATCAGATGTCAAGGATATGACCTTTGGCGAATCATCATTCGATGGCTGCTCCAACTTATTCACATTGCACTTACCATCAGATACAGCCTCTGTCGAGAATAACGCTTTCAACGGATGCACATCATTATGTGATTTAATCATTGGTACAATCACATCAATTGGAATGAACTCATTCACAAACACAAACATTTCACAGATCTTCATCAACAACCAAGAGGATTCTGTCATCCCAAGTGGTGTTTTCTCTGGCTGCGCTCAACTTGAAACCGCTGTCTTTGCAAACAAAGTTTCTGGAATTGAAGACAATGCTTTCGCATATTGCCGTAAATTAGTCGGATTGTCAATCTATTCCAACAAGATGGATGGATTCACAATTGGCAGTAAGGCATTCATTGAATGCACATCTATGTACACATTCAGAATCCCAGTCAACACAGTTTCCATTGATGACAACGCATTCTATGACTGCAAGACTTTGAGAGATATAATCATCGGAGAAATCATCCATCTTGGAACAAACGCATTCTACAAGACACAGATTTCTAATGTTATCCTCAATGTTGACACACTCACTCCAAAGACATTCATGAACTGCACACAGTTAACATCAATTGTCCTTAGCACATCTCAGGCTATCGATATCCCAGAACAGTTGTGCCAGGATTGCCACAGATTGACTACTTTCACAATCATGAGTGGAAAGATCAAGTCAATCGGAAACAATGCTTTCATGAACTGCTATTCATTAACACAGATCACATTGAGTGCTGAGGATAAGTCCTTCGCTATTGGTGACAACGCTTTCTCAAGCTGCTTCAACTTACTTACATGCCACATCCAATCTGAAACAGTTACACTCGGAAAGAATGCCTTCTACAACTGCTATGAGTTAGAAGACATCATCATGGGCTCAATCACACAGATCGGTGATGGCGCATTCCACGGAACAGCAATCACACAGATTGCCTTACATACAGATGTATTACCAAAGGATGGATTGAACAACTGCACAAAGCTTGAGAAAGTCCACATCCAATGCACACAGACAGAGATCCCAGAGAAATTCGTCGAAGATTGCATTTCTCTCAACGATTTCACAGTTGAAGGCAAAGTCACAAAGATTGGCGATGCATCATTCAAGGGATGCTCCAAGTTACAAACAGTTATCATCGCTGGTGGCGAAACAATGCCAATCGGAAAGGATGCTTTCAATGGCTGCTTGCTTTTGAAGGAATTCCACGCTCCAGCAACATTGACATCTCCAGTTGGCGACAGAGCATTTGCTAACTGCACAAATCTCAAGAGCATCTTCATTGGTGCCTTGTCATATGTTGGCGCTCACGCTTTCCAGGGAACAAAGATTTCTCAGGTCTTGTTCAGCTCTGATTTATCCAATGGTGAAATCCACATTGGCACAGAAGCCTTCAGTGGCTGCAACCTCTTGGATACAATCCAGATCATGACAAAGTCACAGATCAAGATCCCAGATCAGGCATTCGATGGATGCACAAACTTGAATATTTTCAATGTTGACGGACCAATCGTTTCTGCCGGATTCAAGGCATTCCATGGATGCGCTTCATTACAAAACATCACAATCACTGCAGAGAATCCATTCATTGGTGCTCACTGCTTCTGCGGATGCAAGTCATTGAAGAATGTCCAATTCAAGGGCTCAAAGATGGTTCTTATCCCAGATTACGCATTCAATGAGTGCAACTCATTACAATCAATCGCAATCAACGGAATGGTTAAGTCAATTGGCAAATACGGTTTCTATCACTGCTACAAGTTAGAGTCGATCGAAATCCAGTCATTGAACAACCTTACAATCGGAATGCACTCATTCTGCGGATGCTCCCTCAAGACATTGAACTTCAATGGTGTTGTCAAGGGATTACAATCATATGCATTCAACAATGCAACAAAACTTGAGAAGCTTGAGTTAACATTCTCCGATGATGTTCCAACAATTCCAGAATACTGCTTCAACGGATGCTCCTTATTGAGTGATGTAACAATCAAGGGACATGTTACAACAGTTGAATCCCATGCCTTCCATAACTGCATCTCATTAGTCACAGCAACATTCGATTCAGAAGAGGAAATGGTTGTTGGTCCACATGCTTTCTGCGGATCAGGAATCAAGACATTCAAGACACAAGGAACAGTCGCTTTGTCACAGTTCTCATTCCATGAAGCTAAGGATCTCACAACAATTGATGTTAAGTCAATTACCAAACTTGGTGTCGCAACATTTGGTAACTGCTCATCACTTGAATCAATCCCACTTGATGCCTCTGTCAAGGAGATCCCAGAGAGCTGCTTCGAGGGCACAACTAAGTTCAGCAATTACCAGTTGAATGTTACAACATTTGGCCCAAGATCATTCTACAACTCTGGATTGAAGAATTTGACAATCACACAGAATAACATCAACATCAAGTCTCTGGTTAAGATACTATATAAAGCCGAAACTCTGATTTTATATGAAATTTAAATATGAAATACGAATTCTTTAGTTTAATCAAGACATTTATTGCAAAACCAATAGAAACATACTGAGATATGAATTGTTATATTAAATAAATCTGAAATTTCACAACCCAAAAATATAAATTAAATATGAAATAAAATAAAAGAATCAAAAATTCAACTACAATATGACTCAAGAAAAAAGTAGCTTAGTTATAATAAAAAAAAGTATATATTGTTATAGATATAGAAAATATTTTGATTATTTCTTGTATAGAGACTTTTCAAAAATTGCAGTCCGAATTCTTTAGTTGTAGTGGGCACCACCTGCCTTGTTAAGGCGAGCGTTGATGTCGTCCTGTGTAAGTTCCTCAGTTGATGAAGCATCGACAGAGATGGAGACTTGCTCGATAACACGGAGAACATCAGCCTTGTGGACTGTAAGCTTTGTTCTGTGGATAAGGCGAACCTTCCCACCGCAGAATGTGATGAAGACGAACTTTGAGCGAACAGAAAGCTCATCACCAGTTGTGCAGCGGAGGTAGCCGAAGCCACGGAAGTTCTCGTTAAGGTGTTCCTTTAATTCATCGAGGCCACCATTGCCCTTGCCGACGAGTGTCCAAACCTTGTCAGAGCCCTCGGCGTATGTGATGAGAAGCCAGTTTGTATCGACAACATCCTTGCGAACTTCTTCGTAAGCTTCACGGATGGCTGGATCGGAGCAGTCAGACATTAAAGTGAAGTGAGAAAAAAATTGGACAGCAGCCGCTGGTTATTTGTGAATTGAAATTAATTGACTTTTTTTTATTTGCTTCAAAGACTATCACATATGTAATGAGTATGAAAATGGTACATTTCGGACTTTTTGTAATGTCCCGGACAATTTATGATGCTTTCATAATTTCAAAATACTCTCAAATTTTAAAAAAAGACGTTAACTTACACGGATGATTACTCGATTTCTATAGTTCAGAACAAATCGGGCAAATAAATATTATATTATTATAACCTTCATAAAAGTGAACAATACTAATATTAAGACATTTGGTTTTGGATTGTTTTCGAATTTATTCAACATTTATTCCTTACTTTTAGCTAGCTTTGATTAGATTATTGAAATATCCTATATCACTAATCTTTAAATGTATGATTATCTTTCAGAATAAATTGTTTTTTGGAGATCGTATTTCCTCATAATGATTTAAGGCTGGAGTTTGTATTCTGAATTTTCTTTTGTTTTCACTAATTTTCACCATCCGCTTATTAGGAGAAGTCTGCTTTTTGATATTTTTTTGAAAATTGATAATAAATAGGACAATTCAATAACCATTTATTTGAAATGATGGAAAATATTTTTGAATAAAATTCATCAAAGAATACATGCTTTAGAAATTTATCAATCAAGATAATATTTTCCTTTCTGATCCTTCATAAGCATTGCAACGATGTGTAAATTCAAGAAGTTATTCTCTCCTATTCCACATAAAGTATGTCAAGTATGCACAGACACAAAATAATAAATATGTTCCTTTTCCATATTTATAATATACTTTGATAAGATTTGATAACAAATAATGTTTAATAAGACAATACAATGGACATACAAATACATAATCGGCTTAAAACTAAAATATGATTAGCGCAAAAGCAAGATTGATTCCGAAACCGACAATGTCTTTTGCGGGAATAATTTCCAAACTTGCAAATTATCTCCAGGGGCTGCAGTTGCAATGCATCCACCGTTTGGAGATGCGGTCATATAGAGAACTCTCTCCTTGTGTGTATGGAATGAAGCCAAAGGAGCCAAATCGGTACCTCTCCATAGAGCAATGTGATTCTGAGAAAATCCATGAGAGCTGACAATTTCATTGTAGCTGTCATTCCAAAATAGATTGCAAACTTGAGAACCCGTCTGAACAGAGTTAAGGATTTCACCATTTTCGCTCTTCCAGACTTTAATTGTTCTGTCACTTGTACCACCACCTGTTGCAATAACACCTTTCTGTGATGGTGACCATGCAACAGCTTTAACAGCTGCTTCATGTTGTTCAAAAACGGTCTTTGCCTTTTGGGTATTTCTCACATCCCAGATCTTGACTGTGCAATCATTTCCGCATGTGGCGATCTCTGTTCCATCAGGAGAACTTCTGATGTTGCAAAGTTCTTCAAGATGTGCTTCAACTTCGAAATTAACATTTCCTGTTCTTTCATCAATAGCAGCGAACTTTCCGTTGCGAGCTCCAGCGAAGAATGTTAAATCATTGTGATCGACACAAAGAATTGCATCATCTAAGGGTTGAGTCAGGATAATTGGGGCGTATCTGAGCGCATCATATATTGTAGCTGATCCATCAGAGCATCCAAGGAACAAACTATTGCCAGAATGATTGAATTTAAGGGAAACAATATCTTCTGGTGTAGATGGAGGTCTTTCTGCTTCAAATGTTTTCGGATTGATCAAGATAAGACCACTTGCAAGAGCTAAGGCTAAAACATCCTTTCTAGACCAGTCCATCGGGTTGATATAAAAATCCGATGGGATATCATCGAAAACAGCTGTATGAATTGGCTTAGATGGATAGTGTCTAGATTTTGAGTTTGGTGATGATGGCTGAGAGTCCAAAGACTTGCCTATTGATGATCTTCTTGGACTCGCAAATCTATCTTGGCTGTTGCAAGTGAATAATGGTGAGGAAAGTGAGTTCCTTCCTGGGGAGAAGAACTTTTCTTGTGAGGCCGTTGGAGAAAACGCGGATGGTGAAAATTTTGGTGTTGATTTGCAAAAATGAACATCAGGAGTGAGTGACATTCTAACTTTTGGTGATTTCATTGGAGATAGGAATCTATCTTGCGAATTGCGTATCTCTTTTGGTGAATTTAGTATGCGTGACGCAAAAGTCATTATTTTGAATTTGCAATTTCTAAACGTATACAATTTTATCGAATTCAGGGCATCCCTCAAAGATAATAATGGTATTTGAGTTTTGCTATCCAATGATATAAAAGATACTATCAAAACTCATTTATTTTTTTCTGAATTTGTCAAACAATCAAAAACGGGGTTAATTTTTTAATGGAAGAAGTAGTTGTTGATAAGTAAATCATCAATATTATGATTTTTTATCATTATGAATTTGATGTACGTTTATAAATTATGCATGAAACAACTCCAAGCCATGGGAAAAAGAGAGGGAAATCAACAGAAGCAGATAATGCATCACCAATTCGCTCTTTAAGGTTTTCCATGGAAAATCCAGAAGAATTGACTCCATCCAAAGTTGTATCAAATATATATAAATCACCAGCTAGGGAAACGTGGGCAAAATCAAAAAGAGACGAAATTGATGACTTTATTTCATATGCAGTTGAAAATTTAACGACATCAGACTTAAGATATCTGAATTCAAAATTAGAATCAGAAGGACTCGTAAAAAATGCATCAGGTAATACTCAAGTATTCAAATGTGCAATTTGCCTTAATAATGTTAATGATTTCACGATTTCTACATGTGGCCATGTATTTTGTCGAAAATGCATTGAAAAATGGCTAGAATCATCAAACACTTGTCCTAAATGTCATTGTTCAATTACAGCAAATGATATTATCGTTCCCAAAGTTTCGGATCCCGATATTGAAGATGAAAGCCAACCCGTGTTAGTCTCAGTATCTAATAACGCAATTATTGCTAACAAATCGCTTTTATATGTAATAGTTTTTGTTGTTCTTTTATTATTCTTCATTCCTTTTACTTAATAACTATATAGATTGTTATACTTAAAAATATATGCTTTTCTAGATTAGATACTAAGAAATCGTGTTTTTACGTAATTACTTGCTATTTGTGTAGATTTTGAGTAAGCTTTAATACTTTTAATAGAAATTATTGTGTAAAATCCACTAACTCTAGCTCACCTCATCTCAGACAACAATTTCTTCTTTAAAGTGACAAAGTTATAGACTATTGCCTGGAAATTAACCAAATTGGCATTATATACTAAGAAAGAAGCCTTTGAAATATAAAGTTTTTCTTTAATTCTCAAAGACTTTAATTCGCACTCTTAATAGAATAAACTTTATGCGAAATTTAAATATTTGGACAAAGTTTCTATATTTTTAATAGGAATTAGAGGAAGCCAGGCACTGAAAAAGTATAAGTTCTTTACAATCTCCAATTATTCCCAGATATTAAACAAATTAAATCAATTTTTTTTTTGAAAATTTGTGAATAATTATGATCTTTGGGAGTGAATAAAAAGTTCACTACTCATTATTCATCATTAAGCTAAAAGGCTGGTTTCATCTCCTTTAGGAGAATCATTCTAAACTGATTCAAAGGGAGAAATAGAACTGTCACTTTTTATTCATTCCTATGGCTGTCTCACTTTTGTGGACAAAATGCAAAAACCTATGAATTTTCCTATTTTAATTTGATATTCATAATATATAAGTATTTGTAATGCATATTCTATCTTCTAATTAGTAAAATTACATTGCCCGCCAAAATCAAAAATTTTCTATTGAAAAAATAGCGCCAAGTCCAAAAGTGTCATTTTCTCATTGAAGACCGCAGCTGGAGTCAATGCCGATTATCCACTTGCTGGGATGCTACACAGCCTTTGATCTGGCCAATCATAGTGCTGTTCCATCCACATCAGCAAGTGATTTCGGCATCAGATCTCCACTTGGTCTTCCATGAGAGTTCTGCAAGCCAGGAGTGCAATATCTACGCAGCCTGGCTACTATATCCTAGCAGCCAGGCTGCGTAGATAAGCCAGGCTGCGTAGATAAGCCAGGCTGCGTAGATAAGCCAGGCTGCGTAGATATTGCACTCCTGGCTTGCAGAACTCTCATGGAAGACCAAGTGGAGATCTGATGCCGAAATCACTTGCTGATGTGGATGGAACAGCACTATGATTGGCCAGATCAAAGGCTGTGTAGCATCCCAGCAAGTGGATAATCGGCATTGACTCCAGCTGCGGTCTTCAATGAGAAAATGACACTTTTGGACTTGGCGCTATTTTTTCAATAGAAAATTTTTGATTTTGGCGGGCAATGTAATTTTACTAATTAGAAGATAGAATATGCATTACAAATACTTATATATTATGAATATCAAATTAAAATAGGAAAATTCATAGGTTTTTGCATTTTGTCCACAAAAGTGAGATACTGCATTCCTATGTTAAAAGGTTGGTTTTCTGTTAATTATCAGCCGGAAAAGCAGCCAAAATGGGATGACCTAAGGAAGCAATTAACAAATAGAAACGAACCAACAAAACAAGCCGAAGCTTTAGAACAAATTGTTTTATTATCTTTCACTGAGTCAGTTCCTCCTCATCTCCTTATGCCAATTATCCAATACACGGCAACAACAATGGATCATCGCGTTATTAAATTGCTTTTCTTATTCCTTGAGAATATCGAAATCAGAGATGCACGCGGAGAAATGCGTCCTGAGTTCATTTTGATTAATGACGCTATCAGAAAATTCTTATTGAGCCCTAATGAATATGTTCGTGGAGCTGCAATTCGTTTCCTTTACAAAATTAATGATCATGATATTCTTCAACAATTACTTTCTGCAGTAATATCGAACTTAGACCATTCAGATGAATACGTACGTTGGTATGCTGCTCATTTAGTTGCTCGTCTTGTAAGAGATATTCCTGGATTCGACAAAGACATTGCTGATGCAATAACAGAAAGCTTTGCCCACGAAACAAATCAGAAGGTTGTTCCAGCAATGCTCTATGCCGCTTTTGTAGCATCACCAAAAGAAGCTCTCGATCAAACAATTAATATTCAGCAATTTCTTTCACAAGATATGAAATTAGCCATCTTACAAATAGCATCAGCAGCTTATCAGCGCTTCCCGCCCTACAGAGTTCGTCTACTTGAAACAGTTGTCGATTTTACTGAAGATGATTCTCCATTAGTCCGTTTACAAGCAGCCAACGTCTTAAATACGCTCTCAAGCAGTCCGTCAGCCATCAGAGCTACAGCAAATGCCTACTGCGAGCTTCTTTCTTCACTTACTGATGAAAATCAACGCGCATTCGTTGTTCAATCCCTTATTGAACTTTCTGAAGAGCACAAGGACATTTTGGCACCTCTTGCCCTCGAAATGTCCCAAGGAGCTTCGATTGTCGGCAGTCTTCATCAAAGATTTTTGAATTTATTAACTTCAATTGTCTTGAAAGAGTCCGCAATCTCCATAGTTCCTCTTATCTCATCAAAGGATCGCGATTCCCTTGAAGCTTTGAAGACTTTGCTCCTCAGATTTCCAGAAACTTGCAATGTTATCGCAAGTCAAGTCGGGCCACTCATTACAGACCAAAATCCAGAGCTTTCCGACTTATCCAGCTCGTTATTGAAGGACTGCGGCATCGCAGGAGCCCGTCAAGAAGCATTTAAATTTTTTGTTATGGCATTAGATGCTTCTGACCGACCAGTAGTACTTGCAAGGTCAATGTGGGCTGTATCCGAGTTCGCTGAAGACCCTACTGTTGGCGCTGATATACTTTTGGACTTATTAAGTTCAGATTCCACTTCAAACCCAACAAATTCAACGACAACAGTTATCAATGATGATGGAACATACACAACAAAGCAGACAACAGCATCTTTAGGCACTTTGAGGCACAGTCTCGCTGAAGGATCTTCATTCCTCGGATTAGCTTTGATTTCTTCTTTAGTTAAGGCCAAACTGCGCGGAGCTACAATTGCTGACCTACAAGGAGCTGTCCAGAAGGCTCTTGGCTTCAAGAACGTCGAGAAAAATGCAAAAGATATTTGCAATTTATGGGTCAAAGCATCAGAAGCTCCAAAACTCGGCAGATTATTCAAACAATCATTAAATGATTCATTTGAACATCGCCGAAAGCGCATTTTGGACCAGAAAACCGAAGATATCCAAATTATTCCAGCAAATGTTCCATTATCATTCTCAGTTCTAATGAATACTGTTGAAGAAGCACCCCAGAAGACCATCAAGACCGTCGAACTCCCAATATCCCAACTCACAGGTCCATCTGATTCATTATACGTCGAAGCCTCCTGCACATTAAGGAAATACGACAGAGTATACCACGTAACTCTCTATAACAGGACCGACGCCGTCCTCACGAACATTCTTTTCGAGTTCACAACCGTCGGAAATGTTTCTGTTTTGAGAAGAAACGATTTACTTTCTTTAGCTCCATCTGGATCGACGCAATTCGATCTCCCAGTGATGATCAGCTCCGGATCATGTGGTACATTATTCGGCGCAGTCAGTTTCGACTTCGCTGGAGCAGGAGGCAGCGACCACCAACTTTTGCCACTTGCGCCAATCAACATTGATCCTTTCTTCTGCTTCGAACCGAAGAAGATATCTGATGCAGCGTTCAGATCCAAGTGGGCTGCTTCCGTCTGGGAGAGGAAGATCGACATAGCTACAAGTGAAACAGATCTGGTGAAGTTTTTGAACAAAATCGCTGACAACTTCAAGTTCGCGGTCATTACTCCGAGAGAACAGTTACTTGTCACGTCTAAAAACGCAGACTTCATTGCAGCAAACTTGTACACGTGCAGCTTGTTCGGTGAAGAAGTAGAGATGAACATATCAGCAAAGAAAGGAAAGGATGGCGTGATAAACGGGTTCTTGAGAATTAGATCTCCTGACGAATCTCTTGCATATTTGTTCGGAAAACTTATTCAATAATAAAATATTTATTGTTTACATAAAACATGAAAATCTCATTTTTTTTTTCTTAAAGACAAGAATCGGTAATTTAAATTCTCTGAGATAGTCCGAAGGATTAAAGCAGTCTCCATCTTCTTTCAATGTTTAACTTGATTTTAAGGGATCCTTAAGGCTGCACTAACGCCCATCTGACTTTAATTCAAATTTTTGACAACTGGCGTGATGCTTAATTGAAAATTAACCTTAAACACTTTAATTGCAAGCCATGTCATAGGGGCGTAAGTGCATCCTTAAAATCAAGTATTGAAAAGTCAAAGAAGACTTTGATTTTTTTGTTCAGAATCTGGAATTTCAAAAACAAATCAAAAGAAAGGAATGGATGATTTGATAAGTGGGCTCTTGAGAATCAGAACTTCTCACGAATCTCTTGCACATTTGTTCGGAAAATATAAAGTTAATCTTTTTTTTTACCAAGCATGTGGTATTTGTCAAAAGGTAGTATCTATACTAGAAGAAGAAAAATCTATTGAATTCAGAGGAAAATGACAATATATCACTAAAGTTGACAAGAATCAGCAACATTATAAATAAAGCATTAAATTTGGAGCCAATTTTTGATTTTTTATTTTTGTTCAGATTTTTTTTGTAAAGTTACGATTTTTTTTTGAAAAAAAAGTAAACAGGACATGGATATGAATTTCGAATACATTGCTGCTCATATCAGCGATTATATTGATAACGAAAACTTCTTCGATATATTTGATATCGAAGATATCAAAGCAATCATGAAATATTCACGTTTGTCGGCAGATCAATACGTTACCCTTCTCAAACAATCTTTTTCAACTATCAATACCAAAGATTTATATACCTGTACACGAAAAGCAAATGTTACTATCAAAAACTTCGAAGAAGTCGTTACAGTTCTGAAATCTGTCAAAAAATACATGAAATTCAGTATATTTGATGGTATTATTGATTTTTTAAAACAAAATGAGAAAGAAACAAACTATTCTACTAACGAAACAGAAACTGAAAATGAAACTGAATATGAAACTGAAAATGAAACTGAATATGAAACTGAAAATGAAACTGAAAATGAAACTGAATATGAAACTGAAAATGAAACTGAAAATGTAAGTGAAAATGCGTCCAACGATACCACTACCAATGTAATTAATGAAAATTACAATCATTCACAAGATATTTTAACTAAAATCACAGAACTTAAGAAATCTAGTGATTTTAAAACTGTTTACAAATTCCTTGATGAACTTTCTTCGAAAGGAAACCATGACATGATTTCAAAATCAATCGAAGCAGGACTTTGGAAAAAGATTGCTCCTAAAAAATATGAATATGATTCTGAGAGGAATGTTCTTTATTTTGCAATTGAAAAGGGAAATCTCAGACTCGTTCGATCATTCATCGAATGTGGTGGTGACAAAGAAACAAAGAATAAAAACAGATATACTCCACTCAATTATGCATCATCTAATGGTAAACTTGAAATTGTTCAATATCTTATCTCAGTTGGAGCTAATAAAGAAGCAAAGGATATTTATGGATATACTCCACTCATTGAAGCATCACAAAATGATCATCTTGAAGTTGTTCAATATCTTATCTCAGTTGGAGCTAATAAAGAAGCAAAGAATGATATTGGATATACTCAACTCATTAAGGCATCAGAAAATGGTCATCTTGACGTTGTTCAATATCTTATCTCAGTTGGAGCTAATAAAGAAACAAAAGATAGTGAAGGATATACTCCACTCATTTGGGCATCATATAAGGGTCATCTTGACGTTGTTCAATATCTTATCTCAGTTGGAGCTAATAAAGAAGCAAAGAATAAAAACAGATATACTCCACTCATTTGTGCATCAAGGAATGGTAAACTTGAGATTGTTCAATATCTTATCTCAGTTGGAGCTAATAAAGAAGCAAAGGATATCCATGGATATACTCCACTCATTTGGGCATCACAAAATGGTAATCTTAAAGTTGTTCAATATCTTATCTCAGCTGGTGCTAATAAAGAAGCAAAGAATAGAGATGGATATACTCCACTCATTTGGGCATCCCAAAATGGTAAACTTGATCTTGTTCAATGTTTTATCTCATTTGGAGCTAATTTAGAAGCAAGGAATAATTATGGATATACTCCCCTCATTTGGGCATCACAAAATGGTCATCTTGACGTTGTTCAATATCTTATCTCAGTTGGAGCTAATAAAGAAGCAAAGAATGATATTGGATATACTCCACTCATTATTGCATCATTAAATGGTCATCTTGAAGTTGTTAAATATCTTATCTCAGTTGGAGCTAATAAAGAAGCAAAGGATATTTATGGATATACTCCACTCATTGAAGCATCACAAAATGATCATCTTGAAGTTGTTCAATATCTTATCTCAGTTGGAGCTAATAAAGAAGCAAAGAATGATATTGGATATACTCAACTCATTAAGGCATCAGAAAATGGTCATCTTGACGTTGTTCAATATCTTATCTCAGTTGGAGCTAATAAAGAAACAAAGGATAGTGAAGGATATACTCCACTCATTTGGGCATCATATAAGGGTCATCTTGACGTTGTTCAATATCTTATCTCAGTTGGAGCTAATAAAGAAGCAAAGGATATCCATGGATATACTCCACTCATTTGGGCATCACAAAATGGTAATCTTAAAGTTGTTCAATATCTTATCTCAGCTGGTGCTAATAAAGAAGCAAAGAATAGAGATGGATATACTCCACTCATTTGGGCATCCCAAAATGGTAAACTTGATCTTGTTCAATGTTTTATCTCATTAGGAGCTAATTTAGAAGCAAGGAATAATTATGGATCTACTCCCCTCATTTGGGCATCACAAAATGGTCATCTTGACGTTGTTCAATATCTTATCTCAGTTGGAGCTAATAAAGAAGCAAAAAATAAATACGGAAAAACTGCAATGATGTTTTCAAAAGGTAAAGTAAGAGATTACTTAAAAACTATTTGTTCCAATTAACTCAATCATATACTTATCAACTTTTCAAAATATTTTAAATTTCAAGACATTTAAAACTTATTTGGCCTCTTGATTTCCTTCGTAGAACAAAAATGAGTGAAACAGTTTTCAATTTTGTCCATAATTTGAATATATTGTCCAAAATTATTTACCTATTACAGAAACGAAATAAAATATTAACACTCCACATCACCAAATCAAAATATAAATAATGATATCTTTATTATAATTCAATCGATATAATCCTTATATGTCCATATTGTTATGAACATACTTTGAATTATTTTACAGATAAATAATATCTACTTAAAATCATTTTGATTCAGCAAACTGGGGGAGTTGAGAAAGGTATTTATAGACATGAATGAAAAATTAAATTGCAAATAGGGTTATTGGGCAAGATTTTGTACCCTTCTGCAGAACCCAATGAAATTAATATATGGTACCATATAGTGTCTGATCTGTGGGAGTACCACACCAATGATATTTCACAAAATATCATTGTTACATATAGTTTCTGATCTGTGAGATATGAGTAAGAATTAATGAAAGTATTGAAAAAGTGACAAAAATGGAAGAAAAATGGCAAACTGCGATAGAATTATTGGAAAAGATTAATAATGGCGAGGTTCAAACAACAGAAAAACAAAAGAAAAAGCTAGAATCACTCATTGAAGGTCATAACGCACAAGTTGAAGCAGATCTGGAACTTAAAAAAGGAATGGTTGGACTTCTTTACGAAAAATACATTTATTCCAATAAGATTTGCCTTTTAGAAAAACTTGGAGTCAGGAATAAATGGAGACATCCTCTTTTAGCCGAAATTCGCGAAATATTATTCGAAGAAAATGAGTTATTCGAAATAACAGACTTCATGGTATCTCAAGAGTGATGATATCACAACACTACAACAATATTGAAGAAAATCAATTTTTTTTGAATATTGATTTATCTACTTCAAATTACTCACATCCATATACAAAAATATCTGTTATATCGCCCGATTCAATTTATTACTGTTTGTTTTGTAAATTAAACATTCTTTTTTTCAAATATTTTTTTCAGAAGATTGTTGTGAAAATTATGCCATTTTAACATTACAGTCACATCTAAAATAACAATTTGATTGGTTTAAGAAGTAGTCCAACTCAATTTTGAAAGAATTGCAGCCTAAAAATACAAAATATGCATTTTTTCTCTAGTATCAAATATATATTTTTTTGCATGATTAAAAACCATATGTATTACATCATGTAACACAACCAGTTATGTGAAATTTGATTTTCTTTAAGAGGAATCTCAAGAAAATAAAATTATAGAGGAGTTTTTCGCACTTTACTAGAGCACCAAAACTCAGAAAAAGAATTTAACAACAATTGAAAAAGAGCGAAAGGAAGAATAAAGATTTGTACGAATCTAAAATGAATTAAATTCAATACAACATATGAATTGGTATTACTTAATCAAGAAGGTGGTAACTTTACCATTAACTAAAGCATTTGTTTCTAAAAATTTGTTAATCTTATTTAGATGTATCTTCATTAGAAACAAAACATAAAGAAATGAATAGCATATTTAATCAAAATCAATGATATTTCAAAATATAATATAAAACAAAAAAATAAAATTAAAAATAAAATTAAGGCTTGCAATCGTAAATGTATAGTTTTGTTCCATTGGCCACAGCTGCCACAGATCCATTCAAGCAGTCAACGGCAGCTACAGCGTGTTCATGGTCCCATCTCTTCTTATCCTTCAAGAAAAAGAAAGCTCCTCTTCTTTGTCCTGTTTGTACTGTATCTATGACACCTGCGGACGTAACAAGACTTAGTTCTCCTCCGAGTTTTCCTGTTGCAACGGTCTTTTCGTCGAACCAACCACATCTAAATGGCTCATTTCCTTGCATGTGGTTTCTTTGGCTCTCAGTAGCAAGAGAGATCACGGAGACCGGCTCTTTCATGTTCCTTGAGTCCCAGAATATTATGTCGCTGGGGTGGCGAGAGAAAAGATTAACTCCGTCAGGAGAATATTTGCATTCAGTAATTGCGGAGTGATGTCCTGCGAGAGGCTTGATGCAGGATGCACGGGAGGTAGGAGTAGTTAACTTGGGAGCAACTCTTGAGTCTATAATGTTAACATTTCCTTTTACATCGCCTGCAAGTAAAATGTCGCAACTTTTTGGATTAAAATCAATACGGGTAAGCTGATTTTCGTTGGTGAATATGGTGGCGTTTCTGTTTAACGAATCTAAGCGACCAATTATAACATCTTTATTTTCGGCGTAAGCAAACGAGATGCCATCATTACATGCACGAGAGGCTGATATAGTATTACCTTCTCTGGCTTGTAGACGACATACTTCATTGGTTGTAATGAAGCGCTCACGCTTTGTAATAGTTGGGAATGTAATACCTTGAGCAACAAAGTCTTTTGGTATTGCTGGTTCTACTTTATCGGATATGAACCAAATGTGAATGTCTTGCTGACCTGAGGTAAGTAAAAGTGGAGATTTTCTTTGTGATGGGAATAATTCTGTATCAATAATAATAGGATTGACTTCTTTTTGCATTTTAACATCAATGGTCTTCGTGTTTGCACCCCATGTATATACATGGTCCCAGCATCCGCCTGTAATTCTTTTTTCAAAAACAAAAACTTGACCTGACATTGATCCTGCACATATTATATTGCCTGATATCGAGACAGAGGTAGATGTTATCCAATTTTGGGTGCCTTTGTCTTGAGAAAATTCGCATTTTTTATCCCAGCGTGACATCTATTTTATATCACATGTCGAAATTTTCGATATAAAATTTTATATGCGCAATCTCTTATACTTTATAAAATCAACACATTTAGCTATAAGAGTTGCAAATTCTTATTAAAATGTTGCAATAATACAATGAGAATTTCATGTTTTTTGAAATTATTGTAATTTAGGGATAATTGATTGTTACATAAGTATCTATATCAAAAAACTTTTAACCTTTGAATCTTTAGCCTTATAGATCTTTATCTAAAATTCAAAGATCAGAAACTAATCTGATTAAGCTCTGGATAGGGACAAATTAGAATGTAAAGTACCCGAGATAGTTGGCAACACCTGAAAAATACCACATTTTAACATTTGAAAATATATATCAAAATTATGCTGTATTGTTAGAATACTAATATGGCTAGGTATTTTGTAAGTCAGTGAGAGTTATTCCTCTATTCAATGATTCGATATTATTCAATTTCGTATCAAAAATTTCAAATTCCATTCGATTTGATGATATAAATACGATTTATAATAGGTGTGTATTGCATCTGTTATATAAAAATGTGTTTTTAAATTATGTAAATTTGATAATTCTGCCAATTTAAGACATGATTTGAGAAAAGCATTGAAATCTGGCAACTTTTTTTTATTTTTCATGACTACTCTCCAAATAAGAATACCATTTAATCCAACACTAGATACAATGAAGGAGTTCCAAGATGTCGTTTTAGTCTCTCCATACCATAAGGTAGAATACAAAGCAAACCGTCTTAAACTTGCACAATTATCCCCATATTTTAGGAGAAAATTTAATGAAATCAAACCCGAGCCAGGAAATGTTTTAAGATTCCAGCTCGAAAAGGATCCGAAAAATGCAACACAGGTAGTTTTAGATGGTTTCCAGACTTTCAAATTAACTATTAATCCAGATATTGCACCGGCTCTTTTGTGTGTAAGTTCTATTTACGAATTACCTCATTATTGCCAATTTGCAATAGAAGTTATCCAAAAAGCGATCGTTGCTAATTCACCCTATAAAACAATTTCCAGATACCTCAGTGAGTTTCAGGAATATGGTATCGTTGAGCACGTTGATAAATTAATTCCTTATTTTGCCCAATATCTAATTGATGCCATTGCAAGACCAGAAATTGCCGACCATTCACTTGATGAATTGCTAGACTTGATTACTGATGGTAGAGTGCTATCCAAGTTGATTTTGTATATCATAAAGGAGCGTAATTTTAAATTAGCAACATCAGCCATTCTCAAGACATTTGATACATTCTATGACAAGCATCCCAATATGTCCGCTGATGAGAAGGAGTCTTTCATGGATAATGAAATCATTAATTGGGATCAACCTGATACCTTCCAATATCTGACCAAATTCAAATGCTTATGGCTTGGCTATAAGAAGGCTCGTGAGAATTTCAAGAAGATCTTCGTCAATCGTCGCAAGATTATCAATGAATTCAAACCAGACGAAAGCAATCCGAAACAGATGGTCAAACGTTGGTACGCGCTTTCCCTTATTAAAGATATCCATGAATCCGATCCTTCGCAAGATAATGAAAATTATAATACGATCAAGTTTATTACAACACTTGGTGGAGTCGCCAAGCAGCTCGATCCTGAAAAATTCGGATTAATCAACCCAGATCCAAAAGTTATTCCATGCGGCGACCAAATCCTCGATGATAACTACAAGCACTCAAATATCTTTATGAAGAACGAGAAGATTTTCTGCGCGATCGGTAACGATAAACATGCTGTCGTTGATTTCGGATCAGAAGTTTACGCTTCTTCTATCGTTCTTGATTTCGAAATTGCCGCAAGGATAAGAAAAATTGGAGACATATCCCAGTATTTCCCACATCCAAAGAGTGTTGAAATCACGTTCTTCTCCGGTCAGAAACAAACACATTCTCAAAAATACGATGTTAAATCAAGAATCTTCACAATAAAACAAGTTAATAGGGCCTTTACCAAGATAGTTATATCACCATCAAATAAAGCAGCCACATTCAAGTTGAAGAATGTTGAAATAGTAGGACACTTTACTAATTAGATAATATTTTGATTAAACATCTTATTTTAATCTTATATTAATCAAAAATCTCCTTTTTACTTTAATTTCGAAAAAGAATTTTTTCAAATTTTAAATTAATATGATGTTCAATCGATGAATTAGCTAAAATGTTAGGCCAAAAAGTGAAATAAGACTGATTTCTTCATAATACCTTATAATCTAAGAAATATTGTTGATATCTCACAATAATTTTATGGGATATCACCAATGACAACGATGTTGTAGAACAAGCAAGTCTTTGTTTATTATTTACTTATGTCACAATGAATTCCCATTATGAATTGATGGAAATTGATGGTGTCTTTTGAAGTCAAAAAATTTGCTTATGGAAAAATTTTAGATGACACATCTTGATTCATAAAACTAGAATGGTTTAATTTGAAACGGCTTTTATAGTCATACAATATGAACAAACATGTCTCAAACTCAGGAATCATGTAATGTTCTTAATGAAATTCCCCAAAGAGGTGATTCAATCTTCCTATTTCAGATATATTTTGAAAGTACATAGATAGAAGATGTAATATCCAGGTTCTCATAAAAGTTGTGTCAAAAAAGATTTTGGCTCTCCAAGAGCGAGACGATAAAAAGCGGTTTGAGTGGTCCTTTTTGTAATGGGACGCAAGAAATTATCTCGCGCTCGCGAATCCATCATCAACTCCCTCTCCCTTGTCACAAAGTCCGGCAAGTACTCCCTCGGTATTTCCCAGACACTCAAGTCCCTCCGCAATGGTGAGGCCAAGCTCGTCATCTTCGCTTCTAATGTTGCCCCAGCTCACCGTTCCCTCATCGAATACTACGCTATGCTCTCCGGCTGCGATATCCTCCCATTCGATGGCGATAACGTAGATCTTGGCACAGCCTGCGGTAAGTACTTCCGCTCCTCTGTCATTTCCATCATCGATGCTGGTGAGTCCGAAATCCTCAAGATGATCAAGCAAAAGGATGAGTAAATTACAATGCAAATCTACACGATATTTTTTGCCAATAATCTTCATAATAAACAACCCCATTGCATTAGCCTTCTAATACAGCATAAATACCATCTCTTTTTATAACTAATATCCTTTAGTTTCTATCTTGTGTCTCTCATACAATTTTTTTTTTAAAAAATGCCTTTAACTCCGGATTTTTGGATCACACAAGATTCTGATTTCCTTCATTTCACTATCAAATGTCCTAATGTTCGTGCTAAAGACATGGAACTTGTCGTTGCTGATACAGAGTTTAATTTTAACGCAGAACCATATATGTTGATCCTTCACTTTCAACATTCATTGAGAGATGGTGAAGGATGCACTGCTTCATATGATATTGATGCAGGAATGTTTACCGCTACCATTAAAAAAGCAATTCCTGGAGAAGATTTTCCAGAAATTCTTTTACTAACAACATTAAAAGCACCACAACCACAAAAGAAAGAATTATTTGAGGTTGTAAGCAGATCAACCGCTCTTGAATGGACAGATGATGCACCAGATATTTCTCATTATGGATTCAACTTCTGGGCAATAGATTTCTTCGAAAATATGGGTGAAATTCTTCCATACGTTGCTGAAATATCAGATCCAGATCATACAATACTTCCTGCGCGCACAAAAATGAGAATTGAAAAAGAAAATGACGATTACGATCCAGATCGTGTAATTTTCGATCATGTAAATCCATATCCTATCAAAGTCGAGCATCTTAACAATCTTTTAACAGATTTTACTCCAGAAGAACGCAAGAAATTATTAGATATCAAACGTCAAGAATTTTTGATGTGCAGAGATGTCGCGAAGTCCTCATTTTACTCAATAGCCGAAGTCTGCTACTCATCTGTCATGGATATTGTCTGCTTTGGCCCAGAAGGCTCATGTCAATCAAATTGGACAATCGCACAGCTCTCTCCGACCCTTTCATGGTTCGATTCTTTCCCCACAGCCCGCGAAATGATTATCGCAACTGTTAGAAGAACAATGGTATATAACGTATCAAGAAGTTTTTCTTTGGCCGAGACAGTTTGGAAAGAAACAGAGAAGTTTATCAAAGCTGGAAGGACACCGATCATCAAAGCTCTTATTCGCGCAAAAAGCGCATTAGAAAAAGCAGAACACAGATGGAGATTAAACAAATTGTACATCGATCCAATGATATCGTGGATACAAGAACTCAAGGAAGAAGAGTTCCAAGAGTTTTCTAAAGAAGTTTGCAATGAAATTGATAATTTCGTTACAAAAGATGAAGTTGACTACGACTGGGCCATCGAACTATGCGAAAAATACGCTGTTCAGTTAAAAGAAAATGGAGAATTGGACCAATACGACCAAGTTAATGATTTAGACGTTCTTAAAGAGATGGATCCACAAGAAATCGAAGAGGAAGACTTCGAACATAACTATGAACCTGTTGATATCTATTCCAGTTAATTTTGTTTTTAATTTTATCGAGTGCGGGACAAATTTGCCAACTGTCACTTTTCAATAACCTTAAATTACGCTTTTCTAATTTTTTTAAAAATAACCTTAAATTATATTTGAAGAAATTATGTCTATGATATATGTTTTATTCTAGAATCTTGGAGTTTTCATGCACTACACAAGAGCTCCAAGGTTCCAAGAGTGAATGCTCAATAGCAATTATAGAGATGTACCTTTTCAAAATGACTTTTACTGATTAAATTTAATCAATAGAAGACATTTTGAAAAGGTACCTCTACAATTAGATATACAAGAGATTCAAAGCTTCATTTCAGATAGATTTGAAACTTTGAAACTCTTGGTAGATTTTGAGTGAATGCTGACAATCATCTTTGAGAAGGTTTTCTTTAAGAAAACCTTCTCAAAGAGGTTTCTCAGGAGCCCTGAGGCTCCCTTTCGTAATGATTGGGAGCCTTGGGGCTCCTGAGACGAAGAATGGCTTCGCCGAATCTTTGATCAGCAGAGGCCAAATGAAAAGGCCTCTGCTGATGGATTCTCAGGAGCCCTGAGGCTCCCTTTCGTAATGATTGGGAGCCTTGGGGCTCCTGCAGCAGAGTATCGCTCCGCTCCATTAATTTTTTTTTAAAAAGTGCCGTGTGGCAAATTTGTCCTGTTCCCAATTTTATCTTGTTTTTTTATAAAAAATAGAAATTATGAGCTTTAAAGCATTTTTCTTGAATAAGCTTATCATTTAAAATCGATGTGATCATTACAACCTTCTTTTCGAGCTAATTTTCAGATAATTTTCTCAAAATCATTCAAATCAGAGAAAGTCTATATGATGAAATTTGTGTTACATCATATGGTGAATATAAATATAATAGTAATTTATGTTTTTGTCAAAACACAATTTTTTTTTCAAAGCGATGAATTTCTGCGAGAATACTCGACAGAAATGTATCGAAATCATAGACAATTTAATGAAACATCCAATAGCAGAAATATTTATCAACCCAATAGACCCAGAATTAGACAATGTTCCTAACTATTTCGAAATTATTAAAAAACCAATGGATTTATCAACGGTAAAAAAGAATTTACAAGACGGAACTTACACTAACTTCAATGATTTTAAGAAAGACGTCGAACAAATATGGGGAAATGCTTCGTTATTTAACGGAAGACCTTCATTACCTTCAATGATGGCTGACGAACTAGCAAGAATATTTAAGAAACTTGTTTCCCCTATAGAGTCATTAGGTAGAGAAGAATGGATTGCTGCTTATTCCAAATCTCAAGCACATCTTTACAAATTATTCAGAGCTCAACCAAAGCAATTAGAGCAATTTAACTTATCACCAGACACAGAAATGCTTGTTCCTGAAAGGAGACTTGCAAGATCATTCCTTCAGGCAGAAGATACAAAATTATTCCAAGAAGCTTTCAGATTTATTCATGATCCTGCTCATTTATCAAAACTTAAGCAAATTATTACAGAAAATGAACCTTCAGTCGATCCAACTGAAGAAGAATTGCATATTAACTTATCTGCTTTGACTCAAAAGACTCTTAAGCTCTTGCGTGCATTTGCCATTGAAATGAAAGAAGTTCAAATGAGGCAACCAATGTTAGAATAAAATATAGATAGAAAATTCAAAATTATTTTGTTTCATTATAAAAAAAAATCCTAAATATAGATTTTCATCATATAATAAGAGTGTTAAGATAGAAAAAACTTTGATTCTGATAAGCAAAAAACTGTCAGAATTTAATAAAATGAATTACCTTTTTAATGAGCTAAAGAGAAAAGTTACTTTTGCATTGCGCCAAGTCCGCGGAGCTCCTGTTGCCAGTTGATCTTCTGGGCGTTAATTGGAAGTCTCCTTCTGAGTTTGTTAAGACCTTCAGAGTTGAGAAGCTCAAATCCTTGGGTAAGTGCGTTATTCCACTTGATGAAGAACTTGGATAATTTCTTAACAATATCTTCGGCCTTTGCGCCATCATCATCGCCTTGGTATGTATCTTCGAATTCTGAGACCTGTGTACCGATGCAGTTACCCTTTTCGTAGAAGTGGCCCTTAAGCTCGATAGATCCCTTGAGGTTTCCTTCGGCGCATGTGAAGTGCATTAAAATAATGCCAGTTCTGAAGTTTGCCTTGTTGATTGTTGATGCGCGGACGACAATCTTTACGCCGTTCTTGCTATCGTATGTGCCGCATGTGCCGTTGTGGACTGTTGACTTGGCAAATGCAAGTGCAAGTGGCTGGATAGCCTCTCTTAATGAAGATGATTCGAGTGTCTCTTCTTCAACTGGCTGTGGCTCTTCGCCTTTAGCTGCTGGTTGAGGCTCTGGTGTAACGATGGTTTGGTTTTCAAAATCGTAAGTGAAAACTTTGTTGGTAACTGGATCAATGAATTTATTTTTGCCTCTACGAGCTTCCTCGCAAAGGATAGCCTTGTGATCATCAATCTCGATTGTTGAGCAGTTGTGAATTAACCAATCTTCCTTTGTCGCTTTGATGCCTTCGTCGATAATTTCAGTATTCTCAACAAATCCCTTGAGGGCGGCAACGACATCCTCGTACTCACCAGGTGGTGATTCCTTAAGGAAGCGTGTGACTGACTTGATTTCTTCAGACATCGAATAAATTAAATTGACAAAGTGTGTTTACATATTTATATTATTTATGACGGTTATTTCATTTTTGATTCAAGCTATCACATAACTTCTCATTCTAAGATTAATTTTGGATATGTTTCTTGATAACATATATTTTCATCGTGCAAATTTAGCATAAAATTGCTTTTCTTTGAAAAGAGTGCAAGGAAGTGATGTCCGTCGTGAGCAGAAATGATTAATTACAATTCAGCAGAGATAGTTATAATAATATCTTTATCGAAATCGATGAAAATAAAACTAATAATTTAATTCACTTTTCAAAAAATTTGAATCACCAGCCAGTATTCAATGATTATACTCCCTAGATATGGCTTGTTGAAGTGATTACTTGCGAACCATTCATTATTGGAGAAAGATGTTTGAATATTGCGATTGACAGGAAAATATAAGAGTTCATATATTCTTCACTGGCAAATTGTAGTGCACAGACTTACAACTATCTATTTATAAGCTTTTGATGATCAATTTCTATGAGAATTTTAATGATAACCATTCTTCAATGATTTTTTCTTAAATAACTTTGATTTGATATCAGGTTTAGGTAAAATAAGATAATCTTATGTTTCTCTATTAACACATTTTGCTGCTAAATGAAGAGCAGTAGATCTTTCAAAAATTCTTTTATTTTAAATAGATACATTGGGCCGTCAAATATTCACCATATAATGAAATATATAGAGGTTGTAATCAAGTACAAGTATAATGATCGAATTTTTAAAATCTGTGAGCAATATAACGAAGCTTTCATATTCTAATTCTATGACATATAATTCTATTATACAAGTAGAGGATTAATGCCATTCTTTTTGAACAAATGCGACAGATAACCCAATTCCAAAATATGAATTATATTTTGACCGCTCTATCACATGACATAGTAATAGTGAGACCTGTTAGATAGAATGATTGAACTACAATTGTTCAATTGAATGACCTTTGTATTTCAATGCTACATTTATGAACATTTTGAGATATTTCCTCTAAAATATCCACTACATTGTTTTGTACTTGTATTCACCGTGTGAAAACCTATGTTTATCTATCAAGGTACTTGAAAAAGTGTGATTTTCACAAAAAAATATAAAAGAATTTTATGTAATACGCTATCCAACTTTCACCTTCTTCTTTTGATCAGGCTAAAATTCAAAAAAAAAATATTTTTCTGCCATGAATCGTCAGCCTGAAGGAGTGATTCCACAGTTCGAGCAACTTCTCGAAGAATTGGAAAAACTCCTGATGCAGACAGTCGTCCATAAAAAGAAATTTGAATTCGCTTTCAGCCAATTCAGAAAATTTATTGAAGAATATTCACAAGATCCATCATCGAATACATACCTCAATGAACATGAAGATATTAAATTACAAATTAACAATGCTATAATGAATTTCAGAGATGTTTTATTACAATATGATAAACACCGATGGACCTTGTCAACAGTAGATAATCCAAGTAATACTGCAGGCACGGCCTTGTGCAGTATCGTTAGCAAACTTCAGCAAATTGTTTCAACTTTCACTGAGGCCGGCTCAAAATGCTTTGATCCTGAATCGCCACAGTGGTTGCAGTACCATATTTTAGATTTGAAATATATACAGTCATCCTTTAAGAATTACTTAGAGCTGAATAACGACAATTCAGAAAATTGCTTGCGAATTGAGAAAAGGCTTGAATCAATCGATAATTTTATCAACCAATATGAAAAGGAATCCGCTGCAATTCAATTCCGCGTTTTTTCTCCAATTCCTCTGAATTATCAATCATGGCGCTTAAATCATAAAGATCTAAACAAAGTCAAAGAAATCGGACATGGCGTATCCTCAGTAGTTTACTATGGTTACGATAACCGTACCAAAAACGAAGTAGCCATCAAAGAATTAAAATATCCAATTTTATCAGGTCCAAGTCTTAACCAATTCCAACGCGAGCTTACAGTTCTTGCTACAGCTAGACATCCCCGCGTACTTGGCTTCGTCGGAGCCACCGAAACCGCTCCTTATTGCATTGTCACAGAATGGATGGGCGGTGGAACATTGTACAACATATTACACTCGCCAAAACCAACGAATCCCACCATGCTCAGTATCTGTATGTACGATATAGCCCGTGGAATGCAGTTTCTCCACTCAAGACACATCGTACATCGCGATTTGAAATCCCTGAACGTTCTCTTCGACAACAAAGGCCTTGCACACATTGGCGATTTCGGATTCAGCCGTCGCGAAGACGATAAAATGACACAATCCATAGGAACACCGCATTGGATGGCTCCAGAATTACTGGCAACAGGATCATTTTACACGAACAAAGTTGATGTTTACGCGTACGGCATTGTCTTGTGGGAGATTCTCACTAAGCAATATCCATACAATCTCATGGACCCACAGCAAATTGTTGCACAAGTTCTTGCAAATGATTTGCGACCAGAAATTCCGGAAAATTCTCCACCAAGATTGGCATCATTAATCAAAAAGTGCTGGGATAGAAATCCTGATGCCAGGCCAAGCTTCGATCGTATTGTCAGCGAGCTGCAGCAAGGAAATACTCTTCTGGAAGGTGCCGATCGAAAGGTATTTCTTGAATACACAGCACAGTTTGTTACACAGATTTCTGACCAATCATATCACATTGAATCACAATTGGAAGAACAAACGACAACAAACGATGAAAACAAATTTATCGATTTCGTGATAACCCTTGAGAAAGAAGGTATTCCACCAAACCTTGTTGACAGATGCTGGCAGAAGTTCTTGTCTTCAAACTCAATGAGAGATGAAGTTAGAGCAAGATGCGCGGTTTTGTTCTTGAAAACTTCTATGAAAAATCAAGTGTCACTTTTTCTCAGAAAACTTCCACGTAAATCGATTCCTATTGAATCCATTACATGGGCTGTAGAACTTATACCAACAGGCAGTGAAGATATCGATACAAACATCGTTGTCACTGCTTGCAAGAACGGTTGTGCAGATGCAAGTTCAGTTTACGCTGTAAATCCAAATCACATCAAATTATCTCTTGAATGCGTTGCTCAAAACGGTGTTCGAGAGAACCTGAAAGCAGCTGTTGCTGATAGATGTGTACAGTGCTTGGGATCTTCAGATCCGTCAATGGTTTGCACTGCTTTGAGATGTTTGGTCGGAATAGGTGAAATGAGGAGAATTACTCCGAGTGCAATCAAAGCTTGTTTGTCTTCTAGCGATGAATCAGTCCAGAATTGCATTTTCGTGGCTGGATCTGCACTCGTAAGAGAGGGAATCAGTGTTCCTAATGAGTTCATTGACTCTTTACTGAAGGAGTTCTTCTCAAAGAGACAAATTGTCATAACTTGCGTAATCATTTCTTGCAAAGATACGGGAATTGCTTCAAAAACACTGGATTTGATTAAGAATAATCTACAAAGTGTAGAGATAAGTGTTCTTTTGAGGATTTTCTTCTCAAGTGCTCAGCATATCAAATTAAGACCAAAAATTAGAGAAATTATGGAGTCAATGAACCCAGAAACAATGGAAAATGACATGAAACAGAGATATGAAGACTTATTACAAAGATTGAAGTCGGACTAAGAAATTATTTTTTTCAATTTTATAATTGTTTTATAATTATTTTTGTTTGTTTGAAATTTAAAATCATAACTTTATTTTAGTAACCTAATAACTAATAATACTTAAGATATTTTAAAATTATCAATATTTCGAGATTATATAAATAAACAATCTAACAAATGATAATAATGAATGCTGTGGTCATCTGATAAAATGAGAAATTCATAAAATTTGTTAAATTATTGAAATTTTCAAAAAATTATTTCCTTTATACTGAATCACATAAATGCCTTCAATCAAAAAAGAAGCAAATAAGATAGAAAGATAGAATTTTTCAGAAGTAATGTAATAAAAATTAAAAAAATTTGGTAAAAAAGGGGGTTGGCGTCCTAAGGCGTCCTAGTGTAAATTTCTCAAAATTGTGATATTTACATCACATTTTTGAGAGGTTTATGGGCGTCCTAAGGGAAAATTGAATAGCTAGGGCGTCCCGAATTTTCATTCTAAGATTTAAATATATTATATACTTAAGTATAATACAAGCAATATAAAAATTAAATTTTTATTATGTTAACTTATAAGAAATTTTTTTGAATTATCGTTGATTTATTGTAATCTTTCCAGGCTATACTTTTGAAATCAACTTTACCTGTCATACGCATTAATGTAGTAGATGTCCGGGTGTAGCTATTATATCCCAGCAACATTGGTATTTTATCATTGTAAGATATCAAAATGAAGCGTTTTTTCAGATATAATTTTTCGTAAATTTTTCAAAAATAAGATGGTAAAAAAGCCTCGACTTGCTCGAAAAATAACAATTTTTTTACTTGTAAAAATAACCCTTTTACAGCATGGGCAGCTATTCAATCACTATTTCTTTTTCTAAAAGTATATTTTTCAAAAAAAATTAAGATCAAATTCGACAATTTCTTGATGAAAGCAAAAATATTACACATACTTCTAGATGCATGGGATAAAATATGCAATTATCCAATCAATTCGCATGATTTGAAAAAAAAAATCTAAATTTGATAAAAATGTAGAAATTTTTTATTTTTAACTTGAGATTCGATTTTTTTGATCCAATTTGTGAATTTTTTTTTGATCGGAATTTCAATTAATTTGTTGATCAAAAATGACCTCACAATGTTTGATCATAAGTGAAGCCATCTTCATGGGTATTTAGAAATTCCAAGAGAAATTGCTTATTTCTCGCAGATGTAATATCTGAGAAAATCGAATTTAAATATTCATAGAAACCCAAATCATTCTCCGGTTCGAATAATTCATCTGTTGCTTTTTCTGTTTTTTCTATGAATTTTAATAATTTGATTAATAAATCTTCATCAGGAAGAATTATTGCTGCATTTGTGATAAAATTCCATATTGAGGTAATATGGCAATAATTACATTTATAAAATGTAATTTTATCCAAAATTTTTTGGCAAATTCGCATAATAGCATTAATATTTGAAGCTGAGATTAAACCTGTGATTACTTCTGTAACTTTTGGAAAATCATCGCAATTTAATATCTCTTTATATTGAATTGAGAAATAAAAAAAATCAAATGGATTCATTTCTTCAATTTCAAGGAGATTGTAAAAATTGATAGAAGTGTTATTGCAACAAATTGTATTTGCAGCAAAAAATATCATTTGCTCGATTCCATTTTTGGAATAAATTTGCTGGAACAATGTTAAATTAAAACAGTTGCTTAATTTTTCTTCATTGTTTTCATAAAAAAGTAACAAGTTTGCAACTGAAATTTCAAAATTTTGATAATTGCCAGTTATTTCAGTAAATATATATATTTGCTTTTCTTCATCTAAAAATGGCAAATATTGATTTGCAATATTAACTAAAGTTTGGGATAAATTGTTCCAGTTTGATTTTACAATTTGTGAGCACATTATGTAATATGTAAATTTATCCGCTTTGTAGGAATTTAAAATTGTTTGTTGTTCTGTTTCAGTTAAATTACTGAATTTTTCAAGATTAATATTGTGATAAAAAATAGAATCCTTGAAACATTCTGATATCTTTTCAATGTTTAAAACGGATGCTAAAAAATGTAAAAGAACTTCATCAGTCACTGTGATTTTTTTGAAAAATTTATCCCAATTCAAGCATCCAATTGATCTTTCTGTCATTGTACTTATGCATTGATAAAGTTGATTTAATGAATCCGAAGAATAATCATTATGCTTGACTAGTTGAGTTAGTTGATACAGACTGTCGTCAGCCATTTTAAAAAAATGAATAAAATTGTATAGTAAATTATATTTGTGAAATTTGTGACGCTACATTCAATCTAAGACCAATATCTCAAAGAATTCCTCATTTAAGTATTACTTTTCATTGTTTTTTAAAAAATATCTTTGCTTATTTGTTCACTTTTTTGACATTTATTATATGCTTTTTATCATATTTCCGATGATATGAATATATATTCTATATAAGAATGACGCTACATTCAATCTAAGACCAATATCTCAAAGAATTCCTCATTTAAGTATTACTTTTCATTTTTGATTCAATTTTCGAACGGTTTTCGTAAATTTTGCATCATTTCATTTTTTAATGGGAAAATCATCTATATTTAATCAAAAAAGAGCAAACTTTACAGACGAAAATAAAATATTTATCAGGGAACAATCTGATAAATACCAAAAATCAACATCGAGAGATGAAAAAACGAATATAATCAAACAAGTTCTTCAATATTTTAATATTAAATACGCCGAAAATGAATCTAAAGCTGTCAGAAGATATTTTAGTTATATTGCAGTTAAAAATATTCCCGCAGTTACTGGAAAATATCCTGATACAATTGTTCGCAAAGATATGCTTTATTCGCATATCATACAATATTATTAATTCAAATAATATTGAACGTTACTACCGTTGCATCGATCATTCTTGTCAAGCACGTTATTTAGTTAAAATTGAGAACAGTTCAGTTTCCGAAGATTTACAAAAGGAACATATACCCGAATGCAGACAATTTAAAAAGTTACAAAATGAAAAAAATGATCTTCATAAATCAATGACTCTGACAGAAATATACAATAAGGCAATGGCAAAATTTTCTGAAGACAACGGCACTTTTCAGCAGATTAAAAAATTTATGACAGAACTTGCTGTTGGTACTGATGAAAACCCATTAATTAAAGATTCATTGGTCAGGGAAGTTTATAATAAGTCCAGAAAATTTTCTGTTGGAGAAAAAATTACAGACGATGAAATTGCTAATTTTTGTTTAATAAATGGCGAGCAGTTTTTCATTGGCCATGATTTTCAAGCAAATTGTGAGACGATGTTTTTTGGTTTTGAGAAGGCAATTCAATTTGCAAAAGAAGCCACAGATTTATTTTGCGATGGAACTTTTAAAATTACACCAAAACATTTTCAAAAAGGACAGATGCTAACAATTATGATTTGTGAACCTTCAACAAATCAATATCTACCACTTTTATTTATATTCATGAAAAACCGCACATTTGAATCTTATAAGAAGGCATTTGAATATATTTTTACTGTCAAGGGTATTCAATTTTCAAAGCTAATTCAAATTCATTGTGATTTGAAAAGGGAATGATAGAGGCACTTCAACAAATTTTCCCTAAAGTCCGTATAATTGGATGCCTATTTCATTTCAAACAAGTTACACAGGAAACTTGTAGCACTTTATACAAAAATTTCAAACTTTACAAAATTCTTTATTTAAGCTATATTCTATTACTCCATTCATGTCTCATGAAGAATTTGTACTTACAATGCATATAATTAATCAAAATAAAGTTGATTCGATCAAAGATTATATTGATTATTTCAACAAAGTTTGGTTGCCGCACTACAATTTAATATCTCAATATAAATGCAACTGCAATATTCACTAATGATTGCCTCGAGAGTATGCATTCAGAATTTTCTTCGTTAAAACATCCAAACATTTATGAAGCTATTAAGAAGATATCTCAAATCCAATTAGATAAATATAACGCCATCAAAAATAACCAGAAGATCGAGCGCCATATAAAAACCGTTATCACTGATAGCTACAAAAATTATATTCTTGACTGCTTTCAAAAAGAACTTGAGAAAACAATTTTTTCTATCAAACAATACAACGTAAGTGATCTTTCTTTGGCTCAGAACGAGATTTCTCCATATGGTTCCATAGAATCGAGTTCATTGTTCGAAAATATTCCAGTTCATGATGCAGATATACTCAAATCGATCGATCTAACAGATAAAGATACAATGATCACTAAGTTTATTAATGAAAAAAGAGAAAAAATTATGGCATTATTTAATGAAACATTAAATCATCCAGATTTTAATTCATCCACTCCAATTTCAAACTAATTTTGAGCAAGCCGATACAAATCAAGGTTCAGATGCTCCAATTCGCTCCGAAAATTCAAATATTGCAGACTCTACAGATTTAGAACCAGAAATCAAAACCATCCTTCTACAAATCAAATGTCTAGTAATCTAGAACATAAGCTGGACCTTCTTGATCATATTGAAAAACAATTATCGAAAATGCGCTCGTTATTGGGAATTCTTCCTACTACAAATGCTATTGTTGGGCCGTCAAAACAAGTTTCAGTTAATAGCAAGCAAAATTCTGAAAAAAATAAGAAAAAATCTTCCATAACAACAAAATCAAACAATAAAAAACAAAATTCATCCGACAATCCTCCTAAACGTAAAGCTCCTATTTCGGAAAGGATTCTCAGCGATAATAACTTATATTTTCAAGTTCATCGAAAGAGATCGAAAAGCAAACGTTCCACATCTACAGAGAAAAAGAATTGATATATGAAGTCTAATTCCTTTTATAACTACTATATTTTTATTCTTATGACTAAAAAATAATATATTATTTAACAATTTTCATTTTTTTCTTTTAACAATTTCGTTTTATTTCCATTTATTGTTAAATGATTTTTAGCATACACCTTTCTTTGTTCATCTTCTAAATACAATTTATTTTTTCTTAGATATAATTCTATTCATTCAATTTGATCGTCATTTTTCAGTACATGATCGTAATTTTCAACTATTGATCGCGATTTTACTTCAGAATTTGTTCGCAATATTGCTTATCAAAATTATATCTCTATTCTCTCATTTCTGTTTAGTCAATATCATTACACTCCTATTGTCTAATAACATGCTATTAATTTTCTTAAAATTAAAAAAAAAATATCAACTTTTAAAAACAGAAACTTAACATCCTTAGGTCAATGGATTTTGATGTGAGATACATTTAATCTGTTTTTCTTTTTTTATTTTAAATAATTGAATATTTATAGTTGTTATGGGTCTTACATCATGTAAAACGAATTTTCTTAAAGTAAATTTACTTTTTCTTCAATCTTTCTTACATATTTATTAAAAAAAAATTATCCAAAAAAAGATGTTTTAGAATGAAAAAAAAATAGAAAAATCTTCATTTATAGTCTTTCTTGAATGTATACGTTTTGATTTTTTTCTTTTTTAAAAAATTCAATTTCTAGAAAAATCGAGAAAAAATCATTTTCTTCTATTTTTTAGGATGCCATACCCCATTGAAATCTCCTCTCAGGACGCCATAAACTATTCAATTATGGTGTAAACTTCTCAAAAATTGAATAGTTTACATCAGGACGCCTTAGGACGCCAACTCTTTACGCGCCCAAAAAATTCAGACAGTAATGAATTATTGTAGTACGGTTAAAGTTAATTTGGAAAATGGAACTGTTTTTGAAAATGATATTCGCGATTGTCAGATTATGAAATCATGGTTGGGAAAAATTATTGATTTGGATCAGAAAATAGCAATGAAATTACTATATTACTAGATAACTATGTTAAAAAGAGAAAAAAACAAAAAATTCTGTGAAATTTTTGTTAACAACAACCAGAATTTTTGTCCTTAACTTCGATTGTGATCTGTTTGCAATCGCCTTTCTTCGGGTAGTGTTCGTAAAGAGCTGTAACAACATTATCAATTAAAGCTTCAATTCCTTCTCCTGTTTTTGCTGAAACTGCAAAGAACTGATATCCTCTTTCTTCAGCCCATGTGCAAGCATCTTCTACTACGTGATAGTTTTCTTTCAGTAAATCAATTTTATTTGCCACAATAAAAATAAGTCTTCTATCATCACCAACAGACTTGAATAAATGAATCCATGACTCAAGCCTATCATATGATTCGGGCTGACTTACGTCAAAAACTGCAAAGGCAGCATTGACATTCCTGCAATATACAGGAACTAAAGACCGAAATCGTTCCTGACCAGCAGTGTCCCATATTTCTAAAGTAATCTGCTTTCCGTTGTATTTTCTGAATATTTGGATAAAATCGACACCGACAGTTGAAGATTCTGCATTATCAAATCGATCTCCGTATATATTTCTTATAATGGATGTTTTCCCAACAGCTGATTCTCCAATTGTGGCAATGCGAAATGGAGCTTCAAACATTTATTTTTGGAGTTCGACGAATAATTTATAAAATTGTGAAGAAATAATCTTTTAAGAGTGTCTTCACGCCTGTATAATGATTAAGGGACAGACTTTATAAGGTAGTCACAAAATCTAAGTAGTGAGGCTCTCAAAAATTGAACCGTACTCCATACAAAATTTGTGTACCCTCACTACTTAGATTTTGTGGCCTTCAATTGAGAGGTTAGTTTTGATAGAGCACGTTATAAAATTAAAAGGGAAAAATAAATAAAATTTAAACATTTAATTATATATAATGTAAGGAGTGTAATTCCAAATTTTCTAAAAACTATTCAAATTTGAGCATTTTTTGGAAATAGTAAATCTAATATGTACATCTAATAACAACATGATTCATCACCTTTTCAAGCTCTGCAGTCAATTTTTTGAAATTTGATTGAAATAAATGTAGCAAAAATTACATTTCATTAGGGAATATATGAGTTTCTCTGGAAACAGGCCGATAAATTTTAAATTTTGTCCAATCAACATGAATGCATTGAGAAATTTGGATTGATTTTCTGGTAGAATCTGGAACAATTCAACCATGTATAAATGGATCATGTAATCATCAGGAAATGTTAGTGTTAGAGTTCAAAAGAAACAGAATGAGTGGAAATCAAACACAATCTGAATAATTTTAAACGTATACAATCTTTAAGTTTGTATTTTGAATTCTACATATATGATTGTGTAATTCGTTCTTTCAAATTTTCGAATTCAGGCATGTTTTGATAAAATTCATTCCCAAAAACGTCAATTAAAAATTAAATTTAGTGTATTTTAAATATATATACGTATTATATTTTATAAATTATATTAAATTCGCAAAATTTTAAGTTTTAAACAAAAATAAAAAATGTTCAAAATATGAAATTATGCATAGGATATTAAAATTTACATGTTAGCAATTTTTTTGAATTGCTTTCAATTTTCATATTGAAATTTTTAAGATTTTTTCTGAAATAATAAGCAAGAATATCAACCTAAATAATATTAAATTCCATGCGTTAATTTCCCCTCAAAAGTCATTGACCGCCTCTCAATCTAGATTTTGTGAGTACTTTATAAAGCTCTCTTTTGTTGTTCCTTATAAAATTCTCATGACGCCCATGATGCATACATTTTTATTTTTGAATGTAAAAAGAAACCACCATATTTTCTTTCCCAATTGCTAATTTATGCAATAATGAAAATGAATCCACATCCTTTTGGCTAGAGTGGGTCAGCATCAATTCAGATAAATTCGAGACCTGAGATGACGTTGCAAAAATTTATAAAGGGTAATGTTTACCAAAATGAAATTGAGAAAAAAAGAGACGTTGATCGGAATTTTATTTTTTGTCATGAGTGAAATCAAGAAAGAAACACCTACTTTAAAGTGTATCGTAGTGGGATCAAGCGGTGTTGGCAAGACATCATTGATTGAATATCTTATTAATGGGAAATTTAATGAAAATACCCAGCCTACAATTGCAGTTGATTACAAAACGACAATCCTCGAAATTGATGGCCAAGAAGTTAAAATGAATATATATGATACTGCTGGACAAGAAAAATACAAGGCTCTCTCACGATCTTATTTCCGAAAATCAGATTGCGTTTTACTTGTTTTCGATCTAACAGAAAAACAATCTTATGATGATGCGAACGCATGGTATCTGGAAATACTACAGAACTGCGATTTTGATTCGAAGATTTTATTAGTTGGAAACAAGGCGGATGAAATCAATACTCGAGTCATATCAAACACTACGGCAGAGCTATATGCTAAAAGTAGAAATATCATTTATATTGAAACATCAGCGAAGACAGGAGAAAATGTTAGGGAAGCCTTTTTCAGAATTGCCTGTGAAGCTTACAGATCCAATGAGAAAGAGATACATGATGATGTTCCGTCATTAACATTGCAAAGCATGCTAATGAAGAAATGCTGCTAAAATCAGTTCATTTATTAGGAAATAATTATATTTCATATATTTAACACTGTTGCAGGAAGGAATTTTATATGAAATCCGGAAAATGATTTTAGATTTCTCAAAAAAAAAAGCAGATCAATACTCAATTCCCCTCCATTTTTATTTATAATTTATTACACTATGATGTATAACTTTATATCGGATATGATTACACATCAATTTTTTAATTAAGGTGCTGCATTCAAATTAATTCAATAAAACTTCCCAATTTTCAAAAGGATTCTACGATAAAGGGACCTTAATTATAAAAACAAAGTTTAAATAAACAAATTGTATTTAGTTCTTTAATTTAACAAGTGTAATTTGATTCCTATTTAAAATACCCAGAACTTTCAAGATATCTAATTTGCTTTTTTGATGAATTGTTCTTTATTGATCAGATCTTTTATATTCAAACTTATTTACTACAGTTAGTATATGTCAGCAGCACAATCAATAAATTTTAGTTTGTATAATCGCGGTATCAAATAAATTCCAGATGAAGACAAACAGGCAAAGACACTAGTTCTCCAAGAATATCATTGGACTGGAAAGCCTTGTTTCACTAATGGATGTACACTGCAATATCTTTTTTTGCCGAAATATAGGTTTTAAATAGGTGAGAAAATAAAGAATTGTAGAAAGAAAAATATCCTTTAGTTGTTGCGGCCTAAAGAAACAGACTTTGATTAGTAATGGCACAAAAATAAATCTGGCATTAGATTAGATGATAATTTATTCCTCATCAAAAGAATGATTATTAAAATGCTTTCACTAACTAGTCAAAATATGCTTTAAATGATTTGCTAATTCTAAAGATGAATTAATTTGATTGAATTTTGAGTGAAAATGATTATTATATCTGTTTAATTCCATTTCTATCACACTTCAGTTTTTGAAGGAAGTATAGGCGCTTCATATTATATAACATTTTGGAAAATTTTCAATAATAATGTAAGTTATAATTGTTTCTATTAATTGCTGATATTTTTGTAAGACTTGTTGTTTAAGATATCAAGTTTATTACAATCAATTTCAAATTAAAAATAATATCCAATATTAAATCATTGTATTTTCGGCTTTGATTGAAGTTGTATGTATGTACCATATCATCTGATTCGATAATGATAAATTAATTGCTATCTCATTAAACTAAATGTACTGAATGCATGAAAACTAAAAATCATTTGGATAAAATAAGATTAATCGGTTAATCGATTATTAAAGATTTTAATAATCTATATAGTTAACGCTCATTGGCCAATTTTAAAGATATGACGAAAAAATGAATTAATTTTTAAAGGAATCAACTCTACAGTTGAGTTTTATTTAAATTTAGAAGCAATATAACGTGTAGTTATTTGACATTAATCAAAAATCCTTTAATTTGATCGGGGAGAAAGAGGATAAAAAATTCCTCCATTCAAACCCAATTGACAATTCACTTCAATATTTGAATGCATTCACAAACTCTGTGAGCGTGGTTCGGAAAATTGATTCTTCAAAATATTCGTTTTAAAACTATAGATACTTGATCCGCACTTAATAAACATCACATCATAGTTAAAAAATAAAGTAGATATCAATTCAATTTCCTCAATAGCTTTTTGCCACCTCAATCAAAACAAAACTCTCCAAGAAAAAAAATACAATGAAATCTATTTGTTGAAACTAAACACCTCCAACTAGTGTAGATTGCATTTTACTAAAACGTTTTTATTTTATTCATTGATTTTATGTGCACTAGCCTAATTTTTTATTTTAAGGATTCCAACAATAAAAACATAATATGAAAAATTACCCGTTAAATATCATTCAAAATTGTGGCATTCATAAAGTATTCAATCGTTGTCCTTCATCAATCAAATAATATTGCGATTATTTACAAAATGTGTGTTTACTTAACTAAAGTGAAATAATTCTTTAGGATAAAGTTCAAATTCAAATCGCTTTTCAATTTTTTTCTGTTTTGTGAAAGTTTTTAGTGAAACTACTTTGCGAACATGGATGTAATTCAAGAGCTCAATAGAAAAAATAATTCGTTTGGAAAACCTCATCCTAAGACACAATTTACATCTGTTGAAGATGCAAGGTTAAAAAAGTATGTTCACTTATACGGTGATACTGATTGGAATTTAATATCGAAAATGATGATTACACGTAATCCTAGACAGTGCAGGGAGCGATGGAACAAATTCCTATCTAATTCCATCAATAAAGAGCCATGGACAGAAGAGGAAAACACTTTATTGATTAAGAAATATAAAGAACTTGGTCCAAAATGGATGAAAATTTCACGCTACTTTAATGCTAGGACTGATGTGTATCTGAAGAATAGGTGGAATATTATCATGAGAAAAGAGAAATTAAAACAAAAACAAGAATTATTAGAGAAAGCACTTCAGGAAAAAAGAGAAAAAGAATTTTTCCAAGTACTGGATGAGAAATTCGAGTGTACGGATTTTTGTGAATTATTTGATCCGAATACAAATGCTGTGGACCAAGAGCAGCTAAGTAATGCTTTTCGAATGTGATGCAAATGTTTTTATACTGTTGACTAATTTGAATAATTTGATAGACATTCAAATTATTTTAGATATTTTTCATTTTACAATATCTGTTCATTATTAGAATTCTCCAATACAGACTTATGGATTTTTAAACAATTACATACTAGAATGTTTAAACAATATCAAAATTCAAAAAATAAAAAATTATTAAAATTGAACCTTTCCTTTTTATGTTGGTAATGCTTTGGAATGAAAAAAGCAAAGCTCCTTATTGATTTTAAAAAAATGAAAAAATTAATTTATATTTTTTAAAATAAATTGTTTATATTTGAATCTCTGCATGCAAACTTTGCTTGCATTCATTCGGATTAAATAATTACTTGAGTTAAAACGTCACGAACAATTTCTTCTGTGACCTCATTATTCCAACCAAATGGTTTATTGCCCATTGATTCCATGACCAACTTTGTAGTCTTTTCGACATCATTTTCACCAACTTTTTGGTGTGTGTATTCAGAAACTTTGAGAACATGTCCAATTTCCAAAATCCATTTTTCAAGATTATCAATGAAGGCATCGATTTTTTCTTCATCAGTTCCATTATAGATGTCAAAAACTCTTTCAGCACATCTTGCCATTAAATAACCTCTTGTCTTCTTGAAATGTCTTAAAAAGGATGGTGAAACCATAGCTAAAGAAGCGCCATGATCAATTCCGTACATAACTGTTAATTGATGTCCTATCATATGTATACCAGCGCATGTTTGCTTTCCAAGAGATAAAATCTGATTTAATGCGAAAGAAGCAGCACAGATTAAGCGACCATGTATTTCAATACTTGCTGGTTTCTTAAATATTTCTTTACTGATATCAACTAATTCTCTCATTACTGACATGTAAAGATTATCATTCAATGGAATTGTTTGACCTGTCAAAAACAGATCAATGCAATGTGTCATTGCATCATAAATGCCACTGCGTAATTGTCTGTCTGGTAGTGTTAATGTATAACGTGGATCTAATAAAGAAAACTTTGGATATACTAATGGATGTGAAAATCCAACCTTCTTCTCAATGCTGCGGCGAGAAATAACCAAGCCATTGTTCCATTCTGAACCTGTAGCTGGTAATGTTAAAACTGTTCCTAATGGAATTGCTTTTGTTGGTGTGATTTTTCTCATCAATAAATCCCATGGTTCGACGTTTTCATCTAAGAGAGCAGCCATAGCAATAAATTTTGTAGCATCAATAACGGAGCCTCCTCCAACAGCTAATAAATAATCTGGCTTGTATTCTCGAACTTGTTTGATGATTTCTAAGCAAGTATCATATTCTGGATTTGGTTGTATTCCACCCGACCAAATGTATTGGCATCCATTGTCTGTAAGTGCTTTGTTAACATCTTCGCGAGCTCCATTTTTATCAATTGATCCACCGCCAAAAGTGCAAAGAACTTTTGATCCAGATGGAAGGAATTTCTTGAGATGCTCTACTACAGCTACTTCACCAAATCCAACCTGTGTTGTGTTGCTCTAAAACCAATACATTATTGGAAAGTGAAGTGAAATGCATCAATTTTGAATTCTTTCAAAAAAACAAAACCCTTTCGTTCTAAATTTAAATTATACTCAAACTAATATAATCGAAATTAATATCGATAAGATTTATTGAAAAAATTCTGAAAACTTCTCCATCAACATTTTTAAAAAAAATATGTGTATATAAGATTTCAAATAATTTCATGCTATTTGACGATTGTCCGGCCAATTGTGTCAAAAAAATTTTTTAGAGAGAAATCAAGATATTGAATGCATGCTATTGTTTCACGCATTCATGATCTTATTACAAACTTGATGAATGCGTACAATTTAGTTTGTTTCGGGATCATATATGCTTTCCTTTTTACAGCAAAATTTTATATCCCATTTTTTTGTTGTAAATATCAATGATTGGGTGACTCATGAAAGGTCAGCTCTTCATTATGCAGCAGAAACATAAAGGAATAAAAAAAAATTATTAATTTCAAAAGATGCGAATTTCAATGATAAAGGTGAATTTGAACAACCATCTCTTTATATTGCAGTACAAAAAATAGCATAGAAACACTTGTTTCACCGATCTCCTTCTTTCATTTGGTCATCGGTTCTTATTGTTGTTATTCTAAGAAATTCATATTAGAAAGAGTTCCGGAAGATTTTTCGAAACGTAATCTTAGACTTTATAGTTAGAAAAGAAGATATTTATAAAAATTTCAAACAATATCATTAATTTTTACTCCCATAGCGAATATCTATTTATACACTATTTTCATTTTTAAAAACCATTCATTTCAGCTTCATTTTATCCAATATATGGTTTGAACTATCTTATTTTCAAATTAACACTTTTCCGACGTTTTGACAGGAGTGAGAAGCGACCCAAAAATGTCCGAAAACTGTAATTCTCTAGTATGTGATTATTTTTGCTTTTAATACCGAACAGCATTTGAATCAAAAAAATAATCGTATGCTATAGAATTTCGGTTTATGATTTTAATCATTTTTACATGACAACAGTTGAAATAGATGGATTCAAATATGTAGTCCATTATCCTGGCGGAAAATGCTATTCTAATGGTAAATATAACAGTACTGCTGATGGTTTTGCTTGCTTCGAAGCGATTGTCGAACAAAATCCTGCGTTAGTTGATGAAATGATCCGGGATGTGTTATCATTAACCCCAGAAACTACAAATATTAAATCAGTCAATGGAACTATTTTTGATAGTAAATTTTGGAACACATTTATCTTTTTAGCTCAAATCTATGATCCCCAATTTCAAAGTTTTTTCTATGCTTCACTTATGACTCTCATATTAAAAAGAGTTCCAAAAGATTTTCCGAAACGTAATCTCAGACTTTATAATTGGATAAGAAGATATTTATAAAATTTTCAAATAATATCATTAATTTTTACTCCCATGGCGAGCATCTATATAAATATTTCCTAGAATGGTTTTTTATTTGAAGCTCATATTTTTGAAAAACTATTCAAAAACTAAATGCTCTCTTTCATTGAATTGAATTCAATCAACGATAGAAATTTATATACTATGAATAATAAAAAAATATCATATTCAATGTCCTATTCTGTACATAAGCTCTGATATAAAAAAATTTAGACATTTACAAATTCATTAAAAAATGGGACCAAAAAATTTTTAATTGATGTGTATTTTCATTTTATAAAACAAGTCACTTCAGTTTCATTGTATTCAAAAGTATATCATAGAAAATTTCACATTATATTATATAATTTGAAATATCTTATGATTTGTTATAAGTATTATTAATTCAATGCTAAATAATCGTAGTTTATAAAATTGATTCAAAATTTCGGTTTTTGATTTTAATCATTTTTAAATGACAACTTTTGTATTAGATGGATTCAAATATGTAGTTCACTATCCTGGCGGAAAATGCTATTCTAATGGTAAATATAACAGTACTGCTGATGGTTTTGCTTGCTTCGAAGCGATTGTCGAACAAAATCCTGCGTTAGTTGATGAAATGATCCGGGATGTGTTATCATTAACCCCAGAAACTACAAATATTAAATCAGTCAATGGAACTATTTTTGATAGTAAATTTTGGAACACATTTATCTTTTTAGCTCAAATCTATGATCCCCAATTTCAAAGTTTTTTCTATGCTTCACTTATGACTCTCATATTAAAAAGAGTTCCAAAAGATTTTCCGAAACGTAATCTCAGACTTTATAATTGGATAAGAAGATACTTATAAAAATTTCACTAATATTTATTTTTTTTAATCATTTTAACATTTAAATTTGATTTTGTGAGGCTTGTCAAAAATGATAAGTGTACCCTTAAACTATTTTTGATCAAAACATTTAAATTGAACTAATTTTTTTCGAAGAAATACCTATACTTTTCGAGCAATATTATTTGTATATAATGTATTACTATGACTCATGCATGTTTGCTTTACATCCCGAACGTAAAAATTTTCCAATGACATTTGAAAGTTACCTACCTGAAATATTAAAGAGAGCAGCTATCAGAAGAAATCATGAATATTTTTACAAAACTTTATGGAAATCGAATCAGTTTCAATTCGGAGCTGCAAAGAAGGTAATTTTTTTTTTGCTTCAACACGAGGGCAACACGGATGTATACTTCACAATTTCAGAGATCATATGTTAACTAAATACATTCCATCGCGCAGGAATGTTTTACCAGACAATGAGTTGGAAAAAAATAAGTAAGAAAATTTGTTAATAAAGTTCAACCAGAAGAATTCTTAATCTTAGACCCAGAAACAAATAAACTTGCTCAATACAACTCTCGAACATTCAACCGATTTAGAAACTCACATGTGAGAAATAATTTGAATCCATTAGTTTTAATGACTCATTCTATTGGAAAGGGACCGTATCAACCTTTTCATTTTGATGAAGACTATGAATGGTATCAAAACCTTTTAAACTGCGTTGAATACTCTAGCCCTTTAAAGGGTGCACCCGTATGTACGTTTATTTGAGAGGAGGAGGATTACCCTCTCAATTTTGAACGCTTCGTTTAAACATTTGTAAATTGACTAATGATTAGAAATATATTATAATTCTTTTATTAAGGGGAGGGGAAAAATTAATATTCTTACAATAAAAAACTGAAAGCTTTACAAAAAAAAAATATCATGAAATAATAAATTAAAAGTTCTCTAAGATCCTTCTTCTGAGATTTTCAAGTCGATCGATAGGCAACTCATAGAATTCGTCTCGAGACTGGCATCCTGTGAAATACTTAAGCCTTTCATCGTCAACAAACCATTCGACACATGAAATGGCGCCATAAACAATGCACATGTCTTTGGCTGTGCAGTCATTAGGAATAACATCGAACTTCCTGATGCCTTCAGCTTCGTTCATGCCGCGCTTTGCAATACCAGCGATTCGAGCTCGTGCTTCGCTGCAAAGTTTCTCAGAGAAGTTCTTATCGTAGATTGGCATCAAAGGAACATTTTCGACAAGTCCTTCAAGAGATTTCCTGACGTCTTCAGCGTATGTGTATCTTCCTATTGCGTGGTGTACGAATGCTGCGAAGATAGGGTTCTTCACTTGATCTTTGTACTTAGAAATCTCTGCTTTGCTTTGGTTCGCCTGCAATGGAGACATCAAACCTAGAACTGCGTTGCAAATAGGTTCAAAACCTTTAGGAAGCTCCATGCCTTGTGATAATTCTTCGTCGTCTTCGTCTGACCTGCTGACGAACTTGTCGACATCGATGGGAACTGCTGTCGAATGGCCTCCAAACTTTGTAAGCTCCCAGCCGTTTTCAGACAGGAAGTCGTAGAAATACTCTGATTCTGCGATGATTGTGAAGCAGTTGATCAATGTTCCTCTGATTACTAATGAACTTGAGTTAGTCGCCGTCTCAAGTAACTTTCCTGGAATGTTGTACTTCTTCACGTATTCAAGAGATAAAAGGGATGATGCGAAATGTGCCAATGCAAACATTGCACCGCGAATATCATCGATGTTGACACTGTTATCGAGAATTTGGATCAAATATGGAACTTGTTCAGCAAGAATCTCAACACCCTTCTCATACTTTGACATCATTCCGAACAAATGAGGAGGAAGAACAATAGTCTTTTCGTCTAATGGTGTCAATCCTGGATAAGCATCAACGGCAGGTTTCGGTTTCTTGAGGAATGACTGTTCAACAGCTTTGTCGAATGCGAGGAAGTAATCATTGTTTCCGTCTTCCATCCACCAATCGACAACATCGCTGACTGTGCAGTTGCTCAGAGCTGTTGGAGTGGAGAAGATGTAAGAGTATCCAATGGGACCGTACTTGCAAAGGATGCTGTGAACTTCTTTGTCGTTTGCACAGTATTCTGTAGCTTTAGGATCGTCTTGAACAACTTCATATAAAAGTTGCAAGATTGGGGAAATTCGTTGATTGATCTGGTCTTGTTTGAATGTTGAAACAAGTTGTTTAAAGTATGGAATGATCAAGTTAACGAATGCTGTTTCGAAATAGTTCTTCACGAAACGTTTCTCTCGAAGAGATTGAATCGCAATGTGGGAGATTTCGACTTTTGGAGATAACATGAATTTCATGTAGACGGGAGATGCGAAATCGAACTCTGGATAAAGTTGAAGCATAGACATCGCAAATGTAGCGGAAGGAATGTTTGTGATTGCCGAGGAAAGAGTAATAAGGGCCGGTTGGATGTCCCACTTCTGAAGGATTCCAATTCCTTGTGACATAGTCATCATCATGCAGACAGTTCGGAAATGAGACCATGCGGGACTGTCATTACGTGGGGAATCGTGTTTCCTAAGCGAATGAACTGAAAGTGTAAGCGCGTTCTTGAAATTAACACAATTTTCAAGCATCTTCAAACCAGTGTCGTTGGAAAGAAGGAGTTTAACAAGAGCAACTAAGGAATCAGCAACATCGTGCGTGCGAGTAGGTTCGATCGTCATAAATGGGCCACTGAAATAATTTAATAAATCTTTGTAGAAAACGGTCTGTGGAGCTCCGTATGCTTCTTTAGGATTGTTTGGAAGAACAATAGTAAGGTAGTTGTAGATGTAGTTCCAGTCCCAGCCGGTATTATCTTGAGGTAATTCGGGACAATTGATTAAGATTCGGTTGTTTTGGACTGGTTTCATAGTAGCTCGTAATATTTCGGCATTGTTCGAGGATGAAATGAAGATTTCCTTGTTTTCTGTATAAGGAGCATCAAATGACTCGTAAGGTTCAAGTAAACGGATTGCAGGATCGTTTGTAGGAAGCTTCTGCTTGAGAATATCGTATAGGCCGCTTGAACGGAGCTGATAAAGTAAAAATCCGATATATCCTGTCAAAACGGTTGGTTTCTTGTGCCAAGCTTCGAGAGTATTTGCAAGAATGGTTGAAATAGATTTTGTATCATGCTCAATACAGATTGCAATGTCCTCAAAAGTTTTTGATGGAATAATGAAGCCTAAAAGGCCCGGCCACGATTGTAAAATGTATGTTAATGCTTTTACCGATGATGCTATTGTTTCTGGTTTAACTTCTTCGACAGAAATGATAGGTGAGATGATTCTTGATAAAGTGTGCTTCGGAATGAATGGCGAATAAATATTTTCCAGGCAATAGCAGATGAGATTGACTAGATTAACATCAGCTGTCTCAACTAATTTATCGACAATGATGTTGATTATTTCTGTTTTACATGAAATATCTGGATTTACTGTAATTGCTTCACAGAGATAGGCAAATATTAACGGAGAATAAGTATTATTCGGAATGCTGTAGGCATTAACTAATGCTCTACCGATGGTATCTGATAATGTTTGCCTTCCTTTTAATTGCAGTAAAACATGCCTGAATACAGCAATTCTCTCTTCATCAACTTTAGGTGCAGGATCTGGAAGTGGGTTTCGTAAACTGATTGCTGCTAAAGAATCAATGTTGAATTTCTCGAAAATTGATTCATTAGCGAATATTTCGAGTGATAATAAAATTCTTAGAATGGCAGCACGATTGGCAAATGATGATTGCATATACAGGCATTGAAGATATGACACAGATAAGAATAATTGAGTGTCATCAAGTACTACTTCTTCAGCATCACACTCTAGGGCATGAAAGAAATGTAACAGAGTGTCTTGTTGTGGATGAGTTCGAATTAATTCCCTCAAACAAACGGTAAAGAATTCACCATCCATTTGATTTCTTTATCAAGTTTAGAATTTTTGAAATAAATTTGTCACTTTACAATTCTGGAATGTTGCGTTTATGATAGAAAGCATTTTTATTTGAAAAATACAGCACTCATACAAAAATCTGACAAATCAAGTTCTGGAATGGAAAAACAATAGCTTTGAACTCAACTTGATAAAAAATATATCTATGAATATGGCTGTATCCTACATGATAATACCAGCAGCAGATATTAACATCATTCTACAAATTTTCATATTGGCTAGATTTTTATGGGAGTTTCACTCGTTGTTAATAGCTACTTAGTGACTCAGTGATGCTAGTAACTACTCAGTGAGTATTTTAGATGTTTTTTTTTGATATTGATTCTTCGAATCTATAAAGGAGATATTTACAATGCCATTATATTTCTTGCTTCTATATTTACAATGTGTACTATTTTCATTTATAAAAAAATATAAAATACTCGGATGAATCTTTGAGATCATGGAATCAAATAAAAGTGACAAAAGTGTACGTTAAGTACTCAAAATTTAAAGTATGGAAGAGAGAGTTACGGAAATTCTAAAGCAGGCTGGAATCAATGCACCACCAGAAATTATCAAAGAATTTTGTCAAAGTCTTGAAGAATCACAAGATATTAATGTTAAAAAAGAAAATAAGAAATTAAAATCAACAAAAAAGGCAAAAGGGAAAAAGAAATCAACTAAATTAGGGCCATCATCTTCTTTACCAAATGAAATGGAAATGTGGGAAGAAAAGATGGCAATTTGGGAAAAGAAAGTTGAAGCATTAGACAGGCAATTGCAAGAATGTTCAGATATACATAGTTCCTATTCTTCCAGCTTTATTGGAAATCAATATCAAGAGAAAAACGATCCGTTGTCAGCATATCCAGTTCTAAAAGAAGGTCCTCATGGATTCATTCATCCACCTAATTGCATGAAGCCAATTAGGAAGCGATTTCCTATATATCAAAGCGAAAAATTCTCACTTGCACCTAACTTTGTATCAGAATTGAGAGAACGCGAAAGGAGAGAGCATCCCTATATTCCAGGCAATGAAAATAGGCAAGATGCTCTTAGGTGGAGAATTAAGGAACGACTTATTTATAGCCATCCTGATTACTATCTCAGAGAGCAAAGGAAATAATCAAATTCATATTTATTGTTGTTTTTATTGAATTGTAAACTTATTATTTGATGTATTCAATGAGAAAGTATCGACTTAATGGTTACCCATTCTTCATTTAACAGTAATTATGTTCAATATTTTATTATTTTTCATTTTATTTGTGAATTATCAATTCTAATGCTAATCATCGAATTTTCTATCAAAGTTTTGTGTCATATTTTGAATGTTAGCTCTTAATCACTGTCATTATTTCTCACAGAGTGGATAATAAATTTTTTGCGCGTTTACTAAAAAAATATTTTAAAAACAGATATGGCGCGAACATCATTAGTTGATGATGCTGCGCTTGGCGAAGAGGACGACTTCGGTGATGGTTCTTTTCAATTAGATATATCGGGAATATCTGGTTTTGGAACAGATTTAGATGCAACTAATGATATGCTTTCACTACAAAACAGTCAAACACTCAGTCCATTAAATCCAAGTCGTTCGAATTCAAAATTAAGTAATAAATCAGGTTTAGGGTCAGTTGGGACGATAAATCAACTGGAGCGAAAACAAAATCGGGCTTCGAAGGCAATTCCTCTCGAAAATATAATGGAGCAAGAAGATGATGATTTACCAGATTTCAATTCAGCAGATGAATTAATGGCAAAGCCTCTTCCTACTATTGACGAAAAACCACTAGCAAAAACCACTCCAAATCCAGTACCGGTCGATAACAACGCAAATCTGAATACAAGAACAAAACCAACGGGATTTGATCCAATTCCAATGCCAAACCAGCCAAAAGCTGAACCACCTAAACCATCAGTATCCAATTTTGATCCTGTTCCTATGCCAAGTACACAACAACAGCCTCAAAATGAAGCAATTCCAACACCTGATATTCCTTCTACTACTGGTACAAGAAGGTTATTAACTGGTGGACTACTTTCAAGAAAGAATTTACTTCAAAATACTCCATCAACAGAAACTAAACCAGAGCCAAAGAATGATGATCTTTTTGGAGATATTCCTTTCCCTGCGCTGCCATCTGATAAGCCTAAACAGCAAGTACCTGAACAACCACAACCTGTTCAAATTAATCAACAACAAAATCAACCAGTTAATATAAGCCAAACACCCGCTCAAATGCAGCCAGTCATGCAACAAAATCCACAAATGGCAACTACTATTCCAAATAATCAAATGCCTCAGCAGCAAATCCCAATTCAAGCAAATCAAAATCAAATTCAAACACAACCTATTCCTATGCAGCAAAATCAACCACAGATGACTATGGTATCCCCAATGCAAACGATGCCTATGCAGAATAACCAAACTCAAGTTCCAATGCAGATGCCAATGCAACCACAGCAGCAACAACCATCTCCAACTATGCCACAGCAAATGGGCATGATGCAAGGTGTTCCTATGCAGCAAACACCGCAGCAAATGCCAATGCAAGCAACTTCACCACTAACAATCCAAATTCCTCAACAAAATAACCAATTTTCGCCAAATGGAACTCCTTATGGACAGCCATACTATTCTCAGCCACAGTCCCAAGGTCAATACTATTTTAACAACACTCCAAGTCCACCTCCTTACTCAGTCTATCCATATTCTGTCCAATTTCCACTTGAACTTGGTTTTTCAAGTTCATTAGATCGATCCATTGCTAATTTCAAGCGTATTTTTAGCAGCGAATTTTCATCAATAATAAGATCTCAAAATTTACAGCAGCAACAGAATGGTTTTGACTTCGATGACTTTACTGATAAACTTGCTAATGAAATTTCTCAAATAATCGAAGCTCCAATCCAACCTACAGATATCGATGTCCAAAACATCACCAGAAAGGTCTCAACAGCCATTGATGAAAATACTAAGCATGTAACTAATATTCTTTCCGAGGCAGAAGTCAGAAATTCCCAATCTGCAGATCATCATATTCAGGAACTCAAGCAATTACAAGAAGAGCTTGATCATTTGAGAACATCTTTCAAGCAAAGTAGTGATACCATCATCAGAGAACTTGAACGCGAAAGACAAAATTCGGCCGCAATTAGAGAAGCAGAAAACAACAGATCCAGAGAACTTGAACAAAGGCTCAGGAATCTTAAACTGAGGCAGATCGAGTTAGATACAAGATTCAAGAACCAAGCATTAGAAAAAGACTCATTTGATAGGACACAAAAATCATTTGAACAGAAAAGAAGGGATTGGGAAGAAGAAACACTACCAAAACTATATGATGACAATAGCTCTGTTAGAAGAAGAATCATTGATGAGTTAAGTGCATTTAGAACAGAAGTTTCTACTGAATCATTCGATGAATTATCCATGGTAATAAATGAAGGATTGAAAGTCATCAAAGATGAAGGAGAAAATCTCAGAAATGAACTTATGGAACTTGAAATGGCTAATAGATGGGTGATGTCAAGACAAGCACCTCCTCCCCAACCTCAAAAGCGAAGTCCGAAGAGATTGAAGAAATCGTCTGTTTTAGATCAAACACAGGAGAAACTAAGTAAGATTAGAAGACAGAGAGTTGAATCAATGAAGGATCTTTCAGATCAACTTTAACATAATTTTGTATTATCTTTTTTTTGTTATTTATATATATTGTTGTATTTTTCGATTAAATTTTAAAATATATTTATTATTGCACTATATGTTGTACAGCATTTTAAGTACAAAAGATTGATTGGATTTCTCATCAATCATGCTACTGCATTTATAAATAAGCCAGAAATAGTATCAAACAACTATTAATTTGTCATTTACATTTCAAAAAATGAATAATTTATTTTGAATTTAAGTGCTTGACAATTTGCATTAACGATCCAAACAAAACGATATGTGATCTTTTTTATGTATGTATTTTAATAGAATTTGTTCAAATGGTCTAAACTCTTTCCATTTCATATTAGGATCATAATAATTCAGTTTGCAGAGAACTAAAAAAGAATGATCATATGGTAAATGTGAATAAGATTTGGTGTGTGCGTGTGTGTGGGAGGGTGGGTGGGTGTAATAAGTTGATGAAAGACCTCTATGTTAATTAAAATTGTCGTTTATAATAAAGTTTTATTATTCAATTAAACTTGATACATGATATGTTAGAATGTTAGAGAACAACAAATACAGATATGAAAGTCTTAAAGAATTGGAGACAATTGGTTGATTGAAGAGCAATGATTTAATTTGATTAAATTATTCACTAAGTCAAATTTTATTTTGAAATTTTTTGTTCAAAGCATAACTGTAGGATTCTTTTGAACTAGTTTAGAAAAAAAAATAGAAGCAAAAATCTGTCACTTTTTTCAAAAAAATGGAAAGTTTTCTTGATGATCCAAATTATCCAAAGCTTAAAGAGATGTGGGAACGATGCCAAAGTTCCCCTGAAAGAACTGAAAAGCTGAATAGCCTTTTAAAAGAAATGCAGAAAGCTGCAAATTCTCAATATGAAATTTTTAGTCTTATGGGCAATAAAGAAGGAATTGTTCAGTTTGTATACAACAATCAAGTCATTCCAATCTTCTATCCTCCTGTAATACCAAATCAATATCCAGTTTTTGAAGGACAAAATCAACAAATTCCAAATAATCAAGAGCAAATATCTCCAAATCAATTAGTTTCAGAAGCAAGTTATTCATATTATGATAGTTATACAGCTGATTACAATGAGTTTGAAAATGATTACAATGAATACGACGAAGACGATCAGTATTATTATAGTTATTCAACCGTGCAAAGCAGCAGTATGGCTGAATATCCACGTGACGATTACTATTCTTCTGAATTCACACGTCAGGAGGATGATATCGATCTTAATCCACCTCAGGTAAGGATTCAAGCTCCATTGGAAGAGAACTCAGAGAATGTTGAACCATTATCTTCTGGTCTTGCTGAAGAAGAAGCTAATGAACCTGTTGCAACAAGAGAAATACAGGAAGAAGTTATAGAACAAGCTGAAACCAAGGAATTACCTGAAGATGATGATTTCGAGAAAGCCACAGCAATACCATTACCAGAAGAACCACAAGAATCCGTTGTTGAAAGAGAATTACATGAAGATGTTGTTGAATCAGCCTCTTCTCAGCCTATTCAACAAGAAGAAGTCAAACAAGAAGAGAAAGAAGCAGTAGAGCCACTTAATGGCCTGAAATTCGATGAAAATTCCAGAACAATTATCAAAGAAGGCGTTGGAAAAATAAGATTCATCTTCCCATTAGATAGCAGTAGATTTAAGCTCAAATCCAACATGATTTTAGACAAAAAAGCAGATATCTCGATGCTTAAAGATTTTGCAACGTTTTGTCCAACAGAAGTTACATTCGAAAACTTCGATGTCAATGGAAAGAACAATTACGATGAAATCTTACAAATCTTCTGCAGAAAAACAGGAGTTAAACTCGTATCTTACGATGAGCAAGATAAGAGACTCACATTCCGCGTGAACAAGTTGAATCAATATCCAATTACAGTACCTCAATTATAAATTATAGAATTTTGTTATTACTATAAAAAAATTACTTTTTTTTTACATTCGGCTGGAATTTTAACTGAAACGAATTCATACAACTGTTAGACTTTTTGATCGAATTCGTACAATTGTTAGCTTACAAAAATGAAAGTTATTTACTCCTTGGGGCTTCTTCGTGAGATTTTTTTTTAATTTTGAAACAGTAAAAAGATAGAGTATGAATAATGTATGCTATTTTTATGTCTATTCATAAAAATATCAATTCTATCATAGCGAAAATGCATCTATGAGTGATATATATTGAATAGTTGTAAACTATTTAATATTTTCCAGTAATTTCTCAAATGAATATATCGCTATATAAATAAAGCATTAAATTTATATTTTTGTTCAGATTTTTTGTAAAATTCCGACTTTCTAAAAAAAAGTAAATAGGACATGGATCTGAATTTCGAATACATTGCTGCTCATATCAGCGATTATATTAATAATGAAAATTTCTTCGATACATTTGAGGTCGAAAATATCAAAACAATCATGAAATATTCACGTTTGACAGCAGATCAATACGTTACTCTTCTGAAACACTCTCAATCAGCTATCAATGCCAAAGAATTATATACCTGTACACGAAAAGCAAATATTACTATCAAAAACTTCCAAGAAGTTGTTTCAGTTCTGAAATCTGTCAAAAAATACATGAAATTCAGTATATTTGATGGTATTATTGATTTTTTAAAACATAATGAGAAAGAAACAAGCTATTCTACTAATAAAACAGAAGCATTTCAAGATAAATCCAAAGTATTCCAAATGAAACTGAAAATGTAAGTAAAAATGCGACCAAAGAAAGAAATATCAAAGTAACTAATGAAAATTACAATCATTCACAAGATATTTTAACTAAAATCACAGAACTTAAAGAATCTAATGATTTTAAAACGGTTTACAAATTCCTTGATGAACTTTCTTCGACAGGAAACCATGACATGATTTCAAAATCAGTCGAAGAAGGACTTTGGAAAAAGATTGCTCCTAAAAAAGATAAATATGATGATCATGGGAGGAATGTTCTTCATTTTGCAAGTCTAGAGGGAAATCTCAGACTCGTTCAATCACTCATCAAATGTGGTTGTGACAAAGAAGAAAAGGATAGTAATGGATATACACCACTCATTATTGCATCAGAAAGTGGTCAACTTGGTGTCGTTCAATATCTTATCTCAGTTGGAGCTAATAAAGAAGCAAAGAATAATCTTGGATATATTCCACTCATTAAGGCATCAGGACGAGGTCAACTTGACGTTGTTAAGTATCTTATCTCAGTTGGAGCTAATAAAGAAGCAAAAACAAAAGATGGAGATACTCCACTCATTATTGCATCACAAAATGGTCATCTTGACGTTGTTAAAAATCTTATCTCAGTTGGAGCTAATAAAAAAGCAAAAAATAATGATGGAGAAACTGCAATGATGGTTGCAAGAAGTAATGTAAGAGATTACTTAAAAACTATTTGTGCCAAATAACTCAATCATATACTTATTTAAAAATTCATTTTATCAACTTTTCAAAATATTTTAATTTTCAATACACTTAAAATGTATTGTCATTTAATTTCCATCTTAGAATGATACTTTGTATTGAACACTTGATTCAAATAGAATACCAGAATGCGGCAAGTGCAACCATTAAAAAAAGTTATTTTTTACAACATAAAAAAATCTGTTTGAGAGAGTTTAAAGTAATTAACAAATATATTTGAAATAATCGCCTTGTTTTTGGTAAGACAATGCATTTTTATGCTTGAATATCTCATATTTTTTTCTCAAAAGTATATATTTGTATGGTGCACGCGTGCTTCCAAAAAAAATGTATTTTTTTGTGTGTCACTTTTTATATGCTTTCTAAATCCACACCTTCAAGTAATTTGAGTGGTGCAAGCACTAGCACTGGCACCGGAGGAGCTAAAACAGGATTGCTTGGAAGTGGTGGTGGTCTTTTTGGCAAAAAAAATCAACCAGCAAAACCACAAAATCCTATTATTAATAGGATTAATGCATTAAAGCAAGCATATGATACTAGCTCTTCTCAATGTAAATTTATTGCAATTGTTTATGATGCTGCAGGTCCATCAAACAAAAATAGTAAAGTTAATTTAGAACCAGACATTAAACAAATAGCAGATGCATGCAATCCCGATCCAAAACTGTATGTTACATCTATAATTGTTGGATATGAAGGAATTACTTCTCGTGTCAATGTACAGAAAGAAATGATCTCCAAAATGCAAGAAAAGCTTCAAAGTATGAAGAACAAGATCCAAGAATTAAATGATGATTTCAAATCTTTACTTTCAAACAGAATTCAATCAATTACAGAAAAGAATAACGAAATTCAGCAAATGCTCATGTCTGTTTTAGAAAACACAGAAGTTAAGGCTCTTTCCGGCTTCCAACTATCTAGAGAAGAGCAAGAATTATTAGATGAACTTCAAAAGATGCAAGAAGAGGTCAACAAACCAAACCAATACATTGCCGCACTCAATACATTATCTCTGAAAGCTAAGCTCGTTCGGGATTCCTTAATTGTCCCGCCATCCTACAATTTGGATGCATCAACAATTCAAAAAGCAGAAACCGTTCTGAAAGCGAATAACACTGGATTAGAATCAATTAGCAAATACATAAAAACCGTTGATCGACAACTCAAATTTATGGAAGCTGCAATGGCCGAACGCGATGGAACAGCTCCAGCAGTTGTAGAGTCTGAAGAAGAATAATATTTTTGTAAATTTGGTATAATAAACTATAGAGGAATTATTTTTTTTAATTTATTTTTCTTTTTTTCTCTAAATGCTAATGACGATAATTCTGATGCTAGCTACAAGTATCATTCAGCTAGTTTAGAGCTTTGAAACTCTGAATATTTTTATAATCTCAAATTATATTGGAATTCATACTATTAATAGAGCAATATGAACTAAAATATGCAAAGATTCGTATGTTTTATTCACAGTATTCTGAATTAATTTGATTTTCAAAAATTTCAATAAAAAATAATAACATTATTTATATAAATTTCTTTATATAAATCCTTGTGTTAGAGATCTTTAACAATGAAAATGATCTGATTATCTAATAATATTAATATTAATTTTTGATGAAAAAAATTAATAATAAAGTAAGTTTAAATCAAATATAAATTCTTTATTATAGTAACACTGTATAAAAAATTATATATATCCGCCATTTTCGGAATTATTTTGAATCATATCAAGATAAGGTTTGTAACTCTGTTCAATTGAGCTCAGAGTTATGACAATCCAGTAATGGCTCTCCTTCTTTTCAGCGGGACCGTATACATATCCAGCCAATTGCTTTGCACATTGTGCGGCCAAATTTGCATCATTTGGATTGGTATACTGCCTCATGATGCACTCATGAGTGACTGTGAGCCTCTCTCTTTGGTCTCTCCATACGTAAAACTGCTTCATAACGGCAGACGGAATTTGGCCGGATCCAATTTTGTGGGAAAGATTGGATTTGAGGAATCCAATGATATCATCAAGTGTAGTACCTTGGTTTAAGGCTTCTCTGAAGCTGTTAGGAGAAATGAAAGCTGATGCAAAACCTGGAAATTCGTAAGTTACGTTTGCGAACTTTTTAAGAAGAGCTGTATGTAATGGACTCTTTGGAAATGCTGTAATCTTGAAGTTTGTATCGATAAGCATCCATCCTTCCGTTTGAAAAATGTTGGATTTGCCAAAGAAGTTTAGAATTGATTTTGTTGGATAGAAGTAATCTCCATCGATGTAAACAAGCCCGATAGTCTTGAATGGACTCAGAAGTTCTTTCTGAGTTGGCGTCAAACTCGTAATTGGATATCCTTTCGATAATTCCATGGAACCTATTTTTAGAAGGAATCTGAGTGAGCTGTGCAAATCCTTGGTGAATTTGAGATAGCATTTAACAATTCTCCAAATTTGCTCCTTTGGAGACAAAAGTAAAAATCTGTGACCTTTTGGACAAAGATTTCCTCCAAATTCCATGAGCTTGGCATCTGATAAGATCTTCTTTGCTTCATTATCGATGTTGTCGCGTAATTTCAACATAAAACTTAAAATAGATTCTAATTGATAGTTTGAGAAGTCATCAAGGATTTTTTCATCGATTGTTGGGAACTTTGATTGGTCTAGTTCATCAAATGGAACGAAATTTTCATCTGGTTGGTCATCTGGAGCAAATGGATTTTTCTGGCGTACAAATGCTTTTTTATCTTCAACATATGTACCAAGTAAAACTTCACGAACTCTTTTGTTAATAATAATCGAGCTGTTATAGCTGTTTTCTGAGATAGTGTCTGTTACAATGTAAACTAAATGTGCTTTAATTAATTTTTTAATTGCATTTATTAAGTCGTTTGATTTTGACTTGGGTGACCATTTTTCTACTTCAGATCGTGGAAATCCGCGCTCAATATAAAGAAGTCTAAAAAGAATTTGTTGAGATAATGGAGGAAGCAATCTAATATACGTTCTGCATGCATCCTGGTCAGAAATGAGATTGATTACAAAATCTTCTGGCTGCTTGCGAATATATTTAAATAGTTCTTCCATCTAAAAAAAAAATATTGTCACTTTTTATTTTGCTTTAGTCAGAAAAAAAAAAGAATGATGTTGCACAATATGTAGTAGTTTCGAACATAGACATCGCATACTTTTTGAGATTGCTTGAAAAAGTTATGGTGAAGGCACTCACCTCTTTCTGATATTCTCTCAACTCTTTTGACACATAAGCTTTTTATCCCATTCTTCTAAGGTCATTATAAATCATTATATAGTACCTAATACGGCTGTTATACTTTTCTGCTATTAAAACAAAGATATTTTGATTTTTCGAAAGCATCTCAAAAAGTGGTAAGTTCACTATTAATTCAATTTGCCTTCTGATTGGATTGATGAAATAAACTCACCACCTCCAGCCAATGGGAATACAAGATTATGAGGTACATCCTCCTTGACTTTTTCACCAGAACTGGCCATTATTCTGTATATATATGTCATTCATTCAAAAATTTCAATATTGTTTTGACTTTTTGAAGGGTCTCTCTCAATTCACTCATAGGTTATTGCACAGATTACAGGGATCAAAAAGTCGCAATATGAGGTTCGTAAAAAAAACAGACCATATTGTCCAATTGAAAGTTTCTTATCAAATTGAATTTGCGGTTTTAGGCAACCACTTTCCTCAAAATTTTTATTCATGCTGAGCCTTTTCTACGCATTCTGTTTATCGTTGAAAATATCAATCAATGATATCGAATATGAAGGTTCTTCTCTTGATGATATACTAAATAATAATCGAATCGAGAAGAATTCAGTAAAAACTATCCATGTTTTATCTGGTGATTTTGACATGAAAGGATTTACATCGAAAGAATACTTAAATCTTATATCATTTGAACTCGAAAATGGCTGCTATAGCGGTCTAATTTCAAACGATAATTTTGGATACTCTGATTCTCTTAAAATTATCAGAATATACAGTGAAATAACAACAGAAAATAGATTCCTATCAAATTGCACTAACATTGAAGAAATCTGTTTCACTAACTTAAAAAATGAGACTGTTAATACAGACTATGCATCATCAAATATTCAAAATGTTACATTGATTGGTCCAACAACAATTGACAATTATGCATTTAAAAACTGCAGTAAACTTATATCAGTTTCAATTCCAAATGCTATATCGATGGGTTATGACGCTTTTACTTATTGTGAATCTCTCAAGAATGTGAATATGCCTCAAGTTAAAATTATAAAAGGTTCTGGATTTAGTCATTGCATAGTTCTCGAAACAATTAATATTGAAGAAGTAATAACACTTGATTACTTAGTTTTCGAAAAATGCAGTTCACTCAAGAGCATTCATATGCCACATATCTTCCTCCATCTGCGTTTTTTGAATGTTCATCTCTTGAAACAATTAGGTTCGAAAATGTCACAACAATTGATGAAAATGCATTTATATATTGTAAATCTCTCAAAGATGTATATATTCCGCATCTCATAAATATAAGTTACAGCGCGTTTCAAAATTGCTCATCGCTTGAAACAATCGATTTAGAAGAAGTCACAACAATTAGTGATAATGCCTTTGAAAATTGTGTATCTCTTAAATATATAAATATTCCACATCTTATAAACGTTAGTGAATCTACATTCTCTCATTGTGTAAAACTTGAAACCGTAAGCTTACAGGAAACTATGGCCATCGGAACCGAGGGATTTTCCCATTGCGAATCTTTGAAAAGTATTAATATTCCTCATCTCAAATTTATTGATTATGGTGATTTTTATGACTGTTCAGCAATTAAAACAATCGAATTTAAAGAATTAGCTTATCTAGGGAAGTTCGCTTTCAGTGGTTGCGTGTCACTAGAGAATGTTCAACTAAATTCGTTAGAGATTATATCAGGAGATTGTTTCTCTGATTGCATGGGGTTGTCTAACCTTAATCCATCATCTGTAAAAGAAATTAGAGGTGACAATGTGTTTAGAAATTGTATCAATTTAAATACTTTGATATTAACAGGCTTGGAATTTGTTAATTCACATTTTGATAATATATTTTTCTTATGCGATAATCTCGAACATATTTACTTTGGAAATATGCCACCTAATAGATTTAGTTCTGAAATTTCATTTAAAGATGTGGAAATTCATGTTCCATCCTATGACTCATGGAAAAACTATATTCCTCAATCTGAAAAAATATCACAAAACCACTATAAATGGTATGATTACGAATTTTCATACCCTCCTGATCCACCATCTAATACACCCGAGCCAAATTCCAACCCACCTAATCAACATAGCAAGATATTAACTGTGATCATTATTGTTGCAATTATTGTGATTATCATTACAATAATTTCAGTAATTCTGCTTACCAAAAAGAGTAGGAAAGAAGAACTTCTCAGTTCACAGTCACTTTTAACCAAAACTGAATGAATGAGCTTTTTATTGTTTATTCTAGAGTCAAAAAAAGAAAAATGAAATCTTGAGCAAGATTAATGACTACTCGCTTTCATCTTCATTTTTGAATTCAATCTATAAGCCCAAAAAGGCACAATTTTGAATTTGTTGAGTTGAATTTTGAGATATATCTGTATTTGTGAAGTTAAATGAATATTACATTTATATAAGCTATTTATATATATGGTATTCGTTGTCAATCGAAAGATAATAATTGAAATACATAAATTATTCTCAGATAAAATCTATATAATATTAGCAGAATCCACATTCATATCATGCGTAATTCATATTCTGTATTAATTATTCTGTAAATGGCTTAAGTAATATTGTATGACATCAATCTAAAGTAAATATAATACTTATCTGATTTATTTTTGTTTTTTCCATAAGCTTTCAAGATAGATATTGAGATATAGTACTGAATTTAAAAGTGTTTGCAATGGATAATTAACTTCCAAAATAGATAAAATTTAAACTATGTAATAAAAATTTACACAAACACAAATCAAGCAAAAATGATTAAAATATTGATCTTTATAATTTATCCCAAACAATATTTAGATCTAAAAGAATGATTTAAAAATAAACATCTATAAATTTATTGAAAATATAAACAAAATAAATATAAATTATTGACCAGTTAATGAAGCAATTTCTATCAACAATTCCGGAGAACAGAACTTTGATAAATCGACATCCTCTGACATTCCTTTCTTCCTTCTTGTCTTGAGCACGAAATCTCTTCCCAAGTAAGAAAGAGGTGCTGGTCTCAAAGGCATCAAAGAAACAGAGTTGTCGAGAGGATTTGATTCAACAATTCTCCATTCACTGAACCAAGAAAGAACGTAAGCATTTCCATTTGTTCTTGCTCTGATATCCACTTCCATACCAAACATATCAATTAAAGGAACATCAGCTTTAATAATTATATAAGGAGTTCCATCCAAAACTTCATCTTTTCCTTGTATTTTTCCTCTTCTTTTTTCTAAAATTGTCATTGCGATTTCTCTTTCTGCTTCTCCACTTATATATATTTCGCAATGATAGTATGGCTCCATGAGTCTTGGTGTTGCTGCAAGCATCGATGCATAAACAGCCTTTCTAAGCGCTGGGAAGATCTTCACCATTGGAATTCTCGCGTTTTCTTCGCAATTCAATGAACAAAGTTTAAACAAAACTCCGCGAATTGGTTCTTCGCAAAGAGGTCCTTCGCTTGATGACCAAAGGAAACCACTAACTAATAATGGCTTTATCTGGTCAAGAACTTTGGAAGTTCCGAGTGTTTCGTCAACCAAAATATTTGGTCCTCTAATTTTGTCAGGTCCAAAAGAGATGACGTTTTCACTTTGATATTCAGACCATCCATTATTTTGTAGTTTCTTACTTGTGTCGTCAACCAATGCTCCATTTGTTAGATCATACATTACATTAGTTGTTAAAGGTTCCGCTGTAAGTCCGATCGAAGAAGATTCGTCAATTGGTGACTCACAAATTGTGACACTTTTATGATTAACTGTTTCACAAAATGAGACGAAAGGATCGGAAACTTTGACTTCTATTGACGCGAAACAGTTTCTTACATCATTTAAGACACAATCAAGGAACAATTCACCAGGTCCCGATATCGATGGCTCGATTTGCAACCCGAAATAAACTAATCTCGCAACAGTTAAGCTTCTAACCATTTCTTGATGGTCGTTCTGGTTCAAGGCCTCGACAGAGACCTTCATGAGACTCTCTGGTACGTGTATTGGTGTAAGACCAGACTCCATAAGCTCGGTAAGTGTGCAGACCCCTTCTAATTCTGGTGTAATCCCCTCAATTAAAACAATCATTCCCTGAGTTGCTTCTGGACAAGGAGTTGCGTATCTTGTGTGGGAGATAAAGGTCTCTCCTATTGTTACGTTCTGTACTTTGGTCCTGTCGTCATCGAATTTCTGTCCTAAGGCGTATAATTTTTGTCCTGGTTCCAAATTTCCTTTGAAAACTCTGGCATAAGCTCTGATGACTGTTCCTGTGGAATCTGTACTGAACTTTGCTACTCTGGCAACAATCTGAGCATTGCCAAACGATCTGTCAACAGGAGAAGGAAGATGAACCGAAATTGAATGAATTAAAGATGAAAATGTGCCAAAAATCCTCGAAAGAGCAATTCTAAGAAGAGGAATCGTGTTCATTTGTTTTTCTTTAGCGGAAAGTTTGATTTTAAGTGTTTTCGACCAAACATCTGGTTCTTCCGAAATTACTTCGCAAAATGCTTTGTAAAGTGGTCCTAAAATGTAGTATTCGAATGGATGAGGAAGATCATCGGGATCTACATCACTAGGAAGTGCATTTTCATGCCAGATTTCGGTTGTTTGGGGATTTACTTTAAATTTACCCCACATTCTATGGGAAAATGCTTCGGCTTGCGGTTTGCGCATGTACATGAGGCCAATAGAGTAGCATGTAAAGCAGAGATTGTACTGGGAAGCTGTGAAAATGACGTTATTCAAATCTGGAGAAATTTTTTGTTTTGAACCATGAATTTTTAGGGTTTGGTTGACTTTTTCTACGATAAGATTGATCTTTCTCTGCATAAGATCTGGAGAATACTTTGCTTCAAGTATTGCTCGATCAATTTTCGTAATAACTAAGATTATTGGAAGATTTCTCGAAATTACAAGCTCCAAAAGTCGTTTTCCGCAGCCAATTAAGCCTTCCATTATGTCCACACAGAAAGCAACACCGTCAGCCATGTCCAAGCCGCATTCTACCTGTCCAATAAAATCTGGATGTCCTGGAGTGTCAATTAGGTTCAATGCGTATGATTTTCCGTCAAGATCTGGCTCTATAAGTGTCATTACTTCTGTTGTGATTGATAATTGTCTACGCTTCTCTAAATAAAGACGATCTGTCCATGCGAGTCTGTCAAGTCTTCTGCCTTCGCCTACAACTTGGTTTGTAATATCGTGTTTCGTTAATTCTTTTTCTACAATGTCTGGATGAGTTTCTTTGACTAGACAGTCGATTAATCCAGTTTTTCCATGGCCAAGAGCACCAACGAAGGCAACATTTCTAATTGAGGCTGTATTTTTGAGTAGATCAATTAAAAACTCTGATGAATATGTTGTTTGAGGGATTTCTGAAGGATTTAAATCTAATGAAATTTTTCTTTTTGTATCTGGTGCAATAATTGGCTTGGTATAGTCCTCCCTATCTTCGTCTTCATGTTTAACTTCTGTATATGGCTTGTAAACATCTTTTTCAGAAGGAAAATATTTTTTATCATCAGGAAGAACGTAATTTGAGGCCTGAGGATTAACAGGATCTGGTGCCTGATCAACTTCGCTTTCATCTTCTGATGAATCAATATTTCCTATAGGATTTCCAAATTCATCAAAATTTCCAAAATTCATAATATGATTTGATCTGTATTTCTTTTATCAGAAACATTATTCTTATTGTATTTGCTCTGATATGAATACATATTTGTCCTATAACTATCCATATTGGCAAATTTCTTGTTAATTCTCCAATATGTAAGGGATTGGTTGGATGGTGTCATTAGCTTAGTTGCAACATTCCCTTCATAAATTCCATCACTCTATACTTATTCTAATTGGCATAGATATTCAATAATTTTATTTCTCTTATATATTGAGAGAAAAGCCTCATAACGTAGTCCATACAAGAAAATAACTGCGATTATTAATTGATCAAAGATGGAATAAATTAGTTGATCAAAATGATTTTTATGTGAAGGGTTATTGGCGTGATGCGCCAACAGACACATAAAAATTTCCTCAGAAATTCTGAAAATGTCGAAAGCCGAATTAGCACAATTAGAAAGAACAATTCAACGAAAGCAGGCTGAGCTCGACCAATTAGAAGACCAAATTATTAATGGAAAGCAAGATAAAGAAGCTAATTCAGAAGAAATGAAGCGTTTTAATAGATTACAGAAAATGCTTGATAAATACAGAAAATTTTTGTTTGGAGAACTTAACAACGTCAACATAAATCCAACCGGAAATCTTGATGATCTTACTTCGAAAGTTTTAGCAAAATATAATAACGCAATTGCTCGTAAAGAAGCTGAACTTGATAAATCGATAGATGAATATAACAAAACTGTCAGAGATATTAAGGATTTAAGGAAAAAACTTGCAAGTCTCCAAGATTCAGCCAACGAAGAAAAATCAAAGAGGGATGAAGCAAAAAGAGCAAAACTGCAAGCAATCAAAGATTATAAGAATCAAATTTCGGAAATTAAAGATAAGGTTTTACAATCAAAATTGGAATTTCAAAAATTGAAATTCCCAACAATGGAATTTCAAGCTCTCCTCAAAGGAGTTCGCCAGAACCTAGGCAAAGCACAACCAAATCTAAAGTCATTCCAAGATCAAATCGATGATCATTGGGAAAAGGAAGACGATCTCGAAAAACAATGTGACGATTACATCGCTAAAATGGAGAATAAAATAAATCAGCTCACCGATCAAATAAAGCAGACAAAAACTGACATTGAAAAAGCAAAAGCTGCTCAAAACAAATTTAACACAGAACAAACTGAAGCTGCAAAGATTAGAAATGAAGTTGCTCAGATTAAACAAAATCAGAAACAATTTTTCTCCAAGTTTAATAATGAAATCTCAGCACGTAAGTTAAATTGGGGAATGAAGATTGACAACGTCGATAAGACATTATTTAACTTAATTGGAAATCAAATGCAGGTCAGTGTTTCTGAATTATCAGCAAGTAATCAAAAATTACTTGACAAGAAGGATCTTATCCAACCAGTACGCCAAGTTGTCGCCTCTGATATAAAGCCAAGCGTTATCCCAGTTCCTCCTGCAGGTATTAAAAAATACATTGAAATGCGAAACGAAGCAACGAAGTTGTGCTCTGATAAACAGGAAATTAAGTATTTCCTTTACGGACTTGATAGACTTATACAGATTTACAAGCAGAAAAAGAAACAAAGAGACGATTCGAAGGCAAAATACGAAAAAGACCAAGTTACATTCGAAACAAACTATCTGGCACAAGTTACCATTGCACGTAGAGGTAAGGTTAGATTTTAAATTTATAACTAAAAAATCATCTGTTCTTTTGTTAAAATTCTTTTGTTTTTAATAATGTTCAACGCAATCTTATCTAAATACCACAATTAAATTTGTTATTTTGAGATTTTATTATAAAATCATTATCTTCCTTGATCTATTTGAAATCTCTTTCATCTTTATTAGCATTTTTTCTTTCAGCATATACCGTGGTAGATTGAGATGGGTATTGCAATAAAATTAAAATAAAATTAAAAAATACTAATATTTACAAACAAAAATGGAACTGAAAATAACTTAAAACACAGATGATTTCATTGACTTTGTACTCTTGAAGTTTCTTGTCAATGTTTTTCTGCGCATTGATGCAGCATTTGTAGGAGTGTCATCAATAAGAGATGTAATATGTTCATCAATAATTTTGCATTTCTTATTGATCCAATTCAATAATTCAATACATCTGTCTTTGTTTTCTACATTCTTTTGAACATCTTTCATTAAAGAAGCATAACGAGTTGAATTAATAAACTCAATTCGCGATATTACTTCAATTAGATGTTCCTCATCTTTACCAACTGGTTTTTGGTAAGCAAATTTAATAAATTCTTCCCACCATGGGAATTTTCCGATAACTCGAAGTCTACTTTGCTGTGCAGCTCTATTATATCGAGCTCTGGCTGACTTAAATCCATATTTCTCAGAATCTTCATAAAATTTTTTAACTGCGCGCTCTCTTCTTTCATTACAATGGTTAAGATATTGGACCATCTCGTTGTGTTGTCTAATTGCATATTCATCTGAAGCACTGATGATTTGACGTAGCTTATTTATTGAGCCATCAGTACAATTGATATGTTCTGCGAGACTTGGTCGTCTAGAGTCATTGTCACTTACTTGTTCAACAAAATCAACAGATCTAAGATTATACATTGCACTTTTATAATTATCTGGTAAATCTATGAGTTCTTTTCCTATGTTTGAGTATCGAAGTGGTTCTTTATATGGTATGTATTGCGGATTTTCTTCCTTTAATATCTTACTAAGAGGAACCCCTCGTTTAACTCGCTTTATTCTGATTGAACCTCTTTCTAATTCTTTTTTAAATACATTTTCTCTTATATTTTTGTGAAGTGTGCATTCATTGCTTTGTATTTTTTTAATAACTTGGTCTACATTTGGTGTAAAGGCTTCGATATCATTTTTTCGCTCAATTATTTTAATTTTTCTAATAGGTCTGCTCGATTTTTGGGTAGTTTGACGTGGTTCCTTGATTTTTGCTAGTGTAAGCTCAAAGAGTTCCTCAGCATTATCATCAAGAAACATTTAACGTACATTTTCGATTGATGTTATTTAATGGAAGATTCATTATTGTCATTCGTAGATTACCCAGATTCCAAATTTATATGTATCTCAAAACTTTATAAGCAGATAACTTTTGATTTGAACTATTATTGGTATCATGAACCAATGAGCTTATCAATATTGGATGACTATGTTATAATATCATTAAGATGTGAGCACTTTGTATTCCTATTGGATAAATTATCAAATATTCTTAAAATATGCATTATCTTTCATCCAAAAACCTAGAGTATAGATCAAGAGAGTTTCCTTATCTTAGTATCTAGCATTGTATATGAATCATAATTTTCGAAAATGAAGAATATATCTTATATAGAAAAATAATCAAGGTAATTAAACAACAAAAACAAAACATTTATTTCTTAAGCATCCTTCTACTTGGCGGTGTGAACGATGTCGGCACTACACACTTCTTTCCTATGAATTTTGGTTCAAAAGATAATTGAGGGACTTTTATCGTCCTGAGGGGAACTTCCTCCTCTCCGAAATGTGACTTGAATTGTCTCCTTGCACTCTCAGTGGCTGTAATGTTGAATCTTGGAATAGCAGGAGATTGGCTATCTTCATCATCACTTAGTTCTTCAAATGGTTCCAATGTTCTCGGATTTAATAATCCGATCGCCAAATTTCGAGCATCTTTAGTATCCAAATCTTCTCCAGCCAACTCACAATTGCCTGCTTCGAAGCATGGAACAGTTATTTTCGACCGAGGATCAAATACTTTTTGTTGTCGAAAAACTGAAACAGCTACATCAAAAGACTCTCTGTATCCTGGTGGAAATGCAACTTTTCCGGTCCTTTCTGCAGCATCAATTGCTTTTTGACCACTTCCCGTCTGACCAACTAGTTTGAACGCCGTTCTTATGCCAAAATTAGGTGCAGATGGTAGATAATCGCATCCTGATAGAACGCATGCTTCAAGTATCATTCTAGGAGTAAATGACTTCAAAATTGGAACATTTATTAGATCTGCATAGCTTATAGCATCGCAATTACCATCTGAGTCGAGTCTAAAGATAGTAAGAGGGCATTCGTATGGAATTAAGTCTGAATCTTCTGTGATTACGAAATCACAAATTTTATTTCTGGCTAAATAAGAAAGTTGCGCATCAGCTTCGTATGGAGCAACGAAAAAATCAATATGCTTCTTGCGTAATGACTTGAATAATGGGAATAATACTTGAGGTGAAATATCTATTGCTTTCTTATAGTATTCATATGCTTCTGATGATAACCCTCTTCTCTCTAATTCATCTGCTTTCTGTAAACTTGTATTTCGAAGAGCTCTTCTCTTTTCATTTGTTCCGATTTTTGCTGGAAGTTCTCGTCCGTCAAAAACTATAATAGGTTTTATTCCATTGTCGATAAGCATTTGAGCTCTTTTCATAAAAAATGAAATATAGCTTTTGCATGGGAGATTCTTTGCGATATCTTTAGCACAGGAAATACATCCGCGATGGAGCCATACAAATCCATCGACACCAGCTGTTTTTCCTTTGAAATCGCCAATCTTGCACTTCCTAAGTACAGGATGAATAAGAGAAAGAAGCCCTGTAATTCCCATTGAGCGAAGGGAACTTCCCTCCGCACTCTGAAAATATAAAAGCATGAACAATTGCTTACTTTAAAATAGCAAATACATGAATCGTAAATTAATTATTAATTACATTCAATATTTATGAGATATGATCATATGGAAGCTGAATATTGAGATATTGATTTGAACACAGAATAATATGCTCAACCATAAATAGTATATGTATTCTACATTGCCAAATCAGATTGAAATCACATTGTTGGTGATAATTCAGTTAAATTTTATCGAAATGTAGAATTTATAGAGATAATGGAGTTGTGTAAGTTATAAAACTATATGGAAATCTAAGAAACATCATATTCAAAGTATATAATTCATGATTTGATGGAATTATACAATTAGTTTTCATCTTTACAAAGAATCCATGTGAGGATAGTCATCTTGAATTGTTCTCTTAATGTGTTATTGTTATTTCTAAATTTCTTACTTTGAAAACAACTACAATACATATAATAGATAAAGAAAACCTATTTATTTAATCCTATAAAAAGAAACTTAATATTTTTATTTTATTCATCTTGTTCTTCTTCTAATTCGTCTTCGTCGTCATCATTGTCATCCTCATCACCATCATCCTTAATCTGTTCAATGCCAATATCATCCTTTGGCTGTTGTAAATCATGGTCATTCTTAATATAACTATTAGTATCTTCCTGGAACTTCTGTCCTTCGTTGTATCCGAGCTTAGCTTCCTGTTGTGCGAGGTATTCCTGAGAAACCTTCTTATCAATGAAGAGCTTCAATACCTTAGTGATATCTTGTGGTTGTACTTCCTCGCTGTGTCTTCTATTAGCAACGAGGGAGGATGTAGCGATAAGCTGCATAGCGTATCTGAGTGATCTTTTATCTGCAATTTTTGTAAGAAGTTTGAGGGCTTCGTCCGACATTTGGACATCTTCTTCTGTGCACCTCATTTCGAGGATTTGTCTGAGGTCATCCTCGGCGTATGGCTCTGTAGGGATGATTGTAAGACGCTGGACCATATCAAATGGGATACCATGTGGAGAATATTCTTCTGTACCACGAATCTTTGAAATACCACGGTTTGAGGCCATGATAATGATTGGAGCGTTCTCAGATTCCATGGCGCGGTTAAGGAATGAGAAGCATTCGATATCAAGCATATGAACTTCATCGATGAATAAAACACCTGGAATAACTTCAGCTTTCTTGCTATCCTGCCATTGAGCAACTTGGTTGTTGACAGAATCTCTGACTTCCTGCTTGATTTCACCAGTATCACCAGCGAAAAGAGCAAGGAAACCTTGATTTCTGCTGTTGACAACATCAATTTCGTGAAGTGTCAATGTATGAACTGTTTCGCGCTTTGTTCTGAGTTCGTCTGTTGGTGTATTGACGTATTTGATCTGTGGGCCGGCAGCATCGAAATCTTGAGCATGAGCAAAGGAGCGGCCAAGCTTTGTCATGTTGGATGTGGCAAGATCGTAGGAAATGACATCACCAACTGTAGCTTTCAAACGATTTAATTGCTCGATCATTCTTGGACCGAGATCATATTCAGCTTCCATATCAGTTGTCTTAAGAACAATCCTGCCTGTACGCTGTGTTGTCTCGCCAGATGGTGCATCGATGTCAATTGAAACGATTTCACCTTCGATAATTTCAGATGCTTCATGGATTTTAACACCGATTGAGCGTCTGAGTGCTTGTGTGAGTGCTTCTGTCTTGTTCATCTCAAGAGAGAAGACTTCTGAGCCTGTAATTGATGTAAATGGTGTATCTGGGCCGAGTGATTGTGATAATGCGTGTGCAAGAGCTGTTTTACCTGTACCTGGCTGTCCTGCAAGCAAAATTGCACGGCCAGCGATTTTTCCGGCTTGGATCATCTTCATGACGACACCAAGAGCCCTACGTGCTTTGCATTGTCCGACTAAGCCTTCTGATTTTGGACGTGCTTCAAGCATATCATCTAAACCAAGGCCACGGATGTGAGAATGTGCAGCAATTCTCTCAAGTGGGACAGCTGTGACTTCTGTCTCTTTGGTAAGCGGAACTTGTACCGACATTCTTTTTGAATGTTTGGACAACTTACGGAAAAAGTGACGTTTTCCGTTTTTTATTTTTCTCAACAATTATAAATAACGAATTATCGCGGCTACTCTAAAATTTTAACAATTCAAAAGTAGCAGTTAGATACTGTTAGTTGTATTGGCTTGGCATTGCATTCAATACTTCCATTACAACAAATTAACACAGTTAATGAAACCTTATTAGATTTCCTTCAACGAACAAAGTCACACTTCTCGAGGATAATAATAAATTGAACTTGTCGAGTATATGTTCCCTTAAATGTACATTTCTTTTACTGAGTTATTTTTTGATTTTTCCAATTTTTAAATTATTTTTTTGAAAAACAATCCAATTACATTCGAGTTTTTGTTAATATGTCTATTTGTACTTACTAATTATTGATTTCCTTAATACATTACCTAATATTTCGTTATTTCTTCGTGAATAAAACGAAAAATGTTGTTATGATACTAGCTATTCCATTTTTTCGGCGTTATTAATTAATACAATCGAGCCATAAAGTTCTTTTTTATCAAATCCACTGTATTTTTTTGATGAAATATGAGAGAAATTAGATTTGGTATAGCATACAATATTTATATGAATATAAATGAACTTTGTACATTCAAAACATTTCCAATATTGATGAGATATTTCGAGATAAATGAATTTTTCTGTGTATTCGAGTTTCATTTGTTTTTTGCTATACTTTTGGGTGACCTAATCAATACGCTTAAAAACATATAGTTTTTTCAACCCTGTTTCTTCCAAAAAAAATTCAAAAATAACAAAATGAAATTAAAAAATATATTTTAAACTAATAAAAAATGATTTTCCGAATTTTTTTGAAAAACAAATACAATTTATTTTTACTATAAATTTGAAAAATCTTATTAATATGTCAAAATTAATGTAAAATGTATCAAATTTAAATAAAAGATCTCAAATTTATAGACTAATATGAATTGTTATAAAGGAATTCCTAATAATTTCCAATGTTTATATAAGAGGTTCCATTTCTTGAGAAAATAAGCAAATTATTTAAATTTATTGGTTCTATATCCATTGTTATTCAGTCATTTTAATCGGTTGTTGTTTCTCAAACAAGAATAATAGCTATATCATCTCCCATTATCCATATTTCTTGCTAATTTTTCAAAAATATCACACAATTTATAAAATTATATTTATAAAATAACAAATACAAAATAATATATAATATGACTAATGCTTAAAGCTTCTTGAGGATTGAAGTATCTCCCAACTCTCTTGGGAAGAATATTTGGGAAATAAGTACAATGAATCCAAACAAAAGTATAACTGCACCTACAATAATGTAAGTTAACCCGATGAACGAGTTCTTTCCGCCGAAATTAGTAACTTTGGAAATAACGATATGTTTTTCTCCATTGAAAAGAGAAACTGGGTAATTATTTTGAATGGCTATTGAATATTCGCCAGCAGGGAGGTAGCAGTTGATACATCTTGAATAAACTTTATAAAAAACTGGTAAAGCAGCAGCTCGCATCCATACTATGAAGTGTTCATTTCTTTGGTCGTTAGGAAATGTTTCATTATCCTCGATAAGCCACTTAATTCCTTCGGTATAATTCGAACTTAATCTTTTGAATAATTTATCTCTATCTGAACGCCAAGAAATACCAGCTTCACTAAAATTAGCAATCGAAGTATTCTTCCATGCAAACGTATCATTGAACAATGATAAAGCAACGGCGCCTGAAGGAAGAAGGAGATCGGCTGGTTCTTTGGATTCATTGACGGATCTGAAATCGCCACATTCAGTCATACTTTCATATTTGACGTATTCACCACGTAATTGATTATCACTTTTTGAAAAGATATATCTTCTATGGTTTTGGTGGAAGTTTGTAAGTTTGTAATGCATGTATATATTGCCTTTAATTTCCTCGTTAATTGTGAATGTGATTCCGCATTCGTTATCATTTCCACAAATATTGTCATATCTAATATCATAGAATGGAAGATGTGCTAAATAAACGTATAACAATACTCCAATGATTATCAATATACCTCCTAAAAGGAAGAGAATAAAAGTCGTGCAAAAAGGAGTGAAAAGAGGACGCCAAGCAACAATACGTTGTTGCGAAAACACTGTATTTGTTGTAACTGGTGGCCCTTCCTCTCCATTTGGACCCTTTTTAGGAGATTCCATGATTAATTTTTGTGGATCCTTTTAACGATAGGGTCTTCTCAAAATTTTATCCGTTCATTTCATTACTCTCCATTCTGATGCACAATTTTAACATTTTGCTTTTTCAATAGATTTAAGATTAAACACAAAATTGAAAGGAAATTGAGTCAATTTTCATTTAAATTCTAAAATTGGAGATTTAAACTACCCACACATGGGAATAAATGATTCATAATTTATTTTTTTCATGATCGTTTGATTTATTCTTTTAATTGGACTATCGTGGATGGGAAATATATGAAATATCAATGAATGCTTGTATGCAATCCAGTTGTTAAATAACAAAGTTATATATAACTCATTTACGAGATTTTTTAATCAAATGTTAAAATAATCAGTTGCAATTATATTAAACGAGTTAGATTTTTATTGTAGATTGCAGGTATTCTTATACAGCATTTAATCAATCAAAGATTATTATTGATAAATTTTATACCAATGAATTTTGGACATTAATACATCATGGTGGCATATAGATATACTTTTATTCTTTTAGCTATTTAGTAGATATGTCAAACTGATAATAGTCTACAATTATCAAGGATTTAAAAAAAATCTCTCAAAACAGATGTAATTCCATATTGGATGCTAGAATGGAAACTAGGGCAACTAAAACTAATACTTAAAATCTTACAATAAGTCAGTCGTCACCTCGAAGAGCGTTGGATAAATAAATTAAAAAGTGACAATTCTATTATGGATACAGGAAAGGCAGTTGACATTAAACAACGTCAAAAAAATCTATGCGATAGGATAGTAGACCTTACAGAAAGAATTCATGCACTTCAAGTACAACTAGGCTCAAGAGCTTCTAATTTTCAAACTTATCAACCTGTACTAATTGGTATATTAAGCCTTGCAGTACTAATCTATTATCTTTGCCATTCAATTGTTGAATAAATGTTTTGTAATTTATTTCTTTCCCAATACAATAATTTTTTAGAATTTACATACCGAAAATTATCATTCTCGAACAATAAAATTCTTCACCTTTCTAAAATTAACTCATTTCTACATATATTGGCACAGAATAATGAAATAACGTTCCAATCAATTTTTCATTTTTTTTTATAGATTAAATGCTTAGATATTTAAAAAACTCTATAGTTTTTATACGCATTTAAACGATTTTTTTATTTGATAGATAATTTTTTTATAAACTTTATAAAATTTCCCTAAATTTAGTGGAAGTAAAGATCTGAATCTCCGAACTTTGGATCTGATGTAGCGTTGAGACCAAGTTTTCTCATTGTTTCAGCGTTTGTTGGTGAAGGAATTGTTGTTGTGTGAACTTCACAATCCTTGAGTTCGAAAACCTTTGAAAGGCAAGCTTCAGCGATTGGATTTGTAACACTGCAAACGCTGAGAGCGATAAGAACTTCGCTCATGTTGAGTGATGTTGTCTTTTCATGGAGTTGACCCTTTGTCTTAAGGATTGGCTCCAAAACAGTTGGAGAAAGTAATTTGATGTCGATGGAAATACCAGCAAGGTGCTTGATAGCATTAATGAGTGTTGCAGCGCAGCAATCCATCAATTCAGATGTTCTTCCTGTGATTATTGTGTGGTCTTTGTCTTTAAGTTGGATGGCCATTGATGGGGACTTTGATTCTTCTGCTCTTTGGTGAGAAGCTTCAACAACAAGTCTATTGTCAACTGTAATATCGAGCTCTTGCATGATGCACTGAATTCTTGTAACAGTTTCTTGATCAACACGGCCGAATTTGTAATCGCATGAAGCATGGAAGTATCTGCGGATGATTTCTTGTTTAGCAGCATCCTTAACAATGTCATCGTTGACAATACCGTAACCAGCCATGTTTACACCCATATCTGTTGGAGATTTGTAAACTTCTCTGCCCTTGATCTTGAGGAGGATGTTCTTAAGAACTGGGAAGACTTCGACATCGCGATTGTAGTTGATTGCTGTCTTTCCGTAAGCTTCAAGATGGAATGGATCAATCATGTTGACATCCTTAAGATCAGCAGTAGCTGCTTCGTAAGCAAGGTTAACTGGATGCTTGAGTGGGATGTTCCAAATTGGGAATGTTTCGAACTTGGCGTATCCAGCATCGATGCCTCTCTTATTTTCATGATAAAGCTGAGAAAGGCATGTAGCAAGCTTACCAGAGCATGGACCTGGAGCTGTAACGACAACTAATGGACGTGTTGTGACAATATAATCGTTAAGTCCGTAACCGTGGTCACTGACAACTAAATTGATGTCTGTTGGGTATCCTGGGATTGGATAATGTAAGTAGGTCTTGATTCCATTAAGTTCGAGTTTCTTTCTGAAGGTGTCAGCATTGACTTGTCCACGGTATTGAGTAATAACAACGGAACTGACATAAAGATCCATCTTTCTGATGTTATCAATCTGTCTGAGAACATCGTTTTCGTATGTGATGCCAAAATCGGCTCTGATCTTATTCTTCTCGATGTCTGCTGCGTTGATGCAGAAAACAATTTCGGCAGTGTCTTTGAATTCCTGAAGAAGCTTTATTTTGGCGTTGAGGTCGAAACCTGGAAGAACTCTGGCGGCATGATAGTCATCAAACATTTTTCCACCGAATTCAAGGTATAACTTATTGCCAAATTCGCTGATCCTCTTTCTGATATTCTCAGCTTGCTTCTGGACGTAAAGATTATTATCAAATCCTACACTCATTGCTTCTTGCAATTAAAAAAATGCAAAAAATTATCTTACAAAAAGTGAGAAGAGATTGAAAAGAGAAATTGTCTTTAATTCAATAGAGATGTGGTCGGATTGACAACACTCGAATACTAAATATTTATAGTTACTAGATGTAGATTTTAGCAATTAAAATTTTATCTTATCACCTAAAAATCCCATGAAGTGATTCGAAATTCAATGAGATGTTTTATAGTCTCAATTGAAATCCGAACTTGTTTTTAAGTTATAATATTATTTTAACCCCTATTTAGAATTACTTTGCGACTTAGATTTTGCATTCAATTTTTTTTGAATTAAACACGAATAACTGGTGTAAAGTCTCAAATTTGCTATTTTTATCCATAATTCTCCTAAATTTATAACGAGAACATACCAATACAACATGTTCGCTTGCTGTTCTTACGCTATTCTTAAAAAACGCATTAATTGTTAATTCAAAACTCTTTCCTTCAGGAACGAACAACAATAATGAATGCATTAAAAAACATAGCTTAATAAAGCAATCTGTTCCCTTTGGATGGAGAATCTATAAAATTGCTGATTCCAATCCGTCATTTTATTTTTGTCAAAGAGTATTTTTATATCTGTCCATTTGAGAAAAAGTATAGAAAGGATTTGCAGGATGAATTTTGCCAACATATTTATGCTATATTTATTAACATGGAAGAGGTTAAATAGTTATATTTTTATTTTTATATAATATTATAAGCAAATTTAGAATTTTATCCTAGATATCACCTAATTTTTATACGCTAAGTCTTGTATAGGATTGCCAGTTTATATAAACTCCAAAACTAAAAATGTAAAAGTGAATTATCTGCTATTTATTGTAAAATGAAGACACCAATAGTTAAAATGCTGAAAAATAGTGATTTCTATTTCGAGAATTCAATTGTTCAAATTAAATATGATTTACATTTGATATGTTAGTGTTTGATAAATCCTACATAGCAAAATCTATACACATACTCAGTTGTATACAACAGACTTTCTTAATGTATCATAAATTACATATTACCAATTCTTGAAACGACATTTGATATTCTATAAAACTATCTTAGAAAAAGTTATGAAAATTACAAAGATATGAGTTAAAACATGCATTTTATGCAGATTTTATCATGAATATAGACTTTTTGCAAGTTGAGAGAAAATTTTACTCAATATGGGGATTTTACCCTGCATGGGCTCTTTTTTTGTTATAATCTTATATACCCGTGAATATTTTTTACTGTTTTATTTCATTTATTAATGTCGCAAAATGAACTTCTATCTAAAGCTAAACAAAAACTTCAAGAAATGAATAAAAAAGTTCACAATGCAGCAAAAATATCAGATAAACATCGTCTTAATAAGGCAGAAAATGATACTCCTAAAGTACAAACAAAACAAAAATTTAATAAAGCCGATTATCTTTTTGAATTAACAGAAAAAATGGTTGCTGATGGATTTGATGCAGATGAGGTAACCAAATATATTGAAAAATTGGAAAAATTATCAGAAAAATCAGAGCAACATCTTGAAAATAATGAAATAACAGTTACAAAAGAAATTAAAAAGATAAACAAGTCATTACGACAATTTCTAAATCCAGCAGATAAGTCATCAGAAGCTTCTTCGGTTATATCTAGTGAAGAAAATAACAAATCATCAATAGATAATAAAACACCTCATAAGGAAGAACAAAATCTTCATAAGCAAGATGAAGGACCAAGCTATTCAGAGCTTGCAAGACGAAAAAGTACTCCAACACCTAAAAAGACTCCAGAGCAAAGAGAATCTAAAATTCCGCACTACACGCCAACAAAGATTCCTAAACATAAAGAAAAACAGCCTGTTCAGCCAGAGCCAAATGATGATGTCCAGATGACTGGCGCCGGAGCACAGTTTCTTGCTTCTCTTGCCTGTGATGAAGAAGATGATAATAATAACATGTAAAAATTCTGTTTTTATTCAATTTGTAATTATCCACTTGTAAAAATTCACATTGATACCGAAAATTTCGAATTTATTAAAAAATCAATAGGGCACGCATATTAGCATATAAATGTGAATTCCATGGACACGAATATTGTAATTTTGACCATTTTTTGATTGAAGATTTTTTAAAGATTGTACAACATATATAATTTCAGTGTTGGAAGTTATGCATTACTATATTTTATCATAGAGTAGTTTTCACATTGTTTATTTTCTTTTTAAGTAGTAAGTTTCAATAAAAATTATTTTAAATTATCATGAAATCGTAAAATAATGACTGTATATTGTCTTATATCATCTTAAAAGGAAATGTGTAGGTAGACTGATACTAAGATGGTATAAATCAAGCATTCGATCATTCTATCGGCCGCACGTTAATTTTATTTCATGAATCATCCTGGATGCCTGAAGCTTAAACCAGGCCCAGATAACATTGCTATACTAACACCACAATCAGTAAAAGGCTGCCATGAAGATGTAAAGAAACTTATTAACGATATTGGAGCAATGTCAACCAAAGTTCAAGGTTTGAACCATGTCATTACTACATTTTCATCATTTTGTAATGGTGATAACAGAATATACATGCTTATTAGCGAAGACAAGAAACAAGCGTTAGGATTTGTAAAAGTTGGCACACGACACCTCTTTTTCTGGGATCACACCGGATCACACCGAGAATATACAATTCTTGCACTTTTGGATTTCTTTGTCGTGCCTAGTTCTCAAAGAAAAGGATATGGAAAAACTCTAATTGATAAAATGCTTGCAACCGAAGGAAAACAAATGAAAGACATACCAATTGATAGGCCCTCTCCATTATGCTTATCTTTTATGAAAAAACACTTCGGATTATCCGAATTCACTCCTCAATCCAATAATTATGTTATATTTGAACAGTTTTGGGGCGATGATGAGAAAGAAGAACAAAATAAAGGATCAGGTTTACCATATCTTGTTGGAAAAAGTCGAACACCACGAATGGTTACTCCAACAACGACAAAACAACAGAGCTCTGCTTTTTCACAGACTAATCAGCCATATGCATACAAAGCGCGAACTCCTGTTCGACGTCTCAATCCTATTACATGGCTTCCGTATTAATTATGTTTGTATCTTAAAATTAATATTTGTAATATACTATTGAGATAAAATATGAGATATTCAAAAAGAAAAATATATTTGCTTACGAAAAACGGCTACTCCTTCAATATTCAAGCATTATATTTCAATTTCATCTTAATATTTATTAATGTACTTATTCTCTCCCAAGCATTCAAGTATTCTATTTGAATCAACACAAAGTATAATATTCTTACCTCGTTCTAAGATGGAAATTAAAATATTTTGAAAAGTTGATAAAATGAATTTTTAAATAAGTATATGATTGAGTTATTTGGCACAAATAGTTTTTAAGTAATCTCTTACTTTACCTTCTGCAACCATCAGCGCAGTTTTTCCATTATTATTCTTTGCTTCTTTATTAGCTCCAACTGAGATAAGATATTTAACAACATCAAGATGACCATTTTGTGATGCCCAAATGAGGGGAGTATATCCATAATTATTCCTTGCTTCTAAATTAGCTCCATTAGAGATAAAATATTTAACAACTTCAAGATAACCATTTTCTGATGCATAAATGAGTGGAGTTTCTCCATATTTATCCTTTGCTTCTTTATTAGCACCAACTGAGATAAGATATTTAACAAGGCCAAGATGACCATTTATTGATGCTTCAATGAGTGGAGTAGACCCCAATTTATCCTTTTCTTCTTTGTCACAACCACATTCGATGAGTGATTGAACGAGTCTGAGATTTCCCTTTTCAATTGCAAAATAAAGAACATTCCTCTCAGAATCCCATATAAATTTTTTAGGAGCAATCTTTTGCCAAAGTCCTGCTTCGATTGATTTTGAAATCATTTCATGGTTTCCTTTCGAAGAAAGTTCATCAAGGAATTTGTAAACAGTTTCAAAATCATTAGATTCCTTAAGTTCTGTGATTTTAGTTAAAATATCATGTGAATGATTGAAATTTTGATTAGTTACATTGATAGTGGGATCATTGGTCGCATTCTCACTTACATTTTCAGTTTCATTTTAAAATACTTTGGATTTATCTTGAAATGCTTCTGTTTTATTAGTAGAATAGCTTGTTTCTTTCTCATTATGTTTTAAAAAATCAATAATACCATCAAATATACTGAATTTCATGTATTTTTTGACAGATTTCAGAACTGAAACGACTTCTTCGAAGTTTTTGATAGTAACATTTGCTTTTCATGTACAGGTATATAATCCTTTGGCATTGATAGTTGAATGAGATTGTTTCAGAAGAGTAACATATTGATCTGCTGTCAAACGTGTGTATTTCATGATTGTTTTGATATATTCGATATCAAATATATCGAAGAAGTTTTCATTATTAATATAATCGCTGATATGAGCAGCAATGTATTCGAAATTCGGATCCATGTCCTATTTCGCTTTTTTAAAAAATTCATAACTTTACAAAAAAAAAAGACCATTAGAGTGCTCAAGTGTACTTATGATATATCATAGAGCGTACTTATAAATATTGATGTATAAATTCTAAGTGGAGTGCGGGACAAATTTGCCAAATGTCACTTTTTCAATAACCCTAAATTACGCTTTTCTAATTTTTTTAAAAAAATAACCTTAAATTATATTTGAAGAAATTATGTCTATGATATATGTTTTATGCTAGAATCTTGGAGTTTTCATGCACTACACAAGAGCTCCAAGGTTCCAAGAGTGAATGCTCAATAGCAATTATAGAGATGTACCTTTTCAAAATGACTTTTACTGATTAAATTTAATCAATAGAAGACATTTTGAAAAGGTACCTCTACAATTAGATATACAAGAGATTCAAAGTTTCATTTCAGATAGATTTGAAACTTTGAAACTCTTGGTAGATTTTGAGTGAATGCTGACAATCATCTTTGAGAAGGTTTTCTTAAAGAAAACCTTCTCAAAGAGGTTTCTCAGGAGCCCTGAGGCTCCCTTTCGTAATGATTGGGAGCCTTGGGGCTCCTGAGACGAAGAATGGCTTCGCCGAATCTTTGATCAGCAGAGGCCAAATGAAAAGGCCTCTGCTGATGGATTCTCAGGAGCCCTGAGGCTCCCTTTCGTAATGATTGGGAGCCTTGGGGCTCCTGCAGCAGAGTATCGCTCCGCTCCATTAATTTTTTTTAAAAAAAGTGCCGTGTGGCAAATTTGTCCTGTTCCCATTCTAAGTGTAAATTTGATATCATTCGTGTAACAATGTATTTCCTATTATATAGGTTGATAAAATTCAGAGATAAAACTTAGCATATATCAAAATAAACAACAAAAGTATTTAATTTAATTTGGTGTCGTAAGTCTAATAAGATGTTTTGCCATTTTCTGGCAAGATAAACTCCTAAAGTTAGTTGTCAAGTACTCACCAATTTTCATAGAAGTAAATCGATCTTGGCATTTTTTATAAACGCAAAGGTCAATTGCAAGTCTAATAGCGGAATCAACATTTTCACCGCCACCTGTTATAATATCATACAATGTTTTACACATAGGAATCATTTCTCTAGTGAAACAAAACTTTGATATTGTATCAATCATAAGGATTGAGAGATATTCAGACTTCTTATTCTGTAGAACATCGCACCTTGCCAAATAGTTTGCGAAAAATTCACCAGCAGACAAGATATCTACTATCTCGGCAACTAAATCAACTCTTCTGACTATTTTTGAGAGGGCTGTCAAAGTTTTTACATCGGCCTTTTCAGACATGTTTACCATGAAATCAGTGAAATATTCACATCTTCCGATATCATGTCTTAGTGCTTGATGACTAAATACTACAAGGAACAGCAAAAAAGTATCAGAAGTTGTTGGCAACTTGAGAGACATCCATTCTGAATTATCAACCATATATTTGGCAATATTTCTTTGTTCTGCAAGCCGCAGAAGCACCAAAGTAGCTTTTTTATCCTTTTCTGCACACAGAGCAAGGTTGCTAATAAGTCTTTGAGGAACAACAGCTGAAGAAAACAATGGTGCAACTAATAAGAAATCAATTGCCGCTTGGTAGACTTCTGGATGCCTTATATGCATGGAAGTTTCATTAAATGGCATGGCAATATCTTCACGAAGCGTAGCAATGAGAGATAACCCTGCGTATGCTGAATTAATCGTTTCTGCATCATCTGCAAGTAACAGAGGTAATAAACAATTGTATATATCTATTTCTCGCTGCTCACGGATTGATGGGTATTGATTTGCTAAGTATGTAAGCAATCTTGCATATGTAGTTCCGGCTTCTGGAACTTGAAATCTGCTTGCTCCATCAAATAATGTATTAACTATGTAAATTTGATAATCTTGATTCGAATATGATTGCAATAAATTGGATATAATTATTAAAGCTTTATTTGGTCGACGAACAATCATTCTACCGAATAAATCAACAACAGTTTTAGTAAATGCTTTCGGATCGACAAGTGATATTTCGTATAAAACTTCAAGAAGATAATCTGTTAAATTTCGCTGATGAAAAGGCAAAAATTGTGTATATCCATGACGTGTAAAGAATAATGTATATGATTCAGATTGATGAAATAGAATCGCAAGTGTGTTTAATATCTCTTTTCCTATTTTTTCTGGTATTACACCGAGGAAATGACAGACAGTGCCTTGAAAAAAGTCTTCCATCCTGTCAGCTGGAAGGTCAGCTCTTGCATCTTGTAAAGCTTGAAGAAAAACATTGGATTTATAATCACGAAAAGGACCTTTCATTATTTTATAAAAAAAACGCCTAAAATTTTTGTAAACAAAATACATTATTTTTTGAATGGAAAAACGTGACAATTTGTTTAGATATGGAATTTGATGAGGAAACGACTGCAACCCAGTTACCTGGCTTCCAGAAGGAAAATCGTACAGGTGCCAAGGTTTACTTTTGCAGTGAATGCCAATCTGTCCTTACACCACGTGTTTTCAAAAAGGAAAATGGTGAGGCTGGAAAATTAGAGTTCTATTGCGCTCAATGCAATCGTTCTGAGTATTTCGATGATAACTTGGTTTACGTTAACATTCTAAAGCGTGATGCTTCAAGCGTTTCTGCAACCAAAGTTCTTACATCCGATCCAACGCTTCACAGGTGGACAGTTTTCTGCAATAACTGCAGAAAGTACGAAGAGCATGTTATTTTCAATGCTCCTACACTTGCTGGTGAAGAAACAATGACACAACTTAAGCAATGCTGCGTTTGCAGTGTTCAAACACCTGTTACAGAAGATGATAGAAGAAATCAAATGAGACCTTCCAATTAAATAAAGTATACAAGAATAAAAAATTATTTATAAATGTTTCCTCAATTCACGAGTTTTTAAATGAACTTACCTCAATAGGAATCTCACATTAATAAGGAATTATTGGAAATGTTACTGAAATCGTGTTTCTCATTTTTATATTTCTTTTATGATCAAGAAGAAGAGGTATGATATAGGAAGTTATGATATTCTGTGAAAGGAACCGACCATTCCTGTTTATATTTCATTATAATTCATATTTTTTATAGATTTATAGAGGATAGTGAAATTGTGGTCATTAATAGTCAGTATTCTTAGACTAACAGTATTTCCAGGAGTAATGAAATTCGGTTTTGTTATGTATTTCTCTATGAATAATTGCGGACTTTAAATAACATGACTACGGTCTTTTTATATTCTCTTATATATGTGTAATTTAATGCTGTTTTACCAGAGCTATCTTTTCCATCAACATCAGTTCGTTTCAAAATAATGTACGTCAAGTTGAAAATCATGACATGTTTTACAAATCAAATGGTCCCTTAAGATGTTCCTAATCATCCTCTAATCAAATTATATATGCTTACTACTACAATTCCATACTCTTTCAGTTTATTTTTTATTATTGAAAATGGATGAAGAAACTCTTTGGAGATCACGCATTCTTGAAGAACGAGCAAATGAATTAATAGAATACAAAATGACAGCTTCTGAGCAAGTGGAGTCACAAATTGAAAGAGTTAAAGGAACACTTGAAAGACAATTACGCGCGAATCAAGCTTATCGAGAACATATCAAATCCTTAGATCAAGAAATCAAACAATTAAAGGAGATAATAAATTCTTTTGGAAATAACGAAGAAGAAATGTAGATTGATTTTATTAATATTATTATCAAAAAAATACATCGTTGATTAACTACTTTTTGTCATTCATAACTCTAGAAACTGAAGTAGACAGAGTTCGAAAGTGATTAATTTGAAACAAACTTTATAATTTTTTTTATTGTTTCAAATTAACTGTCGCGTTAATACATAGCTTGAGAAAGATGAAAAAATTTAGAATCAGATACAAAAGTACTAATAATTCATACTTAATACCATAATTGTAACAAAAATTTTTTTATAAAAGGAAATAATATTGATGATTTGTTAAAAATAAGGCAAAATAAACATAATTGTTTAGTGATTCATATTAATAATGGGGAGAAGCTTCCTAAACTTTTTAATCCCATAAATATGGTCATTATCTGGAATAAAGAGTTAAGCGTCATATGTCACTTTTTGTACTAAGGAAACATCGACTTTATGCGTTATGACTTTTCGATGAGGAAACAAGTGTTCACGTATTATAAACTTCCTTATTCCAATAAACCGACCCTAAACATAATTAATTCTAAGCATGATAATGGTCTCTTTTCTATGATAACCAAATCAATTTGGTTATCATAGTAAAGCACCAAAAACTGGAATAGGAATCGGCAATATGGAATCATGAAGCAACTCGGATAAAATAAATATGGAACATTCATACATCCATTCCCTATTTTTAACCATATTATATTTTCAAACAAAATTCTCGTACTATTTTCAATAAAATTTGCATAACCTTGTTATTACTCTTAGGCGAAAGATGATTTTAATGTTAATTTTATAGAAGAACTTTTAATGCATAATAAAATAACCATTTCCTATAAATTTAGACTTAAAACGGTGACAATAAACAAGTTTTAGTCTAGAAATTAATTTTCTACTACTATAAATGCATCTTTATCTTTAATTAGAAAAAAATTTATCAATTTTATTATCCAGATGAAAAAAGAAGTGACATATGATATTTTATCTAATTTAAAATCTTTTATTGATTGTTTTTAAAAACTTTGCATTTTGTATGAGTATTTCATGTTTAAATCAGTATAAATACGCAAAATACTTATGAAATTCCAGCTGTTATTCAGTACTATTCATTTTTCAGCAATCATTAACTGTGGAAGAGTATGGCAAACGTTCGATAATGATCATGTATACTCAGATCATCAAGAATGAATTAAAGTCAATGCAGGGAAATGGATAATCCGAATAAAAACCCCAAAAAGGAAAAAGATATTATATGAACGTCTCACAAATGGTTAGTACTAAGCTCTTTCCTGATGATTGAATATTCTTTCATATTTTTGTATATTGTAAGGGATTTTCTCCCCAAATATATAATACCTTCCTTATAAACGATCTACTTTCTTTGAATACAAGTATAATTTTACATTTTAGGAAAAAAATTTATTTTTTCAAATTTATCTTATAACGATAAAGATTTATATATGTGTGTGTCAATATAGGCTTTAGTGGTATAAAATTGAGTAGATTTTGTTTTATTTTGAGTAAAAAATTCAAAAAATACTACCTCATTTTGCGTGCAAAGGAATAGCCAGAGCTATTTAATAACATTTTACGAATGAACTATGGAATTACTATAACTTTTGAAGAAATTTCAAAGTTAATAGAAGATTGTATTTTAGAAATCAGCTAAAAGAATGATGTGCATGCATCAAGCGTTAAAGTATCCTAATCAGAATATAGTAATATACAATGATTAGCAAAGCAGATTTGAATCGGCAAGAAGAGTTGCTTAAAAAATCAGTTGAGTCTTCTCTAGTTTCCACAATGCCTATTCCTGTTTAAGTGCGGTTATTCCTATTCCAGTTTTTGGTGCTTTACTATGATAACCAAATTGATTTGGTTATCATAGAAAAGAGACCATTATCATGCTTAGAATTAATTATGTTTAGGGTCGGTTTATTGGAATAAGGAAGTTTATAATACGTGAACACTTGTTTCCTCATCGAAAAGTCATAACGCATAAAGTCGATGTTTCCTTAGTACAAAAAGTGACATATGACGCTTAACTCTTTATTCCAGATAATGACCATATTTATGGGATTAAAAAGTTTAGGAAGCTTCTCCCCAATAATTTTTTTTCTTGTTGACAAATAAAAAAATAAAAATGATGATCACTCTAATTCTTTGACGTCTTTCACGTCAAAGAAAACTTCGACCCCTTCTTCTTCGAAGTCTTTCTTGAACGGATCATCATCTCCAACGAAACTTGTAGTCCATAATGGGTTATCATTAGTGATTGTGTTAGAAGTAGTTGGAGCTATTGTAACAGTTTCTTCAACCATTTCGACAGTTGAATTAGATTCTTCGTCCTCTTTCTTCTTCTTAGCGACAACAAACCAAATAAGTAATGCAGCGGCGACAAGTAAAATAATACCTGCAACGACACCGATGATGATGTACATCGTATTGCTCTTTGGAGGTGCTGGTGTTTCTTCAATGGCCAAGTTAACAGTAGATTCAATAACAACAACAGTAACAATTGTGAATTCACCAGTAATTTCAGTTGTAATGTAATATGGACGGTTATCTGGATCGTAAGAAACAACAATTGTGTTAATTTTTGTTGTTGTGATGTTTGAGTATGTTTCGATCTTTGTGACTGTCTCCTTTCCTTTCTGTCCAGGCTTTGGAGTTATGATTGGGATTGGAGTTCTTGCTGGAGGTGGTGGAACTGGTGTTGCAACAGTTGGAGGTGAAGCTGGTTCACTTGGCGGATTGACATTTTCAGGAATGACTTTTAGTTTGGTTGTTGGGAATGTAATATGTGATTCAGTTGTTGGAAGAGGAAGTTTGGTAATTGGAGTTGCAACATATGTGTATGGTGTAGGGTCAGGAATACCTGAAGTGGCTCTGTCATCTCCTGTATTAGATTGCTTAGCAAATGAATGAACTGTTTGAGAATTGGAGTTGTTATCTTCTCCAGTACAACCAGAAAGATCACCATTAAGAAGCTCGTAGTTGTAGAAGATAGAGAGTTTGCGGGCGCTTCTGGCGATCTTATGAACATCCATACCATCCTTGTTTGAAAAGTAAGTAACATCACCATCTAAAAGAACGTTATCACCAGAATTTGTATTTGTGGGATTGAATGTGTCTCCACTTGTAACAGTATTTCCTTTAAAGCAGACACCTGAGGTTTCTAATCTAAGTGTACTTTCTGGTTCAATCGAAGTAAAGAGAATGGCACCACCGCCACGAGCACTGAATCTGGAAAATCCAGTTGATTTCGTGTTATATTTTCGATTAAGAGTATTGCTTTCTAATCTAACATCAAAATCAGTATTTCTTCTTGTAACGTCGACCGTATTAGTTTTGAAATGGCCTCCTTTTATTAAAAGTTCGGTTTGCATGCAGTAAATAGCACCACCACCTAACTCTGCCTTGTTTCCATCAAAAGTTGTGCCATCAATTTGGCTGTGGGCTGCATTAGAGAAGCAAAGGGCTCCACCAACGTCATGGGCGGTATTTCTTGTAAATTGACATGCATCCAGTTTGAGATACTGCTGTGAAATATCGATGTTACTTTCTTCTGATATGCCTTGAAAATAAAAGGCTCCGCCAAATTTATGAGCCATATTTCCAGTAAATAAAGTTTCTTTAAAGTAAGCTTTGCAAGCAATAAAGCAAATACCGCCTCCAATTGATGCTTCGTTGTTTGCAAATGTGGAGTTATCACCTGTAGTAGTTGTAGTCGAAATTTGAGAATGTGAGGCATAAAGAGCTCCACCACTAGCTGAAGAGATACTGGAACCGAAAGCATAGTTACCAGTAAAAGTGGCCTTCTTTAATGTAATTGTGCAATGAAAGTATTCATTAGATCTGAAGGAACTTGAAAAACCTCCACTAATTTCTACATCTCTATTGAAGTATTCTAAAAATTTCGAAATGTTTTGATCTTTCTGTAGAATATTAGTTTGAAATGCTGGACCCTGTACCTGCACGTGGCCACCAGCAGCATGAGCAGAAATAACAAAATATAAAAGCATGAAGGGTGCACCCGTATGTATGTTTATTTGAGAGGAGGATTACCCTCTCAATTTTGAGGGATTCGTTAGTTTATTTTCTCGATGAATATGCAATAAAATTTGATTTTTACCTTATCAATATACTTCATATAATATACATAGGGTTGTTAAAAATATCAAAAATTAGCGTTTTGAAGACACCATGGTGTCTTATAATTTTTCCTTCCTTATTGGCGTGTAGAAATAAATGCGCCAATAGATTGAAGAAGAAGAATTGTTTTTCTCTTAATGAACTTTAATCCTTTTGATATAAGAATATTAAAAACATTAATATAATTTCGATTTCGGAAATTAAATTTCCAAATTTTTTGTCGATTTCGGAAATAACAGGATCCCGCATCCAACACGCAACAACAAAACACAAAACACACTTTTTGGTTCTTTCATCGTTTTAATCGTAATTTATGTAATACATGATTTGGATAAATTTTACAAAAATAGAACCTATATTATATTCTTTTCAAAGATTCTTGCAAATCATCAAAAATAATTGTATTTTAAAAAACGATCAAATTATCCTTTCATTATTTTAAACTTAAATTAGTTTTTATGATTGACTAAAGCAATCATATTTATTCATCATTAAATAAACAAAAAAATAATATTTGAGAGTTATTTCAAAAAAAAAACACATTGAATTTATTAATTTGTCTCAATTTCAGTATTATAAATTTTTATAATTTCAATATTTTGAAATACACTTTTTAATATTTCAATATTTATGATATTTCAATGTATTAAGTGGTCTCAAATTGAGCTTCTCAAATATAAGTTGGCCTATTCAAATAATAAAATTAAATAATATTTAAAATAATAAATAAAAGTGATTGAGATCATAGCAAAACGGCTGTTTCAGTCATTAATTCTTAAAAATTAAAAGGGGAAAAAATAAATAAAATGGGTAAAATTCAATAGTGTCTGTGCTATCGTTCAATTTGAAGGTGTCTTTTGAAACCGCAAGACACATTGAATTTTTGAATAGTGTATTATGGTTTGACAGACACCAATGAAAAAAATAACATGATATTTATTTTAAATATATAAGATCCTTATATAAAATATAAATATTTTATCGTTTTATTTTCTTGTTTTAGAAATGTTTTTTATTGAAAAATCAATAAAACTAACTCCAAAATAAAATTTTTGATTTAAAGACACTATGATGACACCAGGCAAATCTTCTCAGACACCTATCGTCGGGAATCTAACAACCCTAAATATACACATGTTCATGTAAAAACTTTTTTCCAAAATCCTCAGGAATTAAGCGATTTTTGAATTTTAAGAATTTTTTTCGAATTTTTTCGAAAAAAAAATATTTTCAGAACAGCCTTAACGGCTAAGATTTAGGAACAATGTTAAGTATCAAAAAGAAAGGAGGTCTGATATAGACAACATATATCGTTGAAGGTTGAAAAAATCTCTAATATTTGAGCCCAAAATTTCAAATTTTAATTTTTTGAAAAAAGAGGCCACCCGTATGTACGTTTATTTGAGAGGAGGAGGATTATATCTTTGAAAGGGTGAAACATTATGAATATGTTAATTATATAATAATATGTATTATTATAAAAAAGAAAAAATAAAGCACGTTAAAATTTTTCTTTCTTGATTTTTTACAAAATCTACTTAGAATTATGCAAAATATGACTAAATAATTATAAATTTCAAGTTAAATTTTAATTTTGATAAATAATTTAAATTTCAAAATATCAAGTTCAGTTCGACTATGTATGTAGTAATTCCTCAATAAAGTGCCAAAACCCTATTAAAATATATGAACATTTTCAACATTTTAATGTTTTTATTTAAAAATTTGTTGGAATATGAGCTTCAAACAATTATTATGTAAATAAAAATAATTAAAGATATGTATTTATTCGTATTACAACCGTAGTAAGTCGATTCTTCCTTTCTTCTACTGAGTTTTGAATTTGATTTCGAATTGTAAAGAGATTCAAAGGGAAAATACTAGCGGATAAAAACTACCTCCATGAAAGGGTCATAATGGACTCAAGTTGTATTTTTTGATATTTTTTGCTTTTCGAGCCTAAATAGGTAGCCAAGATAATGCCTAAAAATAAGGTTCTAAATTCTGAAGTTTACATGATCCTCTCGTGTGACCCTTAAATTTTTTTGAAAAGTACGATAAAAGGCAGATATATTCCCCCACAATTTTTAATTCAAACATTTACACCAAAGATCATTCATTTAAATGATTTCTATAAGTTGGATTTTTCGTAAACTTCACAAAAGTCTTTTTGTTTGTAATAATAGCGGCTATTAAAATCAACATATCAGATAAAAAGAATCAATATATTTAATATTAACTTTTTTTAAAAATTTAGAAGTCACCCGACTCAATGTTCCCCATGGAGATTAATTCAAGGAGTAATAATGAAAATTTAGATTATATTAGTTGAATCAATATCATATGCTGGTGATAGCGAGTGATTTATGAGTGAGAATTTAATTTCAATATAACTCTCACTAGATTTGAGTAATAATGAGTTCGAAACTATTTAGTATTAGAAAATACAGTCCATCTATGCCAAAACGTATAATAATTTGTAAATTTTAAAAAAATATATAAACCAAAATACTTGGATAACTCTGCAGAAAGCCTAAATATGTTGCACAAAATTCCTTGGCTCTCAAATTCAGAATTGGGCTAAGGAATTTGGCTAACTTTCCAAAGGAAAAATTCGAAAGGGTTTGACTATGATAATTGTATAATACATATGATATGGGGTTGATTGGAACATGCTCATTCGTTTAAAGGTTTAACTGATTTAGCTAAAATATAATAATATATTATTTGGTATACAAATGTGAGCTTCATAGTTACCATTAATACCAATTTAATCTTGAATCATCCAATGACAGTCCATATTTTTTACCAGAAAGATTACCACTTAAATGAAAAAATCTATATAAACAGTTGTTTAATTTCTTTCTTTTTTGTGATTTCATTCGGTTTCTTTCCATCACTATCTTTTGCATCTTTATCTGCTCCATTTTCTATTAGGAATCTTGTAAGATCAACAAGACCCTTAGAACAAGCAGCATGCAAAGGAGTTCTCAGTTTTTTACCATCACTTGCATAGGAATTTACATTTGCACCTGCCATTATCAGCATTGCTACAATATCTTCCATATTTTCTTTGACGGCAACATATAATGGAGGAAGAATTTTGTCGTGAACTGGATTAGGATCTATTCCTCGAGCCAAAAGTGCTGAAACAAAATTTCCGTCACTTTTTCGGACAGCGATATCTAATGGAGTTTCTTTTCCTTCGGGAGTTACGTTCAAATTTGGCTTATTCTTTGTAAGAATCAAAAGCATATCCTTACTACCTTGTTCTGCAGCATAATGTAGCGGAGTTTTTCCTTTCTTTGATATAGGCATTGGCTTTGCCTTATATTCAATAAAAGCGTTCATCATTTTCAGATCCCCATTTCGAGCGGCAAAATGGAGAGGGGTCATTTGGTCTCTTTTTCTTAGGACATGAGGGTCCCCACCGTGCTCCAAAAGCCATACAACAACTCGCGTGAAGCCGTGGATCGATGATTCAAGCAGAGCAGTCGAATTATCATTTGTAAGATCAGGCTGATTAACAGGTATCAGACTATTGTCCATTACATACATTACTAGTTCTGGCAAAGATGTTCGAGCTGCAGCATGTAATGGGAAATAACGATTAGAATGCGAATTATCAAATGATAATCCATTGGAAATAAGATAAACAAGCATTTGTATATTCATAAAAGTAATACAATCTACTATTAATGAGAGATCTGGCTTTTGTAAGTATTTTAATGAGTAATTTAGTAAATCATATCTATGATATTTTGCAGAAGCTATAATTAAAGGCAAATAATCAGTAACCTGTGCTTCTATTTCCTTAAATATCTCAATATTTCCACCATATCCGACGTATTCGAGAATATCATTTTTGAATTCAGCTTTGTTTTGTAAAAGGAACTTAAATGATGCAATAGAACCACATAGGCACGCAAAATATAACGATGAAATTGAGTTATTTTCATATTTAATGATGGTCGAATTGATATCAAAGCCAGGCTTGGATAAAAAGTCTTTAATTCCATTTATATTATCTTCTGCGATAAATTGCTGTATTGTATCTGCCTCATATTGAACGCAGAGTTCTTCAACAGTGTTTGTTATATCTAAATCATATAAATCGAAGCCTTCTAGTGTGAGTATTTTAGAAAATATAGTATCTGGATATGTAATATTATCTGATTCTGGAGAAATTTCTAGTATTTTCGAAGCAAATTTAAATATTTCTGTTAATTCTTTTAAATAACTTTTTCTGATTGATGCAAAGTAAAAAATAACGTTGTAAATCCACAAGGCATTGCTCTTATGAGATGTACAATATTGTTTAATCGAATTCAAAATGTCTGGCAGGTTTTCTTTGCTTATATTACTTAACTTCTGAATAATATAGTTAATATCACTAAGGTAGTTCGGGATTTCCACTTTTGAAAAACTTATCTTTTGTCTAAATGCACCTTTTGATTGTTCCTCCAAAATTTAGGGGAAGAAAAAAACAGTCTATTCTGCAAAATTATGGTGAAATACAACAGCAAATTGCATAAGAAAGTATCCAATTTGGTGAAATATCTTGAATATTTGAATGAGAATAGAAAATAAAGAATGTTTTGAATAAGATTTCTTGCTACATAAGAATAACTTGGTGTTTATATTTCAGTTCATATTTCAATTCACAATTACTCTAAATGTTTTAAATAGTATCATCTCCATTTTGTTTCTACCTAATGCAATTTGAAGTACAGTTTCTCCAATTCAATTATTATCATTGGGATGCGTACAATGCATAATATAGGGGCTCATTCATTACATTATTAGTATATTCTACTAAAGTATAAAGACCATGTAATGCTCCCCAACCAAAACCTTTAAAATTAATCTCATGATGTAAATAATCTGTGAACTTAATACTTTTATCAACAATTCAAAAGCTTGATTCTGCTCTTAAAATCATGGAATACTCACAACCATTGATGATTTGGCAGGATATGCCAAATAAATATCATATTGTCACTTTTTGTGTAAATTTCTCTTTTCGGATGAATATTTCCTTAAAATCTTTAGCCCTAGCAAATGTTTTAGGGAATACATTAATCATCCATAACAAAGGAAGACTAAGTATTAGCGATTTTTATATTCAAAGAAGTGCTGCTTCTTTTATTCGTACAAATTCTTATCTAAATGTCGCAAAATCGACGTTCAAACAATTTTCGGAAACTGCTGTCATCATGGATAAAGATATGTACCAAAACAGAGATTTTGCAAACTTCATAGAAGATGTTAATTCAACGTTTGTCAAGTGTAATTTCGTTGCATGCAGTCACAGATGCATAATTTCAAAAAAATCATACGATAAATGCAAGATATTATTCTGTGTTTTCAAAGATTGCATTGATGAGAGAGAAGGTGATGCAATGGAACGAGGTGGCGGTGTTGTCTATGCTACCAACTCTTTCTTTATGGCAGCAAAATGCGAATTTACTAATTGTAGTTCATCAGGCAATGGTCAAGTCCTATTAATTAAAAGCAAAGAAATCGATATCACAAATTGTGACTTTATTAGTTGTCATTATGAGTTTAGAAATGCTGACAGCGTTGCATATACCATTTCTGAAACATCCATTATCGAAAATGTTAACTGTACGAATAGTGTCAGCAAAGGGAATGCGGGATTTTCAATCGAATACAGCCATCATGAGTCCATGTTCAAGTACTATACAGCATACAGCTTGAATGGTCAATCATCATTAACAAATAGAGTTTTCGACGCGATTCAATACGGAAATATTATTAATTGCACAGCGACACATGGATTAATCCGTAGCGATAAAAAGAATACATATATTTCGCATTACTACTTCATGAATAATCACAGAAGCCCATTAGTTAGCAGATACGTTACATTTCTTACTGCAATGAACGATTGCATCTTCCAAGATGTTGATGAGAAACCAGTTGAAAAACATCTCGCTATTGTTGGTCCATTCTACGTCAGGAATTTGACAATAACTCCATTTTCAGATCCAAATCCTCCAGTTAGGAAACTTCGAACAGCAGAGGTTCGCGGGAAAATCAGACAAGGACATCCAACAGCCGCAATCATTTGCACTGTGATTTCTATCTTTGGATTGTATTTCGCTGCAATGAAATACGGATTAATTGATTACATTTATAACTCCATCTCTTTTAACGGTGAACAAGAAATAGACTATATTAGGAAACGAATGGAAGAAAGAAAGACAAAATACAATTAATTTTGTCAATTTTGTTAATATTATTTATTTTTTTATTGTTTTTATTCTAAATAAATATATTGTTGATATTTGTTAATCTTCTCAAACAATTTAAATTATACAAATTAACTTAATTTCGAATTTATCTAAACAAATTTTCATAATGAATTTGAATCAAGTAACAATCTCACTATCATTGGTCCGAACGCATTCAGAGACAATTCAAAACGAATTTGAACTAGATGATTCCAATTATCAAATTATCGATAACATATATATAATAAGTGGATACATGCACTTAATATAATAATACCGAAACTATGCTCTGATCAATGGTATATTCAAATCAAGAATAAAATAAGTCCTGTCTAAAATCGAAGTCTATCGTCCTTTACTGATGTAGTTTTTTTTTAGGGTCCACTGTAAGGCCAAATAAGGCCTATCGTCGTCCCAAAAATATTGCTCAAGATGGTGTTTTTACTAAGGCCCAAAACTTAAAAAAACACAAAAAAATTAACTTTACTCTTTTGAGATCCTTATCAGATGTGCAACAATTTGATGCAGTATTGCAATTCGAATCCGATTTTTTAATGTAGATGTACTCTAACATTCTTGAAAAAATGCAAAATGATATTAATTAAGCTTTTCATTTCTGTATCATACACGAAACAAAATCATTAATTATACTAAAATTTATCAAAGTTTGAATAATGAAAAAAATAATATCTAAATTTTTACATTGAGTCGTCTATTGATATGGTCAATATTAAATCGTTTAAAAATGGGCATTAGCCAGAATAATACCCACTAAAATACACATTTTTTTTAAATTTTATCAATTTGTTTTGGTATATCTTTATGATAATGAATAAAATGCTTATCTTTCATAAGTCAATACATAATTTATGCTGAAACACAAAAAATAACACGAAAATTTTTGGCCAACATTTCAAAACTAAGGATAATGCTTTGAATATATAAACAATAATACTTTGTCTAGAGTATTAAATTTGTGCTATCCAATTGTCAATTCTTTGAATTTTTTATAAAATGCACGATATTCCGGCATTAGCCTCAATAAATATAAACTACATGCATCACAATATTAGGATGTAATGGCATTAAAGCGAATTTCCTAATTTCTTCTCAATTAAATTCCTAGAAAAACTTAGGAATTAATGATTGGAAATAGGTCAAAAAAATTCCTAATATAAAATTTATACTTAAATTAAAATCAAAATTCGAAAATATCTATTTTTCAAAACACGCATCCAGAAGCGAAAAAATTCGAAAAAATCATTTTCTTATAATACTCGCTGATTTTGCAATTTTTATGTGATTTGAAGTGATAGAATATATTATCATCTTACTAAAACATATACTTCATTGTTACATTCACAAAATATTAATCAGAACACTAGGAAAAGTGGATTTTCGAAAAAAGACGATAACAATTAATTGCAAATCGCCTCTCAATTTTGAGAGACTTTCAATTTTTACAGTGGACCCTTAATAATGTTATAAAAATTTGAATACCCCTATTTTATCATCAAAAAATTCAATACCTCTCAATTGAGGTATATCGAATTTTTCAATAATAATATGAATTGTTAACAAATGACAGATTCAGATGGATATGAAGGAACACTATTAAAAACTACTTCAAATGCTGTTGATTTTACATTAAACGTTGCTTGTGAAAGAATTTATGGACAATTTAATACAGACAGATGTACAAAAGGCGCATTTTTAGGAAGTGCTACAACATTAGAGACAGTCACATTTCCAGATGGATCACAGTTAAAAGAGATATATGAGTGTGCATTTTTTAGTTGTACAAAACTCGCAGCTATTGATTTTAGTAAGTGCGAATTACTTACACAAATTGGTCGATATGCATTTTCAGGGTGCACATCATTATTTAGCGTTATTCTTCCTAAATCTTTATCAACGATAACTCCATATTGTTTCTTTTCCTGCAGAATTCAATCAATATCTATTCCGAAAACAGTTAAAGCATTACAATCAGCATGTTTCCAAGACAATATATATCTTACACAAGTTGACATTCCATCTGACTCATTATTAGAAAGAATTGAATGGAGATCCTTCAGAGCAACAGGTCTCATTTCATTATTTATTCCAAAGTACGTAAATTACTTTGTAGGAAGCGTATTTGAAGAAATGAGATCCCTTACTAGGATAGAATGTGATGTTTCGAATCAATATTTTAGTTCATCAGCAGGAATATTATATAATAAGGCCCAGACAGAAATCATCCGATATCCGGGTGGATATAGTCGAACATTCACAGTTCCAGACAATGTTGAAAGAATTGGAGATTCTTCTTTTTCTAATTCAATTCTAGAATCAATTACATTTAATACTAAAGTATACTATATTGGAACTTTCGCATTCGCCTCTAACGAATTAGTTTCAATTGTAATTCCAGATAGTGTTACAGAATTAAAGAGTAATGCTTTTCAATATAATAAGAGATTGAAATCTATTACATTTGGAAGAGGATTAAAAATATTATCATATCAATGCTTTGCAGGAACTGCTATTACAAGTATTATTATACCAGAGGGAATAACAACAATAGAAATTGGTGTATTTACTAATTGTAATCATCTGAAGAGTGTAGTTCTACCATCAACAATCAAAAGGATTGGCGGAGGATGGGTAACAAGTAGTCCTGTTATTAATGTCACCGAGGGAGCACAAGTTAGCATTGATGACCAATTGATGTTCTATAATCTTGATAAATCTATCTTGAACATGTGTCTCAACAAGAGTGATTACTATCGAATTCCATCTACTGTCAAAACTATCAGCTATGAAGCATTTAGCAAGAACACTCTTTTGACACGTATTGAATTTGAATCGAGCGATAATCTCACACACATTGGTGCATCTGCATTCAGAGATGATGTTAATTTAAATTCTATCGACATTCCATCTTCTGTTGTCAGTGTTGGTGAGTATGCATTCGCAGGATGCTCATCATTAACATCTATATCCTTTGGAAGCAAACTCACAGTACTCAATAAGCACTGCTTTGATGGCTGCAGTTCTCTCGAACGCATGATCATTGGAGGTGGCAGCACATACAACATCTGGGAATATTCATTCCTGAACTGCAGAAATCTTCGTGATGTTAATCTTGGTGAAGGACTTCAAAAAATCGAGATGCAGTCTTTCAGCAACTGTGTCTCTCTCAAGTCAATTAGATTCCCATCAAGTTTAAGTTACATCGGAATATATTGCTTTTCTCTTTCAGGTATCGAAGAAGTCATATTCTCGGAGTCTAGCACAAAGAATACCATCGACGCATACAGCTTCAGCGACAGTCACAACTTGAGCCGCATCACACTCCCTCCGAACATCGTTTCCATTGGTGAGAATAGTTTCGAGCGTACAGGTCTTACATCTTTCGAAGTTATCTCCACCATTGTTAACATCTCCGACTACGCCTTCAGTGGCTGCTCTTCTCTCACAACATTCACTATCAAAAACGGGGGCGCTCTTGAACGCATTGGTACTCTTGTCTTTGATGGTTGTATATCTCTTCGCGAGATTGTTTGTAGCAGCAGCAACTTCTTCGAAGTCGACAATGGTGCTCTATTCAACAAAGGCCGCAGTTCACTGATTGTCTTCCCTCCTGCATCACCGATCAAGTACTTCAGCTTCTCTCAGAACGTTCGCAGTGTTTCATCAAGTGCATTCATTGGTTGCAAGAACTTACTCAGTGTCACTATTCCAGACAACAGCATCGAAACAATCGGACAATATGCATTTTCGAACTGTACTAACTTACGTTCGATCAACATCCCTCTTAGCGTCAAATCTGTCAGCCGATCTGCATTTTCAGGATGTGACAACCTCAAATGCGGTGTTCTTGTTGACAGCACTGACAACACATTTAGACGCAATCTCATTGATGTTGCAAAACTTCCTGCTACATCTCTTCATGACTGCTCACCTATTACATGTCGAGTTGCATCCTGTCACAGCACAATATCCTTCATGCTATTTTCTGTATTTATTATCATGTAAAATTGCTTTTTTTCCCCTCATTTTATTGCATTTAAGCTGCTTTTTTAATATCAGTTTACAAAAATCTATAATAAATCTTGACTGTAAAGATTACCTATATCAAAATAGAATATACTGTTACTATTATACTTTAAATGCTATGCGTTTTAAAAGTACCAAATTGAAATTTTAAATCCAAAGATAGACATAATTGTAAAAAACTACAATTTAATAAGATAATGATGGAAAATCTGCTCTTAGTCTGTATGTTGGAGTTTTGAATAGTGAAGAGATCACTAAGTATTTATTTTCGCATGGCGCAAATATGGATTCATTATGATAAGTTATTAAATGATATAATTCAATATTATAAACATTAAAGTAAATTTCTTATAGAGTTCAATTGTCATCAATTTTATATTTTGGATACAGTTCAATGAATTCAGAATATAATTGTTGAACATGATCTGATTCATCATCAATAACAGTATCAAATAATTCGGCATTGACTTTTTCATCGAATTGAGAAGCAAAACTCTGCAATTTAAGAAGAGTTATAATACATGAAAGAACTTTTGCGAGGATTTCTGAATCCGGCATTTCCAGGGCTGATATGATTACATCACAAACACCATCATCAATAATTTTTTCAGCCAAAGAAGAGGGAACAGTTTGTATACAATTAAATACATAATCAATAATATTTTTTCTAGTTTGGAATGAACCTGTTTCAAACGCTTCAAAAAAGAAAATCATAAATCCTTCGTTAACAAAATAAGCAGTAGCTTCAGGATCAGTCATTATATTTGCAAATATTGCAGCAACATGTTCAGCAAATCTTCTTTCTTCGCATGTTGGATCCAAAAATTCTAATAAAATTTTATATTCAAAATTAGGAATAGGCGAATCAATGTAGGTATGAATTTGTTCAATCAATGTTAATGCTGGTTCAATGACAGCTGGGTTACTTGATGAAATAAACTTTGTAATGATTTTTGGAAGGTTTTCAATTTGAATTATTTGTTCAGCTAAAATTTCAGATTTACAAGACATGCATAGAATCCATAGTCCCCATGTACTAATATTGTCATTATCAAATCGTGAAATAAAAGCACTTAATTCAATAATAATTTTTAAATCATCTTCATTCGTTATATATTTCATTAATGAATATATTAATCTGACTGTTTGAACTATCACTTCCCTTTTTGTATTTTGATCAATGATGAGATTTTTTAAAATATCAAATTCAATTTCGTTTTTAATTGTTTCGGCCGTCCTTTCTGAATAATCTGCGTAAATCATTAGAATCTTTAATGACCATTTTAAAAGTTTTGCGTTTATTTCGGCTATATAAGTGTGCAAAATTTGAATTAAATCGTTTTCCAAAAATATATCTTTGAATTTGTATTCGTCTGGTTTTATTAGATAGAATATGATCTTTAAAGCAGATTTCTTGATAAATGCATCGACATTTTCATCTTGGAGTAAGTTTATCAAAATTATTTCTATTTCATAGCTAGAAAACTCTTTTGAATAACATATAACATATTCTTGGGCAACACTTACTAATAATTCAAAATTTTCAAAGAAAAGATCGAAATTCCCGTTATGATATCCGTTATTTATTTTTGAATATATTTCAGCAAGGCTGTCTGTATCTTCAAACTCAGGTTTCATGTCATTTAAATCAATATTAGTCATATCGCTTCGTAGTTCAGGTTGACTCTCTCCTATAACTTTAATTTCCATTTCAATAAAATGTCACTTTTTTGATAAGCAAATCCTTTGCAAATGATTAACGCAAAACCTATATGATAAGATTGGCTTATTGATAACTAATTTAAAATCCAAAATATTGTAAGTATTTTTTTCATTCTAGATTCATTTGAATTTGCTTTCGTGAATCCAATGCAAAAAGGAACTAATTATCTAATTATCACATGCAAACATGTTAAGGATACTCATATCACAGAACTGCAAGCAAAGTATTTAAGTTCAATATTTCTTCGATTTTACAAATGATTTAACTAGACATCGTATTAATATTAATACCAACTAACATTTAGTTCTCATAGGTTCTTCAATGATGAAAAAAATAATTAATTTGACATGCAAATAAATGTGGCTTTATTTTTATATATAATATAAAAAATGGTATCATTTGATCCTGCCTTGTAAAAACTGGACGAGTGAAATCAAAGAATACATTTATTTGGCTTGAGCCTCGCGGATACGCTTGTAAGCAGCACGAGCTGTGAGGGCAGCTGGTGTTGTTGGTGTGTAAGCGCCACCGGCGACAGCCTTACCGCACTTTGTGCAGGTCCAGATGCCAACAGCGTTACGCTTAACGGAATCCTTGCCGCAGAAGGCGCATGGGTACTTCTTGCGCTGTGAGATTTCAATCTTCTTGATTGTCTTACGGAGGGAAGCACCATAGCGGACGCCGTACTTACCACAGATACCTACTTTCTTTGTTCTGCGAGCCATTCGAGAAAAGGACGGCCGTGTCCAAAAGTGACAAAATTCTGAGAGAAGCGATTATTTTTGTTTTTATTATTCAATTCACATTATATTTGAATAATTTTCTAATATTTAATTTTTCAAAGAAGATAAAGTTGTCACTTTTTTAAAAAAACTAATGATTTCTAATGAGAGAGAAATAGATGTGTAAATATTCTGGTATTCGTTTTCATATCATAAAAAAACACTTTATTGTATAAATAAAAATAAAATCTAGAATTGTGCAGGAACATGCAGTTCGTCAAGTAACTGTGTGAATATGCTGCAATTATTTTCCTGTCTAACGAGAACAGTATTGAAAGAACAACTCAAATCAATTTTTTCCGAAACAGGAATTGAGTAAGATTCCAAAACAGGGTTGATTGTATCAGGGCAAAGAACTGCAAAAACTCCTTTGCAACTGGCAAATGCAAGCAAATCTTTGTTTCGAAGCCAGCCAATTTTGAAATTTGGTAATATTGGACCTGAGCTTGGAAAATCGATTTTTCCAAACGGTTTCGAACTTCTTTCTTCGTAAAATTCAATGGAATTGTTACTTGCGAGACACAGATAGTGATTTACATCGGAATAAGCGAAATATTTAGCACCATTGAACTGGTATTTGATCTGTGGTTCCTTTACTCTTGGATCTAAGAAGCTGAAGCCGGATTTCGATGTCATTACAAGCAATTTCTTTTCTGGGATGTATTTGATCTTATTAATCTTCTCAATGGTGGTCCAGTTTCGAGCTAGAACACCATCATCGTAAAATTTGATCACAGAACTGTTGTGATCTTCTGAATCAGATACAAGATAAACATTTTTGTTGTAAACATCCATTATTTCAACTGGAGTTGTTTCTAATTCTTTTATTCCGTATTTTGAGCCATACATCATAGCAGTTTTTGTCGGATTGAGGGCTACAAATGTAGATTGTAATCCATGCGAAGATTTTAGCGACGAGATGTAGTAATTAGTCTTCATTGGGCCTGTAAATTCATCAACACCTTTAACATAGTAGATTTCTCTGTTTGAATTTGAGAAAATAAATCCACCGGTTGTAATTGGTGCTACGTGTTCAATTAAAGGTTGCTCATAAACGCTGTTCTCTCCTGTTTCAATATTAAATATGCCAAATGAATTCTGATTGGCTAAAAATAAATGATCATTATTAAAACATGATTTTGAAGAATTCTGGATTCTAATTGGATATTCAGTCATGCTATATTCAGGTACACTAACGTTAGGTAACTCACATCTCTGTGCTACGAGGACCTTATTGTCTGATGATAAATTTCTAAGTTGATATTCAGAGTAAATCCTGGCAACATCAAATGCATTTCTACCAGGTGTAGTACGAGCAACTTGTCTCAGTACATAATTTCTAAATTCGCTGTTGAAATCTCCATTAGATTCTAATTGTTTGTTATAAACTCCTTGTACTTTATCAATTATTTGCTGAATTTCTTCGTTAGTAACGGGATAATGCAATAAAAAGTGACCAGATCCGTAGTAAGGCAAGTAATTAATGCGATTTGCAAGTGCATAGTTACGTGTAGATTGCGGTAGATATGGCATATGAAATTTGGAACTTTTTTGAAAAGCAATATCATAAAAATGATATCTCGATCGCTCATAGTGAGAGCCCCAGATTCTATTATTAATAACTTCGACATTTCTCAAAAGCCAATTGGTCATTTCAATCCTTCCAACACCTGGTATGTATGGTTGATATGGATCTTGTTCCTTTTTAACTGCATCTTGTCTGGTTTGGGTCATAAAATTTTTGTTGTTTATTAATATTTCCGTTTCATAGAGATGATTTTCTATGCAAAGGAGCTATTTCAGAAAAAATAACTAATATGATACAATTTTCCAATTGATGTAGATATATGTGTAACATATGTCATGAGAAAGGTACATTCACTATTTTTGACAAAATTTTAAATTTTCATGGGGTTGTAAATCTTATAATAAGGAATGAATCCCAGTATAATGTGCATCATTATATTAAACACTATATGTAAGGCTAATGATTCTATTAACACTTATGAAGATCTATAGTATTTGAGCAGATAAATTTGATAATTTCCAAAACTTTTATATTTCAAAATTAAAGTGTGCGAATGCATTTAAATGAGAGCAAAAAGAGATTGATGCTGTTAAAACTAGGTGTTAATTTGCAATTATTTCGCATCACAAGAGCTACCCAGTAAATTCGGCTATCTTTCTTTGCAATTATTCTCCATTATACATATAATATAATGGTTAGGGTTTGAAGAAAAGTTACTAGAGAATTATTGACTTTTGAAATAATGCAGAATTTTACTTGAAGAAATCATTAATTTATGAGTTCCAAATTGCTAAGCATGACGAAGTATCATTAAATTTGCTACAATTAAATACACTTATTGCAGAATTAAGATTTTTGAAATTAAAAGTTTGAAATATTGCCTTTTTGAATAAAAATTTAAATTTTATTATATAATCATGATAATATCTTATAGAAATTAAAAGAAAATATTTTAAACCATTCAAATATTTTGAATGTCTTATCAATTTAAAATATTAAAAGATAGCTTGATTTTATCATAAATTTACATCGTCCCCTTTAACGGAAAAATTGTGAATTTATTTATAACGTTTACATGCGGTTTTGTGAATGCGTTCGAAATAAAAATATCGAGTCCTTACATGTTGACCAGAAAATATTTTATTCGTAAAGAATCTGAATAATATCAAAAAAGTGACGAATTAAGAGTATCATTATTGCGTTAATTTTTTCTATTTGCCATTATGAGTCATACAATCACCGAAACACCCCCACCCCCAAGCTTCAAAGTGAATTTTTCTTCCATCTTCAACAATGATATTAAACTTTCTCCTTTTGCTGAAGAAGGCAAACAACAAAAATTTATATTATTCAATCGCGTTCCGGAAGAAATTTTAACACGCTTAAAAGAATCAAATTATAACGAATTATTACAATTTAACAGAAAGAGTCCAGTTGATTCTTTTGATGAAATTTGTGAATTAATTGACAGCCTATCAGAAGAAGAACTCCTTAAAACAAAGAAGAAACTCCTTATCGATTTCCAGTCATACATTAAGGTTAGAATTCCTAACAAGACTTCTTTGAATCTCACTAGCAATTGGCCTCCACAGGTCCCTAGACTGGTTGCGCAGGTCGACCTTGTACTTAATTTGCTTATCAGACTTTGTCTACACTCAAAGAGTCCAGAAAAATTCTTATTCTGGCTCACAAACACGATTTATCCAAAGCAATTCACAAGCACATCATGCTTAATCAATTCAAAGATCTGCGCTATCTGCAGATGCATTATCCCACCAGATAAAAAGGCTTACTGGGCTGTTCTCGACAATGATCATATTTTCAAGCTTTATTTACTCAGAAAATCCGGTACAGAGCTTGATTATCAAGGCGAAGTCAGCAGAATTCGTCTTGACGAAGATCAGCAGTCGATTATCTTAACAGATACCAACAATATCGACGTCAGAAGAATTATGCCAGTTGACATCAACCAAGCTCAAATGTGGGGTGCTGCTCTTAACAGACAACATTCACCATTCCCATACTTCTTCTCTTCATATCAAATTCCTTTACCACAGGAATATTATCCTGCCCTTTTCGAAGCAATTACATCCTGCGATCTTATCATTCCAAGATGCGTTGCACATCCAACTGTCACACCACCAGAAGAATACGAACGTAGCTACGAGTTAATGGAAGCTTTGTTAGATTGCTACGCACACCTCGGCCGTGTTTCTTCATTACTTCAAGTTTTAGTATCTCTTGAACTTACATTAGTTAAAGATTCCTTCAACTGGTTCAGGAGTCCATCAAATCTCGGAATATTGGCAAATATTTTCTTTGCTCGTTACGGAAAGCCATACTTTGACAACTTCGTACAAAAATTACTCGATTACGTTAATTCCAAAGACGTTTTCGCCAAGGGATTGAACGCAAATCCAGATGCTGTTAAAGTTCCATTGTTTACAGCTTTAAAGCTCATTTATTCAAGCGGAGGCGCTCTTACACCAGAAATCAAGCACTTCTCTCAAGTTTTGTTCGCATATTCTGCAATCAAATTCAACAAAAAACAAGATGTCTTAAATGTCCTTGCAAACTTCTATTTATCTCGCTTAATACTTGGAACAATCCAGCAGCCAGAAGTTTACGGCAGCCAAACCCAGAAATCTCCAAATCTTAAAGGATTTATTGATATCATGAAAGTTGTCTTCTCATTTGGCTCCTTCTCAGGACACCTTGAGCCATTAAACGAAAGACTACAAAAGAACGTTTATCCGAAATTCCAGTTATTCTTACTAAATGCAAGTAAACCAACAGCTCCAGAGCCAAGCTACGAACCAGTTACACAGGAGAGGTACACAAAGATGATAGAATCCGTTCTTCGCGCCATTGCATTCAAGAAACCAGGCCAAAAGGGTGGATCTTTCATTCAATTTGTACAAAGGTTCAACGAAGCCGCTCAAGCTGATTTCCATGAATCTCTTCCTATCTTCAACAACCTCCACTACTTCATTGCTCAATTCTTCAGCTTCAGAACCGATGAAGATATTGTCCAAGCAATGAACAACGGAGAAGATGTTGAAGCACCAATGAACTACTTCGAGGAAGACAAGCCAAAGCAGGAGCCACGTATCCAGTCACTTTTGCCACCAGCCGAGATCATTCCAGCACAGCCAGAGCCACAGCAACCAGCAGAACCACAGGCAGAAGTAACTGCAGGTGTTGCGCTTAAGAAGTCCGCTGGAAAGAAGGCTGCAGGAAAGAAGGCAGCTCCAGCCAAAGGAGCAGGTACAGCAAAGAAAGCAGCAGGAAAGAAGGCAGCTCCAAAGAAAGCTGCAGGAACAGCAAAAGGCGCTGGAACAGGTACAGCAAAGAAAGCAGCAGGAAAGAAGACAGCTCCAAAGAAGGCTGCAGGAAAGAAAGCAGCTCCTAAGAAGGCAGCAGATGGAGCAGCTCCAAAGAAAGCAGCTCCTAAGAAGGCAGCAGATGGAGCAGCTCCAAAGAAAGCAGCTCCTAAGAAGGCAGCAGATGGAGCAGCTCCAAAGAAAGCACCAGCTAAGAAAGGAGCTAAGAAGGCCGCAGGAAAGAAGGCAGCTCCTAAAAAGGCTTGAAAGTGATAGCATTTTAGAGCGTAATCATATATTGTTGTAAAATTTATCATTATTTTTTTCCCTCATTAATCAATATTCATTAGTAGTATATGAGTGCGGGTTTTGTGACTTTTTTTGTTACATCTATATATAGACGATGCATTAAAATATAATTTATAAACACATTAAAAAAATTAACATTAATTTTAAAATAATTTATTTTTTTATCTTTTATAAAAGAAGCTATATATAGATGATGTCAGATATTCCGCGATTAATTAAACATTGTTTAAATCCTGAATGGGTTAAACTTCAATTTAAAAATGAAGATTGTGAATTATTAAATGAATATGAAAGCCAAAATAAGCTAATGAGGTATAAATATAATGATAAAGAATATTTAATTTCATGGAATCAATGGAGTCATAATCAAAGACCTCATAAACGAGAAGAAGAAATTGAAAATAATGAAATGGAAATCATTGATGACATTAAAGAGGATGGAATTCCTAAATTTTGTAGAAAAACCTTAGAACTAAGTTAGGAGCATATAAACGTAGAGTATTAAATCCTGAATACATAAAACATTTATTTAAAAAGGAAGACTGTGAATTATTAAACGTTAATGAATATGAAAATGCTAAATCAAATTGAAATAAAATATATTGGAAGTGATGAAAGGTGTAAGATAAAGATAAAGTTTATACAGTTTCATATAATAACTGGCACACGTTAGGGATAAGAAAACATTTAGGAGATTATGGTAAAAGTTCTGAATTCTTTAAATCTAGTATGTACGAGAGAGTAAAAGAAATTAGAAATAATTATTTTCATGAATAAAAAATAAACTTTAAAAATTCATGTCTTACATTTTTGAATAATTTATTTTTTTAATTTGTATGAAAATGAGTGTCAAAACTAACAACGTTAAAAAATTAGGATTCACAAATGAGGAAATAAAGGATATATTGAGGAAGCGGGTTATGAGGTTAGTAAATATTATTTAAGAAATTGTCAAAAATTCGCGGAGTTTTAAATGAGTTTGATTATGATTAGAAAAATGAATAAAGATGGATTTATAATTTCTTATATCCCACATCTGAAGAAGAAAAACCTAAAGAACCTGATGTTTTCCCTGAATATTATGAAGAACGGATTAAAGATGATGAATATGATGAAATGAAAGACTGGAAAAAATAAGAGATGAAATAGATGAAAAAATTAAGGAATTAAGAGAAGTTGAAAAATATAATGAAAATGAAGTAGAGGGTTTAAATGAATATCCCAGCTTCAGAATCAGCAGTTCAAAAATCTCATGAAGAAAGATATTAAAAAATTATGTCTCAGAATCAACACAAAATTTATTAGATGGTGAAATAGACGAAACACTTTCAGAAGAAGGTACTAAATTTATTCGTAAACATAAGTTACAATTTATTGATAATGAAGAATACCCTTGTATCTTACTTTCACCTCCTCTTGATTCTGAGAAATTCAAAAAAGCACTGAAAAATGTAACATATGCAACAAATACGATTAAGAAAGAAGACCATGATATTTACACAAATTATTATTTAATAATGCACAGGTGTTGATAAAGTTTTTGATTTATTAGATAAAATATCAAAAGAAACCATTGTACATATAAAAATTTTGTGTGATTGCGGTTTCATTATTGAAGATACCAATAATGTTTCATATGAAAGAACAGCACCGAAGGAAGACGAAGTGGAAAGGTCTATACCATTCGTTATTAAGAATATAAAAAGATATGAAAACGCTATAAGCATTATATTTATTCATTTATTTCAGAAAAAATGGAAGCAACCCATAAAACATCATCTCATCATTTTATAGCTATTCATACATTCCTTTTCAAAGTTGTGTGAAATTAAATAAGACAGGAATTAGATTTAATGTATCAGGTACGCATTCTTGAGTAAATTAAAATGTATTCATACGTCGCAGATGATAAAAATTTATGTGTTCTTAATTCATTTTATGGACTTTAGCCTGGACTTTAAAAAAATAAACTTTATTTATTATTATTTTTAATTTTTATTCTTACATAAATGAACAAAAATGGAACAGCTAAAATGAATGATAATCAAATTAGCAGCAGAAGTAGAAGGTTATTTAAACGCTTCTATAACTTCCTGATGGTGTTAATCCTAAAACTCGTAGAAGCTATTTAAATGAAGCAATAGATGCATATGAAGGGTTTGACATTTCATCAGAAAGTGAGGGTTAGCAAGAATGTTAAACGTTAATATTGATTTTTATTATGTGACCCTCAACCAGAAGACGTAGACATTAACAAGGGTAGACTTTCCATTAGTGGAATCAATAATGATAGATCCAGAATTTGAAACAGTAAATATTTTATTAACACAGAGTCCATGTGGAAAACTTCACGCTGACAGAATAAACAGACGTTGAAGCACTCACAGGGATATAAAGTTTGCCCCTTTTGCAAAAGAAGAAGTTTATTCTATCCGTGATGATCCAGAAAGGAAAAACCAAAGAAGATTTTTAAAAACATTGTGAGAAATGTAAAGAAAATAATGGAAGATTAATTCAAGACGTTCAATTGCAAACACACAACAACCATATGCACCACATATCACGAAACAGAAGATATATCAATGGCTATTAGCACATAATTTGCAGGAATATTATAAACCAACAGATATTATATTACTTTTGACTTCGAAACATTAGAGACTAAAGAAGAACTTCAACTTTCTGAATGTGCAACTTTGAACGCTTACTTAAAACCATTTATGGTATCATCAACTGTCAAAATAAAGCCGCAAAGCGGCGAGGTCGTAGACCGTGATAAAACATTTACGAGGAATTTTTGCTTAACTTCGAGTGATTCTTTTATTTCTGATTGGATTGAGTTTTTATTTTCAACCTGTTCATTAGTTGCTAAATCAAATATTGAACAAATATGAAGAATTAATGAAGCCGCAAACGGACCAAACGGCGGGGACTTTGTCTCATACATTAAATGAGAAACAAAAGGAAGCAATGAAAGAGCTTTAGATGAAGAATTTAATAAAGTGAATATCATAGGTTTTAATTCGGGAAAGTTTGATTTAAATTTAATTCTTCGTGATTTAAACACTGCAAAATGGAAAATAAAATCAATGCTGGGTTCATCTTCTCAATTTAAGCAAATCATTGTAAAGAAAACAAACTGTCCATATGAATTAAGATTTATTGACATCAGAAATTATATAGCGGGTGGAACATTAGACCAATTCACTCAAGATTTCGGAAACAATAAATCACGTGTTAAATCCTTTTTCCCTTATCAATTCATCACGTGGGAAATTACGAAGATGAATTATATAAAAAGGAACCATTCACGAAAGATTCATTTTATTCAGCATTAACTCAAGAAACTATATCCGATTCAGATTATCAAATATATCTCAATGATGCTAAAAATTTTGAGAATAGATTAGAATATTTTATTCATTATTGCAATAAAGACGTTGAAATTATGATTGACCCAATTGATAAAATTATTGAAGAAACATTTGTTTATAAAATTGACATGCTTCATAATCTTTCTTTATCATCGAATGCATCAATGATTCGTTACGCGTTAGCATATAAGAACTTCAATCCTAACGAAACATATCCAGAAGAAGAAAATGTGGAATCAAGTTTTGAATTAACGAAAAAGTATTGGAAATATAAAATTGAATCATATAAGAAACAAGATGAAAAAGCAGAAAGGGATACTAAAAACAATGTTTCAATGGATGACTATCAATACTATCACGATTTAATCCTTTCATCTAAATGCAAAATGTGTGGTAAAGCGTTTACATATGCTAATAAACCAACATTGGATAGAATCGATAATGAAAAACCACATACCAAAGAAAATTGTCAGTTAATGTGTTGTTATTGCAATGTCGTAAAATCAAATAAAGATGAAGATGTTCAACGTTTAAGAATCAATTTAAGAAATTATGCATTAAAAAATAATTTACCAATGACTTTAGATTCAGTTGAAGCTTATCACATTCTCCGTAATGGAATTACTGGTGGTCTATCAAATGTTCAACATCGTGTTAATCTTAAAGGAATCACGCACATTAATAAACTTTCATATAATCCAGAAACTAAAACTGTATCAAATGAGGACACCACCAACATTATGACTCATTTCGTTGGAGTTGACTTTAATTCATTATATCCTTCTTCATCATTTTCATCTAATCCTCATGATTTCATTCAATATACTGACCATAAAATGTATATGCCGGGAAGATTGAATGGTGTTATCATTTGTGATACAGCAACAAAGAAAGCAAAAGCACTGGGAATAATTAGAAAGAAAAATACTTTATTCGTGGCTGAAGTAAAGGGTCACATTGATGAAAAATACATTAATGATTACATAAACTTTTTACCAATAATAAGAAACTTAGATATTATCACAGATGAAAAAACAATTGGCAGTTTTATGTATAATTACATGAAATCAAACAATCTACCAGTTGACCAGAAACAGAGAAAATTAACTCAGTTAGCATCAACACACAACCAATATCAACCATTTTCTTCTTATTATCTTGGTATCTAATAGACAGATTTCATTTTATCATTGATGATATTCAATCAATTTTAACATTTACGAAAAACACTTGCTTTAATGAATTTGCGAACGAATTTATGAACGAAAGACAAAAGGCTGAATTAGAAGGAAATAAAGGAAAAAGTTTATTTTGCAAGATTTCACTTAATGGATCATATGGTTACGATGCAATGAATACACAAAATTACGCAAAGACTAAAATAATGAATGCACAGAAGGCACGCGTTGCATGTATGTCAAATAAGTTTAAAAACATAAGAGAAATAGGTGAAGATACGTATCAAGTGATGCTTAAAGATAGATTTTATAGATGTGATACATGTTTACAAGAGGCATTCTTCACTTTAGATAACGCAAAATACTGGTATTTGGTTTTCATTTATGATTTTATGTATAAATGCATGAATGTTAATCGTTTTCATTTCATTGAAGGTGATACTGATTCATCTTATTGGGCAATCGCTGGCGACCCAAATCTTCCTAACACTCAAGCATTTCAAGCAATTGTTACCGATAAACAATTTTATGATAAAAACATTTACAAATTCGCACCTTTTGATTTCTTCTGTTTTGATGAGAAATTTAAACCTAAATTAAAGAATAAAGCTGAAGAAAAAGCACATGAGAAGAAGTTATTGGGTTTAGCAATTGAGAAACAAGGTGATAACATGGTTGCTTTATGTCCTAAGTGTTATACATCATTCAACGGTTCAATTGATGGAAGTGATTTTAAAAAGATTGCACAAAAATGAAAGGAGTTAGTTTACGACAAAATAAACAATTAACACCTAAAAATTATTTGGATATAATAAATGATAAAGTGATATTTGATGGTCAGAATATTAATTTACAACTTAAAAATGGGTCAATGACTCGCTTACAATTGGTAAGACTGCATTAACAGGAGCACACACTAAGGCTGTGTGTTGTGAAAATGGATGTTGTATGCCATTTATTTAATAAAATGCCACAGAAGAGACAAAAGGAACCGTTAATATGTTTTTGATACTATGATTCAAAGAGGTGGGCACCCTTAAAACATTTATTTTATTTTTATATAAATGGATAACTCAGATTTAGAAAATTTAATTGATGATTTAGTACTTAATCAAAAATTTCTTAGTTATTATGATTTAAAAGCATATCTCCAAAAATATAATAATAATATAACGGGTGATGATATGGAATATTATTCCATATTATAAAAATGAAATTTTGAAATATCATGATAAAATAATTTCTAAAATTAAAGACAAAATTAAAAATAATGAATATTCAAAGGGAAAAACTAAATCACAGCTTAAACAGTTGAAAGATTTCAAAAATAAAGTATTAACAGAAGAAGATATTGATGAATTATATAAATTATATAATCCCAAGCCGCAAAAGCAAAAGCAAAAGGAGCAAAAACAAAAGGTGCAAAACGCCCAGGTCCTTCAGACCATAAATGATGCACAAGCTTTAATTTATGATTCATTAGTTAAACCATATTCAGCCCGACTTTTAAATGAAGATCAACTTTTGGAATTCATCCTTCAACATAAACTCGAAGCGGGAAAGTATATTAAACCTTTATATACAGCATATTTAAAACAAATGAATAGAATACATCCAGAATTAATGAAGGAAGGAATGAATTCCAAAACTTCATCATCCAAAATCAAAGCAGATAAAATTAAACCACTTGCAACACCAAAATCTAACGACAGTACCTGCAACTTCCTTCAGTTAATCCTTCATCATTCACTTTATTATATCCATTTCAAACATTTAAGAAGCAAAAAGATTTTAAAAAGGATTTCAAGATATTAAATAAACCAATTGACCCAAAAATTCAACCATTAAAGGAAAAATTTAGTCGCCCTTCATTTGCACCATATCCATATTCATATGAAATCGATCATCTGGAATATTCAAAAGGAAACGTTACTTATTTATTTGCCATTAACATTAACACTAGATATTTATATTGCATTCCGGTGAAAGGGAAAACAGAACAGGAAACAAGAAGAGCTATTCAATACTTACTAGATCATGAAAGAGTAGATAATATAAGGGGTGATGGTGATAAAGGATTTCAGGCAGCTATGACTCATTATTTCCCACAAATTAATTTTTACTTTTCATCCTCTCCATATACGTTTCATAATAAAATAGTTGATGCAGTAATGAAACTCTTAGAGATGCGTTAGGGGTTAACGGTCAGATATACTGGGATGGAAATCATGACTCCATCATACAACAGTTAGTATATTATTACAATAATACATGGCATAGAACAATAAACATGAAACCGGTGGAAATGAAAAATGATATTTCAAAAGAATGGGAATATATTAGAAAGCAAATGGAAAGGTTGAATGATGTTAAACGTGAACAAATTAATTCAGGACTCATGAATTTTAAACAAGGGGATAAAGTTTTGATTCATCTCGATTATGGAAAAACTAATAAATCAATGACAAAAAGAAGACGAAGATTTGACACAATAGCTGAATTTGTTAGATATATTAACGGCAATACATTAGTTGAGGTTAACAATAAATTAATAGAAATTCCGATTTATTTTATTACTCCATTATATTTAAATAATATTTAATTTTTTTATTTCGTAAGAAATGAGTGACAACGAAGCAGTCAAGAGTCCAGACAATGAATATAAAAAGAAACTAAACAGAATTAAATCAAAAATATGCTATTACAAAAAGAAGTCGCAATGTGGTGGGGTTGAAAATGATAAAGAAATAATCGAAAAATTAGAAACTTACCGTTCAATCATTAAACTGAGTGAAGCAAAAATAAAAGAATTTAATAGAATAAATAAATTGATTGGAAGAGATGAATTTAATAAAGATGAATTTTTAAACTCTATCCAAATTTAATTTTTATTCCTCTTCGACAACATCTCTCTTCCATCATTACTGCATAACCACATTTTCTCAATTTTAGTGGTTTGTTATTTTTAACATGTTCTTGCATCATTTTTATCATTTCCTCCCTTGTTATGATTCGTGGTAAATTTTGAGCTTGTGGGGTATTCATTTATGATAAAAATAAAAATTTGTTATCACTTATTTTATCGTTAATGTTTTAGGTTATTCAATAATTAATTATTTTTGAATAACTGAAGGGGTCACCAGGTCACCAGGTGGTCACCAGGTAATTTAACTTCTCTGAAAAAATGTGACAACATGACATTTTGACAACATCACAGGAGGAAGGCAGTTATGACTTATTTTTGAATAACTGAAGGGGTCACCAGGTCACCAGGTGGTCACCAGGTAATTTAACTTCTCTGAAAAAATGTGACAACATGACATTTTGACAACATCACAGGAAATATGATGCAGTCCAAAAATAAAGTTAGTTTTAAAATTGTTTTTATTTTTTTATTCCTATATAAATGACAGCAACAAACAACAGCAACAACTATATCGTTTCTGATGAAAAAGTTATTGATTCATTAGCTGAGGAATTAGTTGTGGCAGAAACTAAAACCCTCAACGAAAGAATTGGTGAAAACAAGATTGATTTACATAACTACCTCAAACACGATGGAGGAAGAGGAAGGAAAACTGGTATGGCTTTATTAGTAAATAAAATTTCAAATTTAACGATTATAGATGTTGATATCAATAAATCATACAATGATGAACTTAAAGAAACAGTTAGAAAAGATATTTTATCAAAACTTTCGGATAAAGATGTTATCGTTAAAACCGCTTCAGGAGGTCTTCACATTTATTGCAACACTAATTTCTTCTATTCAACCTCGAACAGAATGATTAAATGTTATTCCTGCAATGATTATGATATTGACATAATGACTTCAATGGATGATTCAAAGCGTTCTTTAGTAGTTATGGCTGATTCAAGAGTTCGCAAGAATGCAACAGAACCAATCAATACATACTCATTCATTCGTGGAAGTTATGATTCAACATTAACCAGAACAGTGAATGATATATTAAATGATTTGAATATTAAGGTAAGAGTTGAACAGAAGAACGAAGAAATAAAGACTATCATGAATGAAAACAAAGATGTAAACATTGACGATAAACTAGCTCAGAGCATAGTTGATGGCATCTGTGATTTTGAAGTACATAATGATGGTGGAAACATGAATTTAGAAAAAGAAATAACCTTATTCACACTGTTTCAAGCAATTAATTCGTTACCTAATCATTTAATTAATGAAGCATACGATAACGTTTATAATTCTGCAATTTAACTGAAAATGCAAAAAGTAATTTTGAAAAAGCACGTAATAGATATGCACATTTAATGACTTCTCCATTTGTTTTGGTGAAGATTCTAAAACTATATCAAAAGGAATATTATGATGAATACGTTTTACCTTTATTACGTAAGCCAAAAATAACATTTGATATCAAACTTGATGACTCGTTTTTGATAACAGATATTAGACGCAAGGCTGAAAATCATCAGTATAAAAACAGTTCTGAAGTAATTGAGGATTTATCACGTGTAATCCGTTTTGTAGATTGTGGAAACAAATACTTCATTCAGAAAGATTACAACATACACGACAAAATGAATCAAATATCATTTGTTCTTCAATCAAACATGAAAGAGTCACTCAAAATGATTAAATTATTTAAAGAAGAAGGTAAAACAATAACAGCATGGGATGTACTACTAAATCAATTGTCTTCATTAACCGTTAAGGGTGTTTGCTTTAAATCTGATTCCCCCGATGTTTTCTCAATGTTTCATGGTTATAAATACAACATTCTTGAAAAGCCTGATTACTCAAAAATTGAGATGTTTATGAATTTCATTAAAGAAGCCATTTGTGATAATAACGATGAAGTGTATAAATACCTTCTCAGCTGGATTGCATCAATGATTCAACATCCTGGAATCAAGAATGAAACAGCAATTATTTTGAAAGGACTTCAGGGAACAGGTAAAAACAGATTCACAGACATTATTTCTGAACTTCTCGCTGGTTATTCATGTAAAAACATTACCGAAATAAGTGAGCTAACGGGTAATTTCAACTCAGTAGTTGAGAATAAAATGTTTCTTGTACTTAATGAACTCAAGAATGTAGGTGAAGACAGACTCGCAAACTTCAACGCTTTGAAATCAATTATAACGGATAATGAGATTAGAATTAATGAAAAGAATCAACCCAGAAGAACAGCTCAGAATGTTGCAAACTTCATTTTCGTAACTAACAACGTTTACCCTGTCAAAATTGAAGTTGGAGACAGAAGATATGTAGTTTTAAGAGTTAATGGTAAATTCAAGGGTCAATTTGATTACTTCAAGAATTTGATGGATTCATGCACTAAGGAATTTTATGATAACCTTTTAACATATTTTATGCAATATAACCTTTCATCATTTAATGTACGAATCATACCGATGACTGAAGCCAAACAAGATTTAATTGAATTATCAGCAAATCCTTTAGATGTATGGATAAATACACATTATGATGAATTGTGTGCGGGTATGACGTGTAAAAATGCTCTATTCTGCAAACCATCAGACATGAAAGACAAAAACTTTCAAATGAGCATTAAGGATAAATGTGAAAGGAAACAAAGAAAAATAAATGGTAAACAGACATGGTATTATGTTTTGAAAGAAGAAATGAAAGGATTATATAAACAGGTTGAACCAAACGATAATGAGGATTCATTTACTGACGATGAAATACCTGTAAATGAAGCTTTATAAAGTATGATTTGAATTTATTTTTGCATTAATCCTTTCATGACTGTTGTCAAAATGTCATGTTGTCACATTTTTTCAGAGAAGTTAAATTACCTGGTGACCACCTGGTGACCTGGTGACCCCTTCAGTTATTCAATAATTAATTATTTTTGAATAACTGGGAAATAAATTTACGTCAAATATGCAATTTATAAAATCTTATGTCGACAGGCTACGTAGCACAGTGGTCTAAGGTGGTGTTATGGAGGGGTTAGGGTCTGTGGTTCGAACCGCGACGGCGCCGTATTTTCTTATTTTCTTTGTTTGTCTTGTTTGTCGTGAATAAAAAGTATCATAAAAGTGCTCTATCTTCCACGGGAATAAATAAAAAATTTACTTTATTTCTTCTTTATTTCTTCTTTATTTCTTTATTCCCGTGGAAGAAGGGTTTTGCTGTTTTTCTCAGCCGAAATCAATGATTTTTTCATTTTTGATCATTTACGCTCATTACGAAGAAATCATGACAAAGAATATACGATGAAGAAATCATGACAAATCATTTACGCTCATGTTTGACAAAGAATATACATTCATTACGATGAAGAAGTCATGACAAAGCATAAACGATGAATGATCATGACAAAACATTAACGTAAACATTTATTTCCTATGTTGTTGTCAAAATGTCATGTTGTCACATTTTTTCAGAGAAGTTAAATTACCTGGTGACCACCTGGTGACCCGGTGACCTCATCAGTTATTCAAAAATAAATAATTATTGAATAACCTGAAAACATTAACATTAACATAAACATTAACATAAACATTAACGTAAACATTAACGATAAAATATATTTCTGCAGTTCATCCATTACTTCATTACCTAATTAATTACAGACATAAAATATATTTAGTTCATTCAATAAATGCGGTACCATGCAAATACAGTCATAAATGGTGGCATATAATCTTCACCCAAGCCTGTTGGATTTGTTGTGAAAGTATGGACATGATTTCCTCCTGGTTCAGTTGGTCGAAATGTCTTTTTTGCTGAATGGTTATAATCTGGAGATAAAACATCATAGCCAGCATAATATTCTGAGTTGTATAATGGGTGGTCTCTTAATGAGTGGCTATGGTCGCCAGAAAAGTTTGTAGTTCCTGTATGAGTGTGCGGGGGTAAGTTTGCTTCAGTAATTTTCTTCGAACCTCCTGTTTCCTTTGAAGAGTTTGCACAATAGAGGAATTTATCTACAATCTGCTTCCACGTACCGAAACCCAGAACTGTTGCTGGATTTGTTGAGTTCATTGACGTATAAATAGAACCAATGGGGTAAATCATCTCAAGAATTGTATTTAATCCATTATGAATATTGAATTTATTATATAATATTGAATTTGGGTGAGTATTTAAAACTGGTCTTGTTATCAATATTAACGTATTATTTTTGAAAATTGCTTTTCTAACATCTTGAAATTTTGTGATTTCAGACCAGTTTCTTCCATCACTACTGATATTTACTAAATCACCACATCCTAAAGCAATGAAATACCCATCAATATAAAATAAATTTGTAAATCTATAATTTTGAGTAAATTTTGGAGTGAATGAATAAACCAATTCCCAATTTGATAAATCCTGTGATAAATAAATATGTCTGTTATAACTTACAGGATATGAATAGACCATTTCACCTGAAACGAGAACATAAACATTTGATCCATAACATAAAGCTTCAATGTCTCCATCAGCTTGAAAAATTTGTTCAAATTGACCTTGTGGTATTGAAGATGATCTATAAATTTTATCATTTTGTAGGATAAAATACATGTTGTTAATGTAATACCACTTACTTGTATAATCAATTTTCAAATCTGATGACATCATACTAAACATATAATAATTTCCCATCCTCACTAATGAAAATTTGATTGACTTCATAAATTAGTACCCATTTATTATTAACGCATCTAATAGGATTATTTGGAAATTTAAATTTAGCATCTTGATTTAAATTACATTTGAACCATTGGATACAATCGAATGAATAACAAGGGCAAAAATCATCTCCAACCGTTATCATTCCCATAAATTTACCGTTATTATATTCAACATATAAAATTCTTGGATTAATGATTGGCTTTCGTGTATCAGGATTCAAAACAGATGGAGTAAATGATTCATAGTTTTTAAAATCATTTGTTTTAAAATAATAAAGCACTCCAGCTGTATAAAATAAATACATGGTCACTCCATCGAAACATATCCATTCAAAAGAATCTATATCAAAGGTTTTATCTGATGATTTCATAAAATTTAAAAATGGTGGAGTAAAATAGACCTCTGATTGTTTTATTTCTTCATTAACAAATGATATATCAGCTTTCTTATTTAACTCACTATCCACATATTCCTTATCTGCCTTCTTCTCTAACTCATCGTTAACATAAGTTTTATCTGCTTTAAGGTCTAAACATCCTGAAACCCATCCTGTATCAGCTTTAGTTTTAAGAATCTTCGATGTCCGTTCATGATACCATTCAACCCTTTCTATAATTTCATTATCTTTTTCATTAACATATTCCTTATCTGCCTTCTTCATTAATTCACTAACCACAAGTCCCTTATCTGCTTTCTCCTCTAACTCACTATCCACATATTCCTTATCTGCTTTCTTCATTATGTCATTTAGGAAACCTTTTATGAATTCCTCATTTAAATTAAATCTTCCAATCTTCAAAACTTTAGGAAATGCATTTAATGCGTAATATCTTTGTTCTTCTGGTGGAATTGATGTTATATCATCCGTTATACCTTTAATTTTTGAATTCATAAATAAAATTTCTTTTATATTTGATATCACCGCACCACCTTTGCAAACGAATTCGAAATGGTCATTTTTCAATACTATCTCCAAATCTCCATATTTCAACATTTGCGTTTGTTCTGCCGTCTTTGAATTATATGCATATATGGCGTATGTAATGGTCTGTGCCTTAAGTTGTTGTGGTTGCTGTTGTTGTTTAATCATTTATTATGATTTAAAAATAAATATTTAATCTGTTATCTCATCAGCTATTTTTTCTATTTGAAATTGCCATAATATTTCATTCATGAATTCTAAATCACAATCAAATAGGTCGGTTACTCTAAATTTAATATTTGATAAATCTTTTGAATGAAGAATAAATGAATTCCCGGATAATTGAAACGGATATGATAAAGAAAATATGTTTAAGTTGATGGATAAAATGTTTTGTATTGATGGGTAAGAGTTAGGGTCTAATGTTTGATGTGAAAATCTCATTGGGGTATTAACTTTATCACATTTGATTAAAATGAAATTGGAACCAGTGTCAGAATACAAAACATCCCCAACATCTTTTCAAAAATTTAATATCCCCAACAATGAACGAAGATGAGGAGTACAAAATTTAATTTTCAGCGGAAATTTAATAAGGTTATTTATTTCATCAAGTTCAAAAAGTTTATCAGGTTTTGATTTAAAATTTTCTTCATACCATACGATAAATGATTCATTTAAATAACTTAAAATCGTGTTAATATCCCATTTCGTTATCACATTATTTATATACATATCATACGTTTTTTCATGGTCACCTTTAATAAATGATATATAATCTGAAGGGTCTAAAAGAATGGGATTAAATTTACCACTCACAGAAACGAGAGTAACATTATAAATTCCACTAACTGTTAAATTTAATTCACAACTATTATTCGAAATAATATTGATAATTGACATTTTTATTACGATTAAAAATATGGTAAAGCGTTATTTTCCAGTGATAAATAAAACTAGAATAAGATTACCTCAAGAATTCATAAATTCAACGAATAAGAAATTCATTCATGTTATAAATTTCAGTGTTTTCAGAAAATATGAGTCAATGTCATATTCATCATCGGGTTATATTTCACTTCATTCAAATTTAGTTCAATCAAACCCATATAATGACCATTTCATAAGATTTTCAGATGGTATTAAAAATGTAATTGATAGATTAAAATATGAACAGATTGACAATATCGAATTTTTGGAATTTTGGTTTAAATATCCTGATGGAAAAAAGATTGAAGTTAAAGATAAAGCTGATACTATAACAAAAACAATTACAATGACCGATCCAGATAGTGGGGAACAAAAAGAAATAAAACAAACGATAGAAACTGGTGAAAGGTCAATTATTATTGATTATGATTCAAAGGATTATTATTCAATAATGTTAATGCTTGAATATTAAATGGCCTTAACAAAGAATTTTTCAAGTGATATTTTATATTCATCAACTATTTTATTATAAATATCATTATATGTTAAATGAAGTTCAGTTGTTGTTCCGTTCTTTGATATCTTAATTGTGCTAATATCCTTTATAGGATTTATTTTTGCAACTGTTCCGCAGCATGAAACCTCATCATCTATGAAAAATTGAATCTTAACGTCTGAATCTTGAACATCACAAAGAATGGCGATAATGTGAATTAATGATTCATAAGGTAAAATAATTAAACCGGATTGATCAATTAAATTTATTATTGAATCATAATTATCAGTTATTATATCACGGTAAATTTTCATTAATTCAGAATTAATGTCTATTTTATATGGCGCATTGCGACTGGAATCGTATATTCCTGGGTTCTCGATGTTTGATGAAAGAGGTGGGGGTATGTTGGATATGTGGGATTTCAACAGGTTCTTTACCGGGTTCAGATAAAATGATTGGGTCTCCATTCTCATGGTTTTCTTCATTCTCATCATTCTTCGGTAAGTCACGAGTTAATAAATTTGGTTGAGTTGTTGACCTTGTTAATTCAGGGCTAACATTAACTTTAACATTTTGAATAATTCGTGATTTATCATCATTTACGTTATAACCAACCGTAATCTCTGCTTTTGCGTTAGTGTTCTTTTGACTTGTGAAACGTCTTCTCATTTATAATTGAATAAAAAAAGAAAAATATATTTAAAGTTTTATTTAGTTGTTACGGTAATATT